TCTTTTTGGATGTTGTAGTCGCTCAAAGTGCGACCATCTTCGAGTTGCTTGCCAGCGAAGATCAAACGTTGCTGGTCTGGTGGAATTCCTTCTTTGTCTTGGATTTTGGCTTTGACGTTTTCGATGGTGTCAGATGGTTCGACTTCAAGGGTGATGGTCTTGCCAGTCAAAGTTTTGACGAAGATTTGCATGCCACCACGAAGACGGAGAACCAAATGCAAAGTTGATTCTTTTTGGATGTTGTAGTCGCTCAAAGTGCGACCATCTTCGAGTTGCTTTCCAGCGAAGATCAAACGTTGCTGGTCTGGGGGAATTCCTTCCTTGTCTTGGATCTTTGCCTTAACATTCTCAATGGTGTCGGATGGTTCAACCTCAAGGGTGATGGTCTTGCCAGTCAAAGTTTTGACGAAGATTTGCATGCCGCCACGAAGACGGAGAACCAAATGCAAAGTTGATTCCTTTTGGATGTTGTAGTCGCTCAAAGTGCGACCATCTTCGAGTTGCTTTCCAGCGAAGATCAAACGTTGCTGGTCTGGTGGAATTCCTTCCTTGTCTTGGATCTTTGCCTTAACATTTTCAATCGTGTCTGATGGTTCAACTTCAAGAGTGATGGTCTTGCCAGTCAAAGTTTTGACGAAGATTTGCATGCCACCACGGAGACGGAGAACCAAATGCAAAGTTGATTCTTTTTGAATGTTGTAGTCGCTCAAAGTGCGACCATCTTCGAGTTGCTTTCCAGCGAAGATCAAACGTTGCTGGTCTGGGGGAATTCCTTCCTTATCTTGGATCTTTGCCTTGACGTTTTCGATGGTGTCAGATGGTTCGACTTCAAGGGTGATGGTCTTGCCAGTCAAAGTTTTGACGAAGATTTGCATGCCGCCACGAAGACGGAGAACCAAATGCAAAGTTGATTCTTTTTGGATGTTGTAGTCGCTCAAAGTGCGACCATCTTCGAGTTGCTTTCCAGCGAAAATCAAACGTTGCTGGTCTGGTGGAATTCCTTCCTTGTCTTGGATCTTGGCCTTAACATTTTCAATGGTGTCAGATGGTTCGACTTCAAGGGTGATGGTCTTGCCGGTCAATGTTTTGACGAAGATTTGCATGCCACCACGGAGACGGAGAACCAAATGCAAAGTTGATTCCTTTTGGATGTTGTAGTCGCTCAAAGTGCGACCATCTTCGAGTTGCTTGCCAGCGAAGATCAAACGTTGCTGGTCTGGAGGAATTCCTTCCTTGTCTTGGATCTTTGCCTTAACATTCTCAATGGTGTCGGATGGTTCAACCTCAAGGGTGATGGTCTTGCCAGTCAAAGTTTTGACGAAGATTTGCATGCCGCCACGAAGACGGAGAACCAAATGCAAAGTTGATTCCTTTTGGATGTTGTAGTCGCTCAAAGTGCGGCCATCTTCGAGTTGCTTTCCAGCGAAGATCAAACGTTGCTGATCTGGAGGAATTCCTTCCTTGTCTTGGATTTTGGCTTTGACGTTTTCGATGGTGTCAGATGGTTCAACTTCAAGGGTGATGGTCTTGCCAGTCAAAGTCTTGACGAAGATTTGCATGCCACCGCGAAGACGGAGAACCAAATGCAAAGTTGATTCTTTTTGAATGTTGTAGTCGCTCAAAGTGCGCCCATCTTCGAGTTGCTTTCCAGCGAAGATCAAACGTTGCTGGTCTGGGGGAATTCCTTCCTTGTCTTGGATCTTTGCCTTGACATTTTCAATGGTGTCTGATGGTTCAACTTCAAGAGTGATAGTCTTGCCAGTCAAAGTTTTAACGAAGATTTGCATGCTAAAAGTGAAATTAACTTTCTGTTAATTGGCTTGTTAAAAGATATTTATTTATAGATTATATCTAATGGGAATGAAGTATGAGTCATTAAGAAAAAGAAGAAAACATAGGAAGCCAAGTAAATTAACATTTAATGACGTCATTAACTAACACAAAGAAGAATATTTATCAATTTTATTTCGAGATTTTTCTAAAGATAATTTTCTTGACCTTTTTTGTGTTTATGCTACAGAATATTTTTTGAGACAAAGGGAAGAAAGTACAAAATATTTTTTCATGGAAAATCTTGTGACGAAGTAAATTTTTCTTTGTTCTTTTGTCTTCAGAAACATTAATTAACCCATCCTACGCATTTGTTTTATTATTTCCCATGAAAATGATGAAAATGTTAATAAATCCCAGGATTGAGGAAAAATCGTTTAAAATGGCATTAAAAATCGATATTGAAATTAGTCTATGTAGGCAGACAAAGAAAAATGAGAAAAAAAATCGCCATTTTGAAAAAGTTACTCGAGAAAATTCTAATTATCTCAAAATTATGAGGGTTAGGCTCTTGAAAACGAATAAAAAGATAGAAATAATTAAGCTTAAGAACAAATAAGCTAACAAATTTTATCTAGAAGCTCAATTTGATAAGATAAATTTAAAAAAATGGATCAGAAATATTTTTCATTATCAGAAATGAAAAGTTATGAAATTCAGCAAAACCAATACTTACTTGATAAATTTTAATGATATAACTAGATCTCACTTTTAAATATCGTTTAATTATTAGAATATATGACTTCTTGATAATTTATTAAGGATTATTTAATTGATTTTTAAGTTTTACTTCACTTTCAAATTTTTTCTCACGAATGATTTAAGTTGAGATGAGACGACTGATTTTATATTGAATGAGTGCGTTCAAAAGTTTTATGTGGGTACAATTCTTTGACACCAAATAAGAAAGTGTTCAAACATTTTTCGGTTGTAAACATTTATAAATGATATTTAATTAATAAGATGTTTGATTTGATATAAGAATACCAAATTAATTAAATAGAACATGACTTTTTTATTATCAATTTGGTAGGTATAATTTTTTAAGAACATTATTTGTAAATGTCTTAGTTGCGGTCATTATTGAGTTTTTGGTTTTTTTACGAGTTTACCATCGACAATATTTAAATCTTTAAATATTTGAGGAAGATGCTCTAATAGTTCCTCAGATGTTAACTTAAATTCACTCTCCACCCAAATAACTTTCAATTTATTTAAGACAACTCCCACGATCTTTCCTGTTGGACAATTGTTTTGCAATAATAGACTTCCAGTAACGGGGAATCGAGGGACGGTCCATTCTTTAAGTTTCTGATGAAGATCTAATTTACAGTGCAGTTTAAGAAGTTCTTCGACATATTCTTTTATGTCTTTAATTTTTCCTGAAGTTATAAGACACATTTGCTGATATCGACTGTAAAATATATTTCTCATTCGATGAATTATATTTCGTTATTAAAAAAAAGTTAGCTACTTACATCAAATCATCAACATCTCTAAACTCGTTTTTATTTTGTGCTAGAAAGTAAAGTAAGTCCCGCTCATATGCTGAAAATTTAAGACGTTCATGAAGATGTAAAGCATCTTCAGGTAAATTGAGTAGTGCTGCTAAAATTGTAATTGGATCGCAATCTTTTGCAATCGATTGATTCTTGCAAAGATTCCGAAAATCTTCTTTATCAGGATTACTGGGAAGACCTGGATACAAACAAGAAATTATAAGTATTTTGAAAGAAATTAAATTAAATATTTTTCTTACCAATATGTTGGGAAAGCCCGCAATCTATTATTGTCATTAGTATTTCTCCAGCAAAATTTCCTTGCAAAATTTTCTTTAATTCGACCCAAATTCGTTCACCGCTAACTCTCTGAAGACCTTCAGCATTATTTGAGATGATTTTAAGTGTTTCGGGATCATGTTGATCAGGAGATTTAGCAATTCGTCCATAAAATCGGAAATAACGTAAGATTCGAAGAAAATCTTCTTTGATGCGAGTATCTGCATTCCCTACAAACTTCACTCGACGTTCCATTAAATCCTCGAAGCCAAAGAAATAGTCATACACTGAACCATCGAATCCAAGGATGAATCGCAGATTAAGTCACAAGCTTTATTTGATGTTACGGTAAAATCTCAGAAATGTCACGTTTTCTAATATTTACGCTTTAATTCCAACACAAACTAATCAAGATAAAAATATGTTCACATTTAATGTACATAAATCTTTATTTATGATGTTTTATGATGTTAGTAGAAAGTAAATAACAGAATAATTAGTTTACATCATTTTTAATTTAAATAGCCTTAAAACAACTCAGTCTATCCCGGACAAAGATCTACTTGCATGCAACATTCTAGCAAAACATCACAAAAACATTGACTTTTCTTTCACATGTTTTTTCCCACAAACCGTTGCAATTTTTAAATACTGAGAACTTCTTGCCGTGATAGCAACTAAGAAAACAAAACATTTTCATTAGAAAAATGTTTTATTAATATATTCTTTGATATTATATATCTGTACATTACATGCATATCCACATTGATATGTTTCTTTATCTTATCTATGTAGCTATGTATTACTTCAGGTAAGACATTCGCATACACTTTAAAGAAAAAAAGATTAAAACTTGTTCCAAAATTATTTCGATATTTTAAGATTTCGCAAATGGACAAGAATCAATATTCTCCGATGCAAATTTTGTTATGATCTCATCGGATTTATAAAAAACTTTGATGTTTTTGATTTTATTGTCTCCTCTCAATTCAACAATTGCAAATCCATTTAATTCGATATTTTCATTCCAATGTCGCCAAGCAAATGTGCATTTAGGCTTATCAGAGAAAATTTCTGTTACTTCCCACGGAAATGGATTAGAAAGTGGGCATTTCCTGTTATCTGATGTGAAATTTCTAGACAAATTTAAAGTTTTTTCAGTGACATCCTTTCCATTTAATTGAATAGAAAAATCATCTTGAGAAATGAATTTCCATTGAGAGCGGTTCTTGTGTTTGATTTCCATTTCACATCGTTTAATTAAATTTTCAATAAACAGCACTGCACTTTCCGTTCCATTTCTTGCTGTTTTTCCCATTAAATATGCGAGATTTACAAGAGAATAATCCGGTCTTGCAAAATTCCATTCAATATTCAAGTCATCAATCTCCCCACGATCAGGTTCTTTTAATTCTGGTTCTAATTCTTGCATTTTCTTTATTTCTTTTCTCGCATTATCATTCAATGTTTTTTTGCTGAATATCGCAACCTTGATCTTTTTGCGAATCTTCCATCCAACGCCAGAACGATTCGTTCTTATCAGTAATTTTATCAACAAATTCTTCACCTTTAAGGCGTTTAATAAAATTTTCGGGCTTAAAATAAACCTTAAGGTCGGTAATTTTTAAATCTTCAGTAACAGTAACTGCAACAAATCCGTTCATCTCTACAATCGAACCATCGCCTTTATTACCTTGATAAGTGCCAGTGAATTCTCCTATTAGGATAGTAAAATCATTTTTGTTTCTTTAGAGTGATAATATTTAATAATTTGATACAAACCCCAATGTCGGAATGAGAAAACAATCTCAGGGGGTCCACTAAAAACTTGTAAGACTTCCCAGGGAAAACTTCCGTTAAATGTTCCATGAAAAAGTTGATGGGAACTCGCAAAATCTTCTTTTGAGGCGTCATAAACGTTTGGATCGATTTCGTCCATTAGAACATTGTAGTTACCACGTTCAAAAGCTTCATCTAGATTAATTACTCGACCATTGTTTGTTTGGACGTTATATTTATCTTGAATAATTGTTTTCCACTGATTGGGATTCTTTTTATGTGATGCTTCCATTTCCCAAGTTTTCACTGCATTCTGAACAATCATTTCTAATGATCCCTTTTCATGTTTCATGCACTTTCCCTTAAGATAAGCAAGATTAGCAAGAGTGTAATTCGGTTTACCATTTCGCCATTCTATGGTAGAATCATCCAAATTTCCGCGATCAGGTTCATCATTCCCAGGCAACAAAACCATTCGATTCAACTCTTCTTTTGCTTTAGTTAAAAGCTTTTCACTGATTCCAAGAGAAGTGCCGGCAGAAGGTGCACTAACAGACGATTTTTCATTGCTAAATTTCTTGATACTTTCGAAACCTTCCTTTCTAAGCCATTCGTTGAATGACTCGCTTTTAGCTTCCATAATTTTTTGTTAAAGTCAAGGCTGTAATAAAAATAGTTGTGTTGAGTTGTGTTGTGTTGCACAATAAAGAAATAAAATACTTACTGTAATTAAATTGAACAAATTAATCACTTTTTCTATTTCAACTTTTGTTTTTCCTTTTTATTCAAAATACTTTTTCCAATTTAATTTTATTTACCTATTTAATTTGTGCCAAAGTTTCTTTCACGTCTTTACTGCTCCACTTGCTTGCAAAAAATGACGCTTCTCTCCTTTTTTCTCACTCTCTTCTTTTAGTCAAGAGTCAAATCTCCCAAGGGGTAATTCATTGAAGTTCTTTTACCGGCTGCCTTTAAACGATGCTCCGAAAAGCATTCGTGCCTTTCCAAAAATGGCCATTTTCCAGAATTTGTTAACTTTTTCTTGGAATTCGCAGGGTGCTTTTGTTTCTCAATGGTGCATTATTGCTGGCAAATTATTTTCGATGACCTAATCCCTTGATATATCCACAATTAAGAGTTTGATATTTAACAAGATATTTAACAAGAAGTTTATTGCGAGAACTAATTTTTTTTTCTCAATTTCTCAAACCCATGTACTAGCTGACCTTCCAACCCAACTTTCAATTCAGCCCAACTTTCAAACAAGCACAAAATTTGTTTTTTTTCATTCTTTGAAGAATTTTTATTCAGATTTAGATCGGGCAGAGACAATGGTGACGACATTCTAGACTCGGTTGAAAAAAATGCGTCATCAGATACTTGGATACACTCGTTCTCTCATTTACAAATGAAGCTGAAACGATGCCTCTCAAAAATCATCGATTTCTATAACTGACAAACCAGAACGCGAGGCACCTGTACCAGGACCTGATGTTTGATATTTACCAGTACAAAAAAGTATTTAAAGAAGAGATTGCTACCAAGAAACTTCTAACTCTCATGTTCAGCTTTTGATTTTGGCACGTGATTTTGTTTCCACCAAGGGAAAATGAAAAGAATTCCAAAATCTAGTCGATTTTGTGATTACAGTGCTGCATTTGTGTGAATTAAACAAACTTACAAAACCAACTTCTATTAATCGCTAAGAAAAAAAAATTGATTTAAACAAAATTAATTTGCTTGTTGTGCATCTCTTCATTTTTATTGCATGAAGTTTTTTCAAAAGTTAAATTAACACTAAGAATTTGAGAGAGCCAATTGAAAGTTTAAAGGAAAAACTTAAATTTAGTATCACCAATTGTTGTTTCAAGAGTTCGCTAGAATTGAAATTTCTGACTGATTTCATCTGACTTATTCGTAGGTTTCAGGTGGAGAGAAGTTGAAATGTACGNGTAATTGGATCGCAATCTTTTGCAATCGATTGATTCTTGCAAAGATTCCGAAAATCTTCTTTATCAGGATTACTGGGAAGACCTGGATACAAACAAGAAATTATAAGTATTTTGAAAGAAATTAAATTAAATATTTTTCTTACCAATATGTTGGGAAAGCCCGCAATCTATTATTGTCATTAGTATTTCTCCAGCAAAATTTCCTTGCAAAATTTTCTTTAATTCGACCCAAATTCGTTCACCGCTAACTCTCTGAAGACCTTCAGCATTATTTGAGATGATTTTAAGTGTTTCGGGATCATGTTGATCAGGAGATTTAGCAATTCGTCCATAAAATCGGAAATAACGTAAGATTCGAAGAAAATCTTCTTTGATGCGAGTATCTGCATTCCCTACAAACTTCCCTCGACGTTCCATTAAATCCTCGTAGCCAAAGAAATAGTCATACACTGAACCATCGAATCCAAGGAACATTGCGTTGATGGTAAGATCTCTTCGATTAGAATCCAATAACCAATCCTGAGTGAATTCCACTTCGGCATGTCTGCCATCAGTCAGAACATCGATTCTCAATGTCGTGCACTCAAAATTTTCCTTGTCATGAATTCTTGCAGTTATAGTTCCATGTTTTTCGCCATTCATGTTTATCATGCGAATATTTTCAGTATCAAACATCGTTTTCATTTGCTTTGGAGTTGCTATAGTTGCAAAATCAAGATCAGTTGGTATTTTATCCATTAGTAAATCTCTTACAGCTCCACCGGCAATTCTAATTTCATAACCATGCTTCTTGAAAAGATCAACCAAACGATTCAATTCTGGAGTGAATATTGATTTGAAAAGATCGTTTTCTAATTTGAAAACCACCGGGTTTTCTCGTACTTTCACGTTCGGATCCATGTGTTTACTTCTTTTTAGTAGAAATTTTTCATTCAACTTTGTTGAAAAACTTTTCTTGATAGAATGTACCTTGAATCAAGCGAAAAAGTTGTTAGTATTTTAAAGTTTCTATTTATTTCAGCACTTACGGAATGGTTAAGTACACATGAATAAAGAATTAGCTTGTTTTTCAAGAAAAAGCTCATTTAATTTGCTTTTAAGAATCAAAAATAAGAATGCGTTTAGAAATTTGAATTCATTCGTCGTTTTGTGTTTATTTGTAAACATTGTAAATAAACAAAAGTTCTAGAAAACTCGAGCAAATAAGAAATTTTGTCTTTTCTAGTCTATTATTGTAACAACCTCAAAGAACAATGACTTCTGAAAGAGCAGAAACAATACTGAATGGCTTCCAAATGTAAGTTTTTAATTCAACAATCATCAGTTCCTTGCATTCTAAAAACTTTATAATGGTTATTTCATAAATTTCAGTAATTGGATAAAATTGACTAACGCTGATGATGGCAAAATAATCTGGCATGAAGCAAAAGACTTTTCAGATTCAAAAGAAATGCATGAAGCTAGAGTACCAACAAGTATATTAGATGTGAGAGCAATATTGCGAGAAATTAATTTTAGTTCAGTGGAGGAACTAAAAAACTTCAGAATCGTTCAAATGGCGAAATTCAAAGGCAAACTTCTAGAACAATGGGCTTTTACGATGGGTGGCGTCAAACCATGTACAACAAATTCATGGATCTCTACTATAGAAGCAGCACCAGAATCACAAATGATGCCTGCTAAAGTATTAAATGGAAATGTTACAATTGAAACAGAATTTTATGATGATGAAGAAAAATTCGCAACTTCAGTAATAAAATTATTTTATGTGTAGAATTGAAAAAGAGTCTTTAATCTATTATAATTAACAACTTTAATCTTAGATCGAAATCTACTTGATGACGAATATGATAACATTGCCACCTGAACAAACACTAATTATTTTTGTACATAACTTATAGAAAAAGAAATAAATTTTAAGTGTGAATCAGTATTTTAATAACAATTTTCTACAAGTTTGAAAACTTCAAATTAACTGAATTGTCAAAGTTTTCTTATTGGAAAGAATTTTTTAAATAAAAATGGACAAAATGATTCCTTTTATGGATTGGCCAGGAAAATATTCTTCAATGGATTCGATGACATTCATGGGATCACCTTTTCCTCTTCTTCTAATTATTTGTTCATATTTATATTTCGTTCTTTTCATGGGACCAAAAATGATGGAATTGAGGAGACCAATGAACATCAGAATTATCATTTTACCTTACAACATTCTGCAAGCTTTCTTGTTCAGTTACATCGTTTTGGAAGTATAAGAAATATTCACAAGTAATTAAAGATCACTTTTTTATCTGTTCTTGTGCTTATAGATGATCAACAATGGATTTTCCTTTGAACTTACATGGAAATGTGTCGTCGAAAATGGTGAAGATATGAATGAATTACACAACAATATGTGGCTATTCATGATTCTTAGAATTTTTGAGCTTTTTGAAACAATTTTCGTTGTTTTGCGTAAAAAACGAAGCCAATTAACTTTTCTTCATATTTATCATCAAACTACTAGCGTTTTAGTTTTCTGGATCTTATTGAAATATCATTCTGGGATGATGGAAATATTTTTAATTGTTATCAGTTCTATTGGTCACGTCATTAAGTATATTTACTATTTGATGAGCTTATACACAAACATCACGAAACTTTACCTGTTTCTCAAAGTTCTTAAGCCAATTCTTATAATTTTTCAGTTAATTGAGCTTATTATTTCACTTGGTCATTGTTGTGTAGCTGTTTTACCGAGTTGCAATCTTTCATGTGTTTTCTATCTCTCAATTTTCAACTCAGTGATTTTAATATTCATGTACGCTAAAACATTTTTTAAAAGTTATTTAAGAACAAATAAACGATGGTAGCAAATTTTATTTCAACAATGTTTTTGTTTAATTCAATTATTTAATGTTGACAATAATTAGAAAATCATAACTCTGCGATCATTATTACTCTATCGTCTCTACATCATACTTTATCTTCTTTTTAACAATTTTCTTTGTTTTTAAGTTAAAGTTTTCATAAAAAATTCCTGTAAAATATTATAAAAAGGAAATTATTAGAAAAGTATTAGGTAGGTATTTGTGATCTTCAAATTCAAATCAACTTACTTTTGTAATAACTTTCACTGACTGGATCATCGCTATGTGACATTTGATAATTACTCCAAAGTCCTCGAAGACTTGCATCCGGAACAAAATTACTCTTAATGTGCGTTATAACTTTTTCTTTCTTCTCGTCAGAAAATGCGTTAGCAGTTTTCTTTTTACCCCGTTCATCATTAAAGTTTTCAGTTTCCATCTTTTGTAATGAAACATCTATACGAGAATTGGAAATCATTAGAGTTTTGGTGAATGTTGTTTTGCAAACTTCAACTCCTTTCAGAAAATATTTTCTTGTCATTTTCCTTCTACTCATTTCCTTGTTTTTTGTGTAAGTTCTCTTTTTCGGTAATTCATTAACGCAAGAGTTTAAAAAGGCGCAGCGTCCCTCATAAGATCCTGAAACAAAGAAAACATGAACCATTAGGATCACTGATAAAGTTTTTGACAAACATTTGCCTACCAATGTTCCAAAACATGTTGAAGATTTGTCTACGTGTCTTGAGTGGAAGTTTTTTAGGATCAGTACATTTCTTCGGGCAAGTACACTCAAACGAATCGTCAAATTCTTTCGGTTTCACTTCTTGCCCCTTTGCATTAACGTAAGGCTTATTCGTATTCGCTCTGGCTTTACGTATTGCTCTTGTTTGATCAGGAATCATACGACGTCTACCTCTTGGTTTCCCTGAAAGATTTAAAAGTGTGACTATGCTAATGATGAACATCAATAATGTAAGAAGAACTTACCAGAAACTTGAACAAGTTTTCGAGTAACCTCATGATGTTCAGAATTTGATCTTTCACGTTTGATCATTATATTATCCAAAATATCCATAGGTTCTTCTTCAATATAGGATTCATCTAAAGCTTCTTCTACGATATCCTCATTGTAATATTCTTCTCCATCTGGAGTCAGTTGCTCCTTACAATATAAAACTTGATTATCGTCAGGATGAACGAATGTTACGTATGTGACATTATTTTGGCCATCTGTTGTTGTAAACGTTTGTTGATATTGATTACTCATGTTATCATAGTGTTAATGACAACTTCTTTCAAACGATTTAACTAGAAAAACCCAATATTTCTATAAAAAATTAAAGTTTGTTATTGTTTCAAGGTTGAATCGGATCAAAGATTTTTTTCGGTTTATAGCCGATTCAAAAACAGGAAGTTCAATTTCATATTTTGAACCGATTCTCCACACGTGAATTTGAAATTTGAAAACAATTTAGAGAACTTTATTGAAAATAATAAATATCTATAAGTAAATTTTAATTTATAATTATGGGAAGAAAAGTGAATTTTGCAGAAAAGCCGAAGAAAGGTCCTGGAAAAAAGACCAAGAAGCAACCAGCTCCAAAATTTTCAGCGAAACTTCTCGAAAAAGGTGAAATAAATTTTTCCCAACTGAATTCAGGGTTAATTAGGTTTTATTGTTTTTCAGATGAAAGTGTACAGAATACAAAGAAATTGTCACATCGTCAGAAACAACGAGCCGTCAAGCGAGTAGAGCGCAAGATTAAATTACAAAACAAAAATCGAAACGATGCAGCGAAGAAAAAGAAAAAAGTTGTCGCGACTTACAACAGTGACGATGAAGCTGAAAACGAAAGTGTTAGTTCAGTAGATTCAACAGACCATGAAGAAGATGTGGTTAAAACTGTTCAACAATCAATTAAAAAAGGATTTGCTGTTGATAAAAAAGCAAAAGTTAAAACTCCTGTCGACGATTCTGATGAGAGCGAATCAGAGCAAGAATCAAACAGCGATGATGATTTTATCAAAGATGACTTTGAGGGTGATTCTGAGGAGGAAGAGGAAGTTCCACAAAAAAAGAAAGTCGATCTACTTGGTTCATCAGATGATGAAGAATCTGATAAGGAAGATGAAGAAAACGAAACTGATGACGAAGATGCAAGCGACAGCGATGAAGAACTGCCAATCGAAAAGGCGAACAAGAAATTAAAAGCACGTCAAGATGAAGACACCAAACTTGCTGCAGACGAACTTCAACTTAACATCGCTGACAAAGAAAAATTGGATTTGGACGACGCTACAGATATCGATAAAGTGATCAGTCTCCAAGATATCCAGCAACGCATTAAAGATATTGCTGCAGTTTTAATGGATTTCTCAGCTAACCGTGATCCATCACGTTCAAGAAGCGAATATTTGGATGTTCTTAAAAAAGATTTGTGCACTTATTACAGCTACAATGAATTTTTGATGGAAATTTTTATGAACATTTTTCCGGTGAATGAACTTCTCGAATTCCTTGAATCATCAGAAGTTCAACGACCACTCACAATACGCACAAACAGTTTAAAGACCAGACGACGTGATCTTGCACAAGCGCTTATCAATCGTGGAGTTAACTTGGATCCAGTTGGTAAATGGACAAAGGTTGGATTAGTTGTGTACAGTTCTCAAGTTCCACTTGGTGCAACGCCAGAATATCTTGCTGGTCACTACATGATTCAAGGTGCTTCAAGTATGCTACCAGTGATGTCATTGGCACCACAAGAAAATGAAAGGATTCTCGATATGTGTAGTGCACCAGGAGGCAAAAGTTCACACATTTCTGCAATTATGAAGAATACTGGAGTTCTTTTTGCAAACGATCTCAATCGAGATCGAATTCATGCCGTAATTGGAAACTTTCATCGATTGGGTGTTGTCAATTCTGTTGTAAGTGGCATGAATGGAGTTGATTATAAAAAGTTCATGTCTGGATTTGATCGAGTACTTCTGGATGCACCATGCACTGGTACAGGCGTCATTTCGAAAGATCAATCAGTGAAAACTTCAAAATCCCAAGTAGACATTCAACGCTGTTACAATCTTCAAAGGAAACTCATCTTAAGTGCTATCGATTGCATATCTGCAAAATCAGCGACTGGAGGGTATTTGGTTTATTCAACTTGTTCAATTCTTCCTGAAGAAAATGAATGGGTCATTGATTATGCTTTGAAAAAACGAAATGTTCGATTAGTACCAACAGGTTTAGATTTTGGTGTCGAAGGTTTCACAAATTATCGAGAGCAACGTTATCATCCGTCAATGAAACTAACGCGACGTTATTATCCTCATACCCATAATATGGATGGATTCTTTGTTGCAAAGCTACAAAAGACTTCAGATGAAATTCCTAAAACTGCAGATGATGAAGATGACCAACCAGAAGAAGATTTGGAAGAAAATGAAGAGCAGAATGACAAAAAGAAGGCAAAGGTTGATAAACGTGACTGGTTCCATAAGGATTTGAAGGAAATCAATAGAAAGAAAGAGTCTGAAAAGCAAGACATTTATGTGACGAAAGTTTTCGAGAAGACTGTCAAAAGAAAGTTCGACAAGTCTAAGAAACAAGTGAAAGAAACATCTGAAGTTAAAGAACCTGCTGAGAAACAACAAAAACTTGATGACTCCCATACAACAGAAAAGCCATCTGACGATCTTAAAAGCATAAAACAGAATACGAAGGAAAAGAAGAAATTTAAGAAAAATAAGAAATAAAATTTTTATTGATTAATATTTTGAATTTAAATAAAGATTCTAATTAAAAAATTTAACGGCATTTCTAAATTTGGATTTTATGTTTGAACTTTTTGCTTGTGATCAAGATTTTTGAACCGTTTCCTTATTATTAATTCATAAAAATTACAAAATATATCGAAAACAACAAAAACTAATACAACAAAGATGACAACTTTAAAAATTTAAAAATAAGAATATCGATAAGGCGTTAATCTCTTCTTTCATTCGTTAATAATTCAAGAAGCTAATGTAGTTTCTTATCAGTTTTATGTAAAGTAGAACAACACAAATACAAAGAACAAAATATTAAAGATAAACAAAAAGTGAAACTTATTAACGGTACAGTTTATGTGAAAGTATAAATCTTTGTGTAGTTTATTTATGCGCCCACGAAATGGATCTTGGCACAACGTATAAAATATTTCTAGTCAAGACATTAAAAGAAAAACGATACTTTTGGGCTCGCAATACGTTTTTTTCATTGTTTCCTCTTCTATTCATCATAATTTACGCTTTTTCTGGAGCATCAAATGACGTGGGAAATGACCAAAGCAAATATAACAAAACTGAGGCTCTTATAATCACCGAGGTAATTGTTTTTGTTCCACACCCAATTGCAAAATTTATTTAATATTTCCATCACGTTCACAAATCCGGTTTTTAGGAGGAACTCTTTGACAAAATTCCAAATGCACTAAACAATAAATTCTACTTTGTTCCAAACAATGAATTCTATTCAGACTTGATGGAAAGATTACGAAGAAATGAATATATGCCGATTTTGGACGAAAGAATTGTTGGATTCAGAACAGAAACCGACATATGGAATAACATCGAGGATCTTGAATCGAGATCATTCATCATCGTGTTCAACGAGTCAACATCACCTGAAAGTCATCTTAGTTACACTATAAGATCTAAAAACAACCGCTTTCAAACAGATCAACATTATTCGAAAGATTTACCAACAGTTTCAAAGAAAGTCATGAACGAATACATCAACGATGGATTTCTAGGCTTACAATATCTTCTGGACACAACATTCTTTGAAATAATCAGCAAGAAAGACATAATCCCATATCGCATTGAACTAGAGAAACTTCCGTCGTCAGCTCATGAACCACAAGAGTCTAGAATCAGCGATCTCGGCCTTTACATCATAATTTTCTCTGCTTTTATTTCAATCTCTTTGATATTCACAAGAATCATCGAAGAAAAAGCTTGTGGCTTTCGTGAACAATTAAAGAATGCTACAAGATACAGTTTCTTGAACAATGTCGCTTTATTCACCTTAAATCATATTCAGATGCTTATTTTATTCTACATTTGTCTCATCATTACATACATCAAAGGATTCTGGTTCAGTGTAAACATTTTCTATCCAGCACTTCTCGTCATGTTATTTATCACATCAATCATAAGTTTCACATTTCTTGTCAGCGCATTCTTTGAATCAAGTGAGTTGAAACATTTTTTAGTTACTTTTGTTTATAATTTAAAATTTTCTTGTTCTCATATTTCAGTTGCGTTTTCAACAGTTGGCGCAGTGTTTTGGTATTTTGTTCCATTTGTTTGCTATCAACTGGCTACAGTTCAATGGAAGAAGATTTTGATTTTCTTTCCTATCAATGCATTCTATCAAGGAATACAAATTTTTCATGACTACACAAATTCTGGTCATTATTATTGCCATCCAAACTTCTTTCAACGTTCACATCCGAATGACGACGTGTTTGCAATGTTTGACGTCTTCTTCTGGTTGATTGCATCGTCTTTGATTTGTGGATTTTTATATTTCTACATTTCAAATGTTTGGCCAGGTCAATACGGTATACGACAAAGTCCTTTCTTCATTTGTCAACGATCTTATTACATCCCAAATCGTGTTGACACTAAAAGCGGCATTGAAGCATTAAATTTCACTTCGAATGGATTCGAAAACTTTCAGCATTTCAATCAAAATGCAATTGTAAGAATAAGAAATCTGACGAAAAATTATGGTCAACACACTGTGGTGAAGAATCTTTCAATGGACATTTATAAGAATCAAATAACTGTGTTGCTTGGTCACAATGGCGCTGGTAAAACATCGACAATGTGCATCATTACTGGACTCATTCCCAAGACAAGTGGACATGTTTATGTTGACAACAATGATAATGTTCAATTCTATCGATCAAAGATTGGATATTGTCCCCAACATAACATTTCTCTTCCTTATCTTACATGCCAGGAACATCTTGAATTCTTCGGTCAACTTCGTGGACTTTCAAGATTCAATGCAAAAGTTGAAGCGAAAAATATTTTAACAAAAGTTAATTTACAATCAAAAGCTGGTGAAGTTGCAAAGCGATTATCAGGTGGAATGTTGAGAAAATTATGTTTAGCAAATGCAATCATTGGCGATACCAAACTGTTGATCCTTGATGAACCGAGTAGTGGATTGGATCCTGAAAGTCGAAGAGATATTTGGAACATTCTCTTGAAATTGAAGAAAGATCATACAATTCTAATCACCAGTCACTTCATGGAAGAAGCAGACGTGTTGGGAGATAAAATTGCGATCATGGAGAATGGTGAGTTGATTGCTTATGGAACGAGTATGTTCTTGAAACATTATTATGGCAGTGGATACACAGTGAAGATGCTCAAATCATTGTCTGACACAAATAAATTCGACAGAACTTCTGTTCACAACACAATCAAACGACATATCCCATCAGCTGAACAAAAGTCAAGTGTCGAGCCACTTTATTGCATGACTTTACCATTCAAAGATAAAAACAAATATGGGGAAATGTTAAAGGAACTTGAATTAAACAAAACACTTTATGGAATTGATTCAATTTCCATAACAAACACAACTTTGGAGGAAGTTTTTCTTAATTCAGCATCATGTGGGAAAATCGATTTTAGTAGTGGACAAGATGAGACTGACCATCAAGAGTATACAACATTAGCATTTGATGATCCGAAGAATGTGAATCGCCAATTAATTTTCTTTAGACAATTTCAAGCGATTTTCTACAAGAAATTCATTTATTGGCTACGAAACTTACCTTTGTTTTGTGCGATGGTGGCAATTCCCATCATTATGACCTGGTTGTGTTTCCTACTTAACAATTATCTTGCTGATAAAACTCACATGACGTTAAATTTGAGAGTTGATAATATTGATGAACCTTTGATTATTGCAAACTTTAAAAAATTCTCAAGTGCAAAGTTTGAAAATGTTTTCACACAATATTGTCGTGAAGTGAATGCAGAAGTGAAGATTTTACGTGATAAAGACATCGATTATGAATTGATGGAAGAAAGTAACGATTTGCTGAGATATTATGACAATCTCCTCGGTGCAATTGACTTTGAAGAAAGTTCTGATGGATCAAAAGTTAAAGCAAAAATCTTCTATTCAGAGAATTTAATTCATTCAGTTGCTGTCATGGTTTCTTTAGTTGACAATGTCATGTTGAAATATTACAACTCACAAAACTATTCGATTGATGTCACAAACAGTCCTTTAAATCGACAAGATGAGAACATTAATTACATTCAAAATCTTTACACTGAATTCGTGCCGATTGGATTGATGATGATGATGATAATGTTTCTTCCATTCACATTTAAAGAGAAAGCAAGTGGATTCAAAAATCTTCAAAATATTCCAAGCTTTATCTATTGGTTTGCACTTTTCTTGAGTGATTTGATTGTTCATGCGATTGTTGTTCTCATCATAATGTTAATCACCACATACGATCGAGAAGGACTTGCATTTAGTATTGAAGAACTTGAAACCATCTCAATTTTGTTCTTCTTTTATGGAGCTACAAACTTAATAATCGTTTACATAACAAGTCAATGTTTTAACAGTCTAAGCAGTTCCATCATGTTCTTGAATTATCTGCAAATATTTTCATTATTTGGTGTCATCATGATGTCAAGCAGTAAGGAATCAATGTCAGAATATGAATCATGGATATCAATGTTCCACATCTTTCCCGATTTTGCATTGAAACATTCATTGAAAGTCATTCACGAGTATCACAAATTCGAGAGAAATCACATGAAAGTTGGGAACACAAAGGATAGCGAAGTGTACATAAGAAGTCTTGCAGATTATCAACATATTTTCGGATTGTCACAATTCTTCGTTGCAAATGCTTTCGTGTTCATCGTCGCATCTGTTTTTCTCTTCATGTTTGTTGAAAATCAACAACTTATGGAACAATTTGGATATTTCTGCTCCAAAGTGCAAATGTGCTGGTGTTTTGGACGAAATGAAGTGGAACAAGTTGTTGAGAATATTCCACTTGATGAGTTGGAAGATGATCCCGATGTTCGTCATGAGAAGATGAATGTCGATGGAATAATACGTGAAGAGAAACAAGAATCTGAAGCGATGGTTGTGTCAAAGTTGGAAAAGGTTTACGGTGGAAATCTTAAAGCTGTTCAGGGAATAAGTTTTACAGTCAAGAAAGGTGAATGTTTCGGACTTCTTGGCATGAATGGTGCTGGAAAAACGTCAACATTTGAAATGATGACATTGAATCGTCCAAAGACAAGTGGAAGAGTTTTCGTTAATGGAATTAATGCTGACAATGATCGCTTCATGTATCGACATATGTTCGGTTATTGTCCACAACAAGACGCTTTATGTGATTATATGACAGCACGAGAGCTTCTTAAATACATGCTGATGATCAATGGTTGCAGTCGTTATGATCTTGATGCACAAGTCGAAAAGTGGTTGAGAAAAGTTGACATTGAAAAATATCGTGATAGAAAAATTTCAAGTTTTTCTGGCGGCACAAAACGAAAGTTAAACACAGCAATGGCTATGATTGCAGATCCCTATATAATTTTCCTTGACGAACCAACAACTGGTGTCGATCCAAAGTCAAGAAGATTTGTTTGGTGTTGCATCAAATCGCTTCAACAGCATCAGAAAACAATCGTGTTGACATCTCACAGCATGGATGAATGTGAAATGCTTTGTAATCGATTGGGAATCATGAAGAATGGTGAAATGAAGTGTATTGGATACATTCAGAAGCTTAAAGAGAAATATGGAAAAGGTTTCTCATTGATGATTAAAGTAAAACCAAAAGTCTTGGAACGAAGTGATAGCAACATGAAAACATCAACAACTGAGACCGATTCAATTGATTCTTCGCCACCACCTTTTGAAACTGTCACTGATATCAAACTTCAACTTCAATCGTTATTTTTATGTGAACTGAAGGATGAACATGACGTGAGTTTGCTTACTGTTTCACTTTTATTCACTTTCTAATTCTTTTTTATCATTACAGGGAGTTCTACAATATTTCATTCATGCAAAAAGCATAAGTTGGGCAAAAGTATTCCAGGATCTTCTAGAATTTTCAAATGATCATGAAAATTCTATCGATAGTTTCTCGATTCAAGAAACGACATTAGAAGATATTTTCCAACAGTTTCGTAATGAACAAATGAGTCAGTGATGATTTTAGGATGGTTTAAATACCATTTGAAAAAATTGATTGCTGTTGTTAACATTGCACTGTGCACTGTGTGCGTGTTCCTATTTAATCTCAGTTAAGAAGCAAAACCCATTTGAAAATCATTCCATTGATAGCCCCATCATCAGCTCTCTGTCAAACTTTCTGCCTATTTATCATAAGTTAACCAACCATTCGAATACTTAATGCCTTAAATTCTAAACATTTTTTGTACCATGAGGAAGAAGTGAGAATTCACTTTAAAGAAGTTCTATGTGAAAGCAAAACGGAGGAAAATATTAAGTTTTTTAGAAACTTTTCCTGACTTATAAATAATATCAAAAACCACAAACCAATCATTGTATGTGTAAAACTTATGTGGTAACCATTAACCTACATGTTAAGTCAAAACTTTTCAATCATTATATATTTATATTTGTAAGACAAAGTTCTTGGAAGTAATTTAATAAAGTTTATCAAGAAATTTAAAGATTTTTGGTTGACACATGCTTTCAATCATTGTAACTTTAATTACTGGTCATTTCAGATTTAAATTATCAAATTTCGATTCTGGTTAGACCAGAAGTCAAACGTAGTTGAATTCCCTGTCACACCGAACGTTTTAGCCGCCATCATTTTTTAAAAGTTCATTGTAGGTATAACCTCGTTTCCGAGAAATATTACAAATTTTCATCGGAAAATCGTAAAAGTTATTCAATAATCAATTTCAACAAAGTTTCTTAGTGTAAAGATTGTTAATCATTTAAAGTTTTGCATTTGTAATGGCTTCAACGATGTCAAATATTGATTCTATCAGGTAACGCTTCAACAAAACGCGTGTTAAATTTATCAGATTATTCTTAGGAATATTTCTTCAATTTACAGTTTATACGATGAGATTGATCAGGCATTTACTACTGATTTCAATAACTTGAGCTTCGATTTTCTTGAGAAAAATCAAATATTTTCGAATGACGTCGCAATCAAGCATGCTTCTCCACAAGATTCTGGCCGTGGATCAATAATTTTAAAAACATCACGTTGGACAATTACTAGCGAAGGATTAAGTTTGTTGCATGAAAATTTCCAAAAGTTCTTGCAAATCGAAGCAAATGCTCGAAAATCACATTTCAAGGTTATACAATCCGGTAAAACTTTTTCAGAAACTTTGAAAGTTTCATTGATGCTTGCTGAAACTGATACGTTGGAGAACATCAACGGAAAAATCTTTGAATTAGTACGAGCAACTGAGTAAGTTAACATGATATGCTTGTATCTTATTAGTATAAATAATTTATTTTTTCTTAAAAAGCGGATTGTTTTATAAGCTTGAGAACTTGGGTGCTGTCAGTACACAATATTTCTCACAACGTCAAAATATCATGCAAAGCATCTTGAAAGCTCAGAAGGTTGAAGCTGATTTTTATATCAAAATGCCAGTACTTCAAATCAAAGGCTATCAATTGCTTGATGCAATGCGTAAAGACTTTAAAGTCGATGTGATCGAAAATGTTCTGAGGAAATTGAAGGATTGTTGTGACAAGAAAGGAATTGCAATTGGCAAAATTCAGACTCGTTTCAATCACTTGAAATGTTTGATTGAATTGTTTTGTTGCAGCTTCATCGATATGAAGAAATTAGAATCGGGTAAGTGAAATATTTTAATAAACACGAAATCATAATGTAATATTTCACTTTAAACTTAGATGACAACAAGCAGAATCTGATCATGATAATTCGTGATATTTGCATGACTACCAAAAGCTTTTCTAACAGCTTGTGGTTCCTTTCTTCGTTGCTTGGCGTTAACTAAATTTTTATTTTTATATTGCATATTCATATTAATTTTTTAAATTTGTAAAACGCGAAAAGTTCAAACGTGTAAAGTTTTACAATAATCTCATAAAAGTTTTTAGAAAGTAGACTCAATAGTTCAGTTGTAAGCAATCTTAAGTGCATGGATTGCTAATTGTTTTTTATATTTAATAATTTCTTATTGTAATGTCTAGATATGAATACTATTTCCTTTTAATTTTTTTTTTCGAAAAGTTTGATTGATAGTTTTAACAAAAAACATGAAAGACTGAACGAAAATTTGATAGTCTGCAATTAGAGATAATAGAGATGATTTTATCTGAAAACAAGCATTTCCATTCAAAAATAGATTAGTAATTTAAGTTAGATGTACTGAATAGTAATGAATATGCTTTATGAAAGTTACATTAAAGAAACTAATTCTTTAATATTTGTTAATATTAATTTATTTGACTTTCATGAAATAAAAAATGGATTGCTATTTATTTAAAAAATTTGTAAATTATTTATGTTTCCATCAATTCATTAAAATTTATGTATCTAATTATGATTCTTTCTCTGCCGTATCATTTGCAATTTCACTAATTTCAAATGATTCTAAAAACTTTGCAATTGCTTCAAGTTTCCAAAATTCTGAAATAAGTGTTTGCTCTTCGGCAAGAATGAAATTCGCTAATTCTTCAAAAGTTGCAAATTTTTTCATGTTTTTTGTTTTATCTTCTGGCTGTTGATCTAGCTTTTGAATATTTCGAAAGATGTGTAAAGTATTGAATAATTCCCGCTTTAAAGAGATGAGATTACGAACAAGTTCATCATCGAGGAAAATTGTATCTGCTTCCTTCGTATCATGAAGATGTTTAAGATATTCTCGAAAACTATTGACAACAACCGTAAAATCAACAGATGGTATCTTTACATCACAAGCTGTAAGTAAATAGGTAAATGATCGAAAAAATTCTAAACTTCACAAAATTTCATTATTTTCACCATTATTTTCTTCATTCATGAATTCTTCACACATTTTACTTATTTGTTCATTTATTTCATGCATTTTTCTTGAAAGCTTTCTTTACAATGAATGATAAAAAATAATAAAAACAAGGAAATTGATTGTAAATTCTCTCTTTTGTTTTGAAATATTTAACCGACAATTGCTGTAAACTGTTCAAGGCATAAACCTTCTTAACTTACATTTTTAACGGAATATATTTTGAAAATAAACAATGAACCGGTTCATTTCCATACTGAACTTCTCATAATTGCAAAAGGTTTATTAAAACACGAAAGGGGAAAAATTTTATTTCCTCTTATTTAAAAGTATTCTTCAAAATTTGAATTAAATAAATTACATTTCGTGTTGACTGACCAGTCCGCGAAAGTTAAGGATATCGATTTCAGTTGAAGTATTTAATTTAAAAGTAAGATTTTAAACCAGCCGCACCCGGATGATTCATAATTTTTTTTATCTTAAACATTTAAAAATTTCAGATAAGATGACTGAAAAGTACTTTTTCGGTGGCAATGTAGCTCCAATAACATGTCATGCATGGAATAAAGATCGTTCTCAAATCGCTATCTCTCCAAATAATCATGAAGTTCATATTTATGAACGCGATGGAAACGATTGGAAATTAATGGATGTTCTTAATCAACATGATTTACGTGTAATGGGAATTGATTGGGCTCCAAACACCAATCGAATTGTTACTTGCTCTGTCGATAGAAATGCTTACGTTTGGACTCAAGGTGAAGATAAAAAGTGGAAGCCTGCTCTTGTATTGTTACGTATAAATCGAGCCGCGACTTGCGTCAAATGGTCGCCTGAAGAGAACAAATTTGCTTGTGGATCGGGAGCTCGACTTATTTCAGTATGTTACTTTGAAGAGGAAAATGATTGGTGGGTATCGAAGCATATCAAAAAGCCAATTCGGAGCACTGTTACTAGCTTAGACTGGCATCCAAACAATGTTTTGATTGTTGCTGGTTCCACTGATTACAAAGTTCGAGTCTTCAGTGCGTACATTAAAGATATTGAACAGCAACCTTCATCGACTCCTTGGGGTAAAAAAATGCCACTTGGACAAATGATGGCTGAATTTAAGTCGTCTTACGGTGGATGGGTCCATTCTGTCAACTTTTCTGCTGATGGCAATAGGATTTGCTGGTTGGGACATGACAGTGCTATCAACCTCGTTGACATCAACATTGGATTGAACGTATTTAGGCTGAAAACTGAATTTCTTCCATTTCTTAGCTGCATTTGGATATCTCCAACTGCTTTTATCGTAGCTGGTCATAGCTGCGTGCCACTCGTTTATTCGTTTGATGGAACTAACATCATATTCAATGGAAAACTTGACCAGTCTCAAAAGCGTGAAGCTGGAGGTATTTCAGCCATGCGACATTTTCAATCTTTGGATAGAAATTCACGATTAGAAAATGACACTGCTTTGAATTACATTCATCAAAATGCAATCAGTTGGATTTCAATTGTCAGCGGTAATAAAAGTGGAGCTAAAAAGGTCAGTACATCGGGACTAGATGGCCAGCTCGTCATTTGGGATTTGAACACACTTACTCGTGCAATGCAAAATCTTAAGATTTAAGCAATATCAATTTTGTACGAATGTTCACTTTGATCCATACGAAGAAAAATAATAAATAAAATCAAAACTTTGAAGCTCAAAGAAAATTATCGTTATAAATTTTAACGTATTTATTCAAGTATTTGAACAGAATACGTTCAAAAATTTCATCTTCTTAGTTTACTTATTGTGCACTCCTTAAATTTTCTCATTCGTTTACGAACTGCTGTCAAGTAAAAAAGCAAAAACGCAAAAAACTTTTTAAAAGGATAATTATTTTATCAGTGAAGTAAAAACTTATTAAAGCTTGTTTCAAATTATCTATCATTCACGAGAAAACTATTAAATCTCATAAGGTAAGTGCTTTAAAAGAGAAAATAAAAATTTCTGGAAAATTCGACGCCATTTTTAAGGCCGTGACATAGATTTCATAATTTTACCTAATATCGAATCATTTAACTATAAAACAACTTCTTTAAAGTATAAAATATTAACTTTTTTTTACTAAAGTCCTTTCCTTTCTAATCTCCTTACAAGAATTTGTTGATTTTAATGTTAATACTTTCGTCCCATTTTGAAACCCCTACAATGTTCACTTCTGATTCGAAAAGTAAAAATTAAGACATATCTTAAAAGAGCAATGGACTTATAATATAAGATTGTTACTTCCTATAACTTTGTTTTCAAAATTAAAGGAACAAAGAGAAGAAAGAAATGATTTTAATGTTTATTTTTTCGTTTACAAATATTTTTCCATCTGACGTTGGTAGCTTTGGAGTTTTTCAGACAAAGAAATTTATAAACTTCAGAGACAAAGAAAAATTAAAGCAATTTATTTAAACCTGACAATTCAGTATTGCTTCGTTTGTTAAATGATTTCCAAGAATTACGATTTTTTCATAATCAAAGAGAAACAACTGAATATTCATTTTATGACGAAATGATTTGCAATATTTCGAAATTGTAAAAATTTCTAGAGAAATTTCAAGAGTATGACATGTTTAAACAAGTTTTATAATGTTTGAACACATCTTATGACACATTCATATAATTTTACTTTTATTTTAAACCCAAACTTTTCAGAATGCAAATTTTCGTCAAAACTTTGACCGGCAAGACTATCACCCTTGAAGTCGAACCATCTGACACCATTGAAAACGTCAAGGCAAAGATCCAAGACAAGGAAGGAATTCCACCAGACCAGCAACGTTTGATCTTCGCTGGAAAGCAACTCGAAGATGGTCGCACTTTGAGCGACTACAACATCCAAAAGGAATCAACTTTGCATTTGGTTCTCCGTCTCCGTGGTGGCATGCAAATCTTCGTCAAAACATTGACCGGCAAGACCATCACCCTTGAAGTCGAACCATCTGACACGATTGAAAATGTCAAGGCCAAGATCCAAGACAAGGAAGGAATTCCACCAGACCAGCAACGTTTGATTTTCGCTGGAAAGCAACTCGAAGATGGTCGCACTTTGAGCGACTACAACATCCAAAAAGAATCAACTTTGCATTTGGTTCTCCGTCTTCGTGGTGGCATGCAAATCTTCGTCAAAACTTTGACTGGCAAGACCATCACTCTTGAAGTTGAACCATCAGACACGATTGAAAATGTTAAGGCAAAGATCCAAGACAAGGAAGGAATTCCACCAGACCAGCAACGTTTGATCTTCGCTGGAAAGCAGCTCGAAGATGGTCGCACTTTGAGCGACTACAACATCCAAAAGGAATCAACTTTGCATTTGGTTCTCCGTCTTCGTGGTGGAAATTAAGTTTCCATGTTTGAAAGCTACGCAGTATAAAATTTAAAATTTGCAAAATTTCGTTTAGCTACAAAGCTTAACGCAAGGGATTTTGATTTAATTTTTGTGATTCTTTTTCCAGTAAAATAACTTTTCGCATTCAGACCAAAAAATTTTTAAAAATGTAATGCTTTTGAAACACAAACTTTAATAAATAATTTTTAAAATCATTGGCAGCATAACTTTAAGTTGTTTCAAATAAAATAACATTTGATTAAAAATTTTCTGGATTTTCAGAGGCTTGCAGAAGTTGATGATTTATTTAATTATACCTTATGAGGGTCAGGTAATAGTAAAATCAATCACTGACTTATCAACAATCTACTATCATTCTTTAGATCAGCAACATAAAACAACATGAATTAAAAATTTATGCTTTAAACATGAAATCTGAAAAGAAAATTATTTTTAAGAAATTGCTTTTGTGTTCTTGTTATTTATTGGAAAACCTGTTTTGAACATAAAATATTTACAGATATTTTCAATTGTATCTATAAGAAAATTTAATATTATTCCGAAGTTAAAGCTTTATCTAATTTAAATTATTAAAACTTTCCATGGTGTTAGAATACTTTGTAGACCTACACAATAATTAATTTAAATATTTCGAGGTATTTAATTGCCACCTCTTAAACGTAAACATATGTGAAGAGTTGTATTGTGCATTAAACCATAATCTTTGATCGTTCTCGTATCTTCAAGTTGCTTTCCACCCCACAATATTCTCATTTGATCTGGTGGCATTCCTTCTTCGTAATTCTTTTCCATCTTTTGCTTGAGTTCTAAGATCGTGTCAGTTTCTTCACATGGGATGGCGAAAGTTGGTCCTATTAATGTTTTAATGAAAAGTTGCATGCCACCTCTAAGGCGAAGGCAGATATGGAGAGTTGTATTGTTCATTAAACCATAATCCTTGATCGTTCTTGTATCTTCAAGTTGCTTTCCACCCCACAATATTCTCATTTGATCTGGTGGCATTCCTTCTTCGTAATTCTTCTCCATTTTCTGCTTAAGTTCCAAGATCGTGTCAGTTTCTTCACATGGGATGGCGAAGGTTGGCCCTATTAATGTCTTAATAAAAAGCTGCATTCTTGCTCAACTCTTTTTTCACTTCTTCACACTTTAATTTTATTTCACAATTTGAATGATGGTTTCAGAATCTTCACTCTTTTATAGGATGACAACTTACGACTTACAACTCTCTTTCAATTAAATTTTGTTACGAAAACTTCATCCAATCGAATGCCAAGAAAAGTGAAAACAAGAAGAAAATATTTAAACGATCAATGATAAAGTGGAAAACGAACTTCTGAAACTAAACAGGAAATGGCAATGACATTGATCAGTTGGTAATGAAATAACTCAATGAAGGATGTTGAGTTTGATATATAAATCGATTAAATCGAATTTATTTAATTTATTTAGCATCTGATATCTGCTGTGATGAGATGAAATTTATATTTTATCAAAATTATTTTTTAAATGTTTTCTCTTGATGAATTTCAGATTTTTCAAAACTTTATAACAAAATCTTTAGTTTGTTGAACTTAAATTTATTGAGTAACTTTTTTGATTATAATTGTGAATTTTTATCGATAAATTGACAACATAATTAAAGGAAGAAGATGGAAAACATTTTATAGGGAGGCTTACTGACCACCTCGAAGTCTCAAGACAATGTGAAGTGTGCTGTTGGGGAAAATGTCGTAATCTTTCAATGTACGTGTGTCGTCAAGTTGCTTTCCAGCATACAACAAGCGTTGCTGACTCGGTGGCATTCCTTCTTCATACTTTGATTCCAACGCTTGTTTTATTGTCATGATTGTGTCATCTTCTTCACACACCACACTGTGGACTGGCCCAGTGAGAGTCTTGACGAATATTTGCATTCCACCTCGAAGTCTCAAGACAATGTGAAGTGTGCTGTTGGGGAAAATGTCGTAATCTTTCAATGTACGTGTGTCGTCAAGTTGCTTTCCAGCATACAACAAGCGTTGCTGACTCGGTGGCATTCCTTCTTCATACTTTGATTCCAAAGCTTGTTTTATTGTCATGATTGTGTCATCTTCTTCACACACAACAGAGTGGACTGGCCCAGTTAAAGTTTTCACAAAGATTTGCATTCTAAAAATGTTTAATATAAATAATCGATTAAAATTTCTTTAAATCCTACATTTCAGATACCTGTGGTTTAAATTTGATTTCTTCTGACTCAATGATTGCAGGTAAGCGTTTTCCAATATCTTTTATACTCGGATCTTTGAGCTGAATATGACGTGTAAGGAAACACATGAAAGATGAACTTTCATCCGATTTTAGTACGAAATTTCCGTAATATAAATAAAAATTGTACATCTTAAAAATAAATTTGGACAAATAGGAACTGTTTGTTCGTCCTTCGATGAAAATCTGAAAATATTTTTAATAAAAGTTTTTCCTGATGTTTTTAACGCCGGAAATAAATCTTTCGACTTCCATGTCTAGATCTTTGCTAAAAATAATTTGAAATTTTCGATGTTTTATCTTTCTTCGTGATCTCATAGATTTTCCTAAGAAAATTTTTCATTTTCATCTTCGAAAACATGAAAAGCTTTTAAAGTGAAACTACATAAATTTGAGACTTATAAATAGAGTAAACGTCTTAGATACTCATGTATTTTTAACTCCCGCATGTTTTTAATCAAGCATGAAGTCATCAATTCTATTTTATCAATCAGACAACTCTTTGAGTCTTCTTCCTTAAATAACTTCATTTCAATCAGGGCTTCGAACTATTTTTGGACCTTTAAACGAGACTTTCGCGTCTCATGTAAATGATGAAAACAAAAGATTTAAATTTGAAATTTTATTTATTTATTTAATCATAAAATATAGAATTCCATTGCCTCGCACTGTCTTCAAATTTGATAATAATTATTTAATAAACATCTCTTCTAAATGAACCGTTGCAATATATTTAACAATAAAAAATAACCAGAAAGATTTAAAAAAGGTGGAAAATTTTATGATTAAAAGAAACTAAGCATAGTAACTTGGTGGAACTGTTAGGTCAGTAAGAACTGCAAGTTGAGTTTCATTAAACTTCAACTGATGAATGTCCCAACCATCATGATGCGTTCGCTTGAAATCAGCTAATGTTTTACGAATCGTTGTCTGTAAAAATAAATAGGAAGTGAATGAAAATACAAAATTAATTGAAAAGTTATTCTTACCGGAATCGGTTGTGGATCATTCAAATGATTTGATATAATTTCAAAAACGTTGGGAACAAAATCTGGAATATCATAGGGATATGCAGTAATGAAGGCACAAAGACCTAACACTCCACAATGACGTATTCTTATAGCATTTGCGCTGTCGGAATCGCTTGCATTAGCTGCTTCAACAGCACAACTTGTCGTGACTCGATTTGAACGTTTAATTACCTTCGTACGACATTTTTTCTTGAAAAGTTCCAACAATTTGTCAGTTGCTGGTAAGAATGAGCAATGTAGTAAACCACCAAGAACTTCTGCTGATTTTTCTCTAACTTCCAAAACGTTATCTTCTAAAAGTCTCAAAACAATCGATTGAACTTTTTCTATCCATTCCAAACGACTTAAAACGATCGCCATATTATGGAAAACAATAACTTGCATAATGTCTATAATTGCAAGTCTTGCCGACCATGAAGAGCTGTAAGAGATTTCTTCTATTTTATTCAAGCATTCATTCATACAACGTGGCAGTGTCAAAGCTTGTGCAATCATCGACAACACTCCTGAGCATGTTTCAGCCAATTCTGTGTCATGTTCGCATCTTTCAAGTCTCGCTCCAATAGCCAGCAATTCAAAATAAATAACTTCGTTGCCGTTTGAACATCGATTGATGATTCCTGTTATCCATTGAGCTATAGTTTTGAACATTCGAATAGCAGATGCAAATGGTGTGTCAGTTTCAATCACTGTAACGATGAAAAGAAAAAAAAATAATATTTCTGTGGGTACGAAGCTCAAAGCCAAATAAAAACTTAAGCCGTCTTCACAAAGCTCACAATTTCGAGAGCTTTTAAAATTTAATGAAAAATAAGAATGAATAGCACTCACCATGATTAATGTTTTCTTGTTCTCTCAACAATATAAATTCATGCGATCTTGATTGAATTAAATCAACGACACGTGGTGAGAAATTTGATTGTTCACTGCCAGGAAAATTCAAATCATTTTCGAAAATATTTATCAATGTGCTTCCAATTCTTTCACGAACATTTTGAAATGGATGGTTTAAGAATGGACGTAAATATTCAAGAAGCCGATGAGCAACAGATCCCATACGCCAAACATGCTGATTGAATGCTCCTTGTAAGCAATATAAGCGACTACAATCAATAAAACTTTTTTCTTCTTTTATTGGATCTTCTAATAAAACTTCATGCAGAAAATGATGCTTTATTGGATCGATTCCTTCAGCTGCCGTTGCAAAACTTGTTCCCCAAAATCCATCAGTTTCATTCGTTATGTTATTTAGTGCCATTCGAATCAATGGAATAACTTTATCGTACATGTTTCTAGTTTTTTCATATCCCCAATGTTTTGCACCTCGCATAAAGCCAGCGATGACTTCAGCAGCACATCGGTGTGAACTTTCATTTGTCTTATTTTCGATAAGTGCTGGCATGTGAGAAATTAAATTGTCTAAGAATTCATCACCAAACATTGCAAAAATTGATTTGATAAGCCAAAATCTTGATCGATTGAATTTTTCTTTTCCTTTCTTTTCTTCCAACGACCAAAATGAAATCAATTTTTCAATATTTGCCTTGTTTGAAAAGAATTCATGAAAGCATTTCTCATGATCATTAAGTTCGTCGAACTTTCTATCAAGTGTTGGTTGTTGACTTGTTGGAGCATAAGTTTCAACAATTGGTGTCCATCCAAAGAATCCATTGATTTTGAACATATAACGTGGTTCATCCCACTCAGCTTGACTTTTCGGCAATCTCGAAATATCATATTGTAACCATTTATTATCATCACGTATTCCAGGCTTCAATTTTCCAACTGGTCGTTTAACACCAGCAATTTCAAATGGATCAATTTTTATCTTGACATGTTCTCGCTTTTGTTGCTTCAAAACCGTGTCAACAATTCTCAACGCCATCATTCGCTCTTCAATTGACTCATGAATTAAATTATTAACAAAGATTTTTGTAACTTCCGGTGGGTATTTGGTCAATGGATGCATCAAATCATTAATCATTGTACCAGCTAACAAATGATAACGCCAATGAAGTGAATTCTCTTGAACATGTTGAACAATTGCTTGAATAATCGAAAAATATTTCTTTTCATTAAAATTATTTCGCTCAGCTAATTGATCAGCACCAACAATCAAGAAATTCACTGGCAATTCTTTTCTATCAACCATCATATCAGCACCTAACAATGCCAACTTTTCACTGACTTCAATTCTTGTCGCAATTGTTTGAAATTCGTTGTTTATTCCATCTGTGATTGAATCCATAAGTTTAATAATTGAAAGCTTCTCGCTGAGTTGAGTTTTAAGCAAAGCAAGCCATAACTTCTCGACAACTTCCCAATCAGGCCGCAAAAGAAGTCGTTGACGTCGATTTGTTCCAATTAAATATAAAGCACCTTTAAAACCTTCGTGATTCTCATTCGGATCTAACTTCAAATATTGTGCAATGTTATCAATGACAGTTCGATAAGCAAACGAATAAACATTAAACATTTTAAATAATTTTGATTGAGCCGTTGATCTTACAGCTGAATAGTGACTCGTACTTAACTTTATCATATCTAACATCAACTGACGATGAGTCTGTGTAAACAAAGGTGCTGAAACTTCATCACGTAAGTCTTGTTGAATTATAACTCTCGATATAACAACTGCACGAATGTCTTTCCTTACACGACACAATTTAAACTCTTGAAATTGTTTTGACAATTGATAACTTTTAATTTGTGATTCGTAACTTGAGTTGGAATGTATTCTGTGATGAATCTTCTCATAAACAGCAAGAAGTTGCTTCAATGATTTAATGTCATCTTCACTTTTCTCAAGAATCTTTTCTTGCAATTGATGCATAACTTTCATCAGTGCCAATCGAACGTTTGAGCCATCAGGCATAAAAATTTCTAATCCATCGAAGCCTAAAGTCAATTTGAACGGTGAGTTTGTTGTGACAGTTTCTACAATTCTTATCGGCTCTTCATTCCAATTATCTAAGAAATTGTTACACTTTAAAATTCCTGTGACAACATAAAGATATGTGCACATATCGTCACGTGTAATTTCTTCTTCATCACGAATATATTTTTGAAACTTTACAACAATTGGTAGAAGATAATGATAAATCAACTTTTCACAAATTTTTCTTTCCTTTTCTCCTGGTTGAAACCAATCAAACTTTTCATTGCGATCCATTTTTCTTTCCCAATATCTAGTCGGAAGGAAATCTTTCAAAGACATTGTGTAAGCTTCTGGAACAGTTTTAACATCATTCGTTTGCATTATTGATAACGACACAAGAAGATTTGTTAACATGTTAGCACCTGTTCGATTTGCAATCTTACATTTGCACAACAGCAACTTATCCATTACTGGAATAATTTCATCAATGTAAGGTTGAATTTCTACCGAATTTCCACGAACTATATTGCTAAGCAACACAAAGTGATAAAGAAATTCATCGTTTTGTTTCTCAAGTTCTAAAACATCATCCGTGTCATTAAAATAACTTTCAATAGCACCAATAAGATATGGAAGAAGTGATCGATAAACATCTTTCCCATTAACACGAGCAAACACACGACACAATGTACTCATAGCTGCACCAGCAACGCGAGGTTCCAACAAATGGGTTTTAACATAATTTACGAGCTTTTTCGTTGATGAATCGAGAATTTCTTGTGAACATTGTCCAAGCACTGAATGTGCTGCACTTTGAATTAAAGCTTCAGAAATTGTTTCCAGCTTTGATTTTAAATTATCCATGTGTGAAGTGTGTTCCATTCTTGTTGATTCAACACTTGATGACTCAATAAGAACAAAGATACGATCGAGAAATTGTAAAACAAAATCTTCAAACTGTGCAGTTTGTTCACAAAGCAGAGTTTCGTCTTCAGTCAAGTCATCGTAGAATTGATAAGCTTTTGAGCAGTCAACGAAGGGAATTAAAATTGATTGTGTTATGATGTATTGAAGCGTAATTGAAGTCTTCTTGAAATCATTGGAGTCAATTCCAGGCAGAACCGCAAGTAAAAGCGGAATAACTTGAGTTTTAGCTGATTCCGTTCCACGTCGTCCACTAACCATCGCATGAGCGACACTTGATAAACTTTGAAGTGACGATGTGAACTTGTGTGGTTCAGTGATTGAATCAACTGTTGTGAACACGCGATCTAAGATTCCTGGTAGAATAATTTCAGGTCGTAAGTCAGCGAGACCTTTGAAAATTCTTCCAATTTCACTTGGACTTATCCGTGAATACATCGCTTGGAATGCAACGGATTTGAAGACCTCAACAAATTCAGTAATGTCTTCTTCACGAAGTTTACAATCGTCTGGAATTGGTCGCTTCCAAGGATGTTTCTTATATTTCTCACTTGTTAATCTATCATGAAAATACTTAACGAGTTGAACGAGAAGATCAGAAATTGTTCGAACCCATTTTCCACTATTAGCTGGATGTAAATATGATTCAATTGTTGACATAAAACTCTTCAAATACTTCATTGCATCGGTTTTTGGTCCAAGCACTGACACAATCCAAGTAGCAGCTGCATCAGCACAAACCAATTGATTCTTTGAACTTTTCATTTGCTTGTAGCTCACTGGCAAATCCAAAGATCTTAAAATTCTCGTAAACATCGTCGGGATATGAGGATTCCAATCTATAAGTCCAATTGTACTTGAAGCTGTTGTCGCAATTAGATTCATGATGTCCATATTCCATGGTGGGTAATGATAAGTGTCCCATAAGTTCATGAAATCTTCAAACCACATTTCATGAGAGTTTGGATTAAGGAAAAGCGAAAGAATTTCCATCACCGAATCAGACTTTCCAATGTCCAATGGTTGTAATTGTGGCAATAACTCATCAAGGATTTCTTTACTTGCATTCTCATGAAAATAGGGCGCACAAAGTTGAATCACAAAGTGAACATTCTGTTCCAATGTACTGCAAAAAGAAAGAAAGAAAAAAATGCGAACATGTCAATGAATTAAGGGAGATAAAAATGAAAACAAAATCGTGATGTCGCGATAAAAATAGCGTAGAAAAGAAATAAAAAAAATGTTATGATCCCAGAAAAGATATTAATGTGTGTGAACCCCGAAAAAAAAAGAAATGAGGAAGAAATGTACACAAATAAAACAATCCCAGCAAGCACCATCCAGCACAAAATTATCCAACGCAATTAGTTTAAGACAATATTCAATCCCATCTAAAATGTTTCATGTTTGTTTTTGCTTGAAAATGTATTTACTGTTCGACTTTCGGCATGAATTCTTCAGGTGGAGTAATTCCATAGCTTTCAGCCATCGTCATTATCCAGTTATTGAAGGGATTGGGCTTTCGTTGAATACCACGACGTGATCTCCTATTTTTATATTCAGTTTTATACCAAACCATGTTTGTAACTTTGAAAACAGTTGTGTTTGATGATGACATCACGGTGAACGTGACACATCATCCAAAACTTCTTAATACTTACGGGAAAAATCTTATTAATTCGCCTTTGGAACATCTTTTGTCAATGTAAATCTTTGCTAGCTCGTAAAACGGTCGCCATTCAATTTGCAAGTCATCAGGTGATAGCAAATGCGATTTTCTAAAATGAAAATTATTTTATTGAACATGTCTTTTTTTCCTAAGTTTTTTCTTCACCTTAGCAGCTGAGAGAGGCAAATACAGCATTTGTTGAGTTTGTTTGGATCTAAATTTGGAATGGTAATGATTTCAATGAGCGCTTTAACAAGAATTATGTGATCGTCTTTTGAAAACTTCAAGCCGTAAAGTTTCAAATAACTTCATATGAAAATAAAAAAAGGAAAAATGGCGAGGTTAATAAAAAACAGTCGAATCATTGAAATTAAATGTTACCTCATAAGCTTTGATACGAAAATTCCGACGCCCGGATTTATTTCACGCAATGCCAAAGTTCTTCCTAATTCTTGTTTGATGTGATTCAGACATTGGGCACTTTCTTCATCTAACTTGTCAGCGTAGGGTAAATAAAAATTATGGAAATGTTCATGTTGTGGTCGATATCCTAATTCTTTAGTTCTCTTTTCTTTCCAAGTCTTATGTTCATCTTCAGAAAAACCTTCCATCATCGAACGATTTTTTTTCGATTTACGCAATCTAATTGATTAATTTCAATATTTTTCCTTATTATATCTACGACTATCAGCATATGAGACACGATGTCTTTATTCAACTAGAGCACCTTTGAAACTGTTAAAAAATTTGTTGTTAAGACTTTTTTCCTTCAATCTTTTCTTTTCACTGCCTTTAAAGTCAAACTTTCAAATGATCGAATTCGCACTGTCATCTGGAGAGGATACGTTCAGTTCTCAATAGTCGAGAAAAATGTAAACATAATTTCTAAACGTACTCCATCAACATGCTGAAGTTGGGGAAATTTAACTATTTGATTAAAACAATAACTTTTAATAGAACCATCAGTAATTTACCATTTGTTTTTAGTAAAGGTAAAGTTTGAAATGCTGTTTATAGTTGTTATGAGTAATAAATGTTGTTATTTTAATAATATATTTTAGATGTTATCAAATATCCTGAAACTTCATATTCAGCTACCAGTAATGAAAGTGTAGGACCTTCAGATTCAACAATTCTTCGAATTAATTCAATGAAACATCCTCAAGAACTGTTAGAGTTTATGAAGAATGTGAGCAGGAGAGATATTGAGCCATTTCAATTATCAAATGTTTTGAATCAGTTAATGAAACTACAAAGATCTGGCGAGCGCAATATTCATCCATCAGAATTCAAGAAACATGCCGGTTTTCAGAACATTTGCAAGATAATGAAATATCAGGCTTCGAGAATGGAAACAAATGAGGTTCTTATATGCTTGAAAGTGTTGTGTTATTTTGGCCTACCATCGGAAAGTCTATTTATTCAGCAATTGTTACACTTATTGAAGGATAACATAAACAACCTCTCTTTATCAAATCTTGTCTTCCTCAATTTCCTTCTTGAGAGATTTGACAAAACTCCATTGATTGAAGCACTTCAGATAGCAATTCCAATGGTTTTTGATATGAATATGGGATTGCAAATGGATCATAACAATGTTACTGAATTGGCAGACATTCTTTATTACATTTCAACATCTTCAGTTAAAATATCACGTAAAAGCATGACGAACATTATCACAGCTTTAACATTACATGGGTCAAATATTGAGATGAATGATGCGCGATCGATTATCTGGTCAATCTCAGCACTGCGAAGATTTCATCCAGGAGTTGAGAAGTTATTCGAGAATTGTATTCACATTTTGAATGAAAAACTTTTTGAAATGTCATTTGAAGAGATGGAGACAACGCTCAGTAAGTTGGTTGAAAGAGTTCACAGAGGGCATTTTGAATTTTATCATGAGTTGTTCTTCAACAATTGTGTTCAATATGTAATTCAAAACGATTTGGGCTACATGAAAGCATCGTATATATTAAAAAAATTCAACAAAATCGCTTTTGCTAGCTGCAATTTGCTTGAATATATCGACAAACAAATAATAGATAATCATTCACTTCTATCAAGCTCCAATCCAACAGGACTTATAACTCTCGCGTCTGGCTTTTCTAATGCAAATTATAAAACAGAACACTGGGAAATTCTTAAAACACTTTTGCATGAAAATCCATTGCTTCATAATGAAAGAGTTGACATTCCTTGGCTGCGATTTGCAGTTGAAATGTTCTCCGTTGGATTTTATTCGCAAATTTTATTTGAGAAGATCTTTAGTACGAAATATCTTGAAGCTGTTCTGAAACGAGAAGAACATTTTCTGAATCATCTTCATCTTTTGAACCTTTGGCAAGCTATAAATCTTCTTATTCCAGATTATAGTGGACCTCAACCCGAACAACGATTTATCGACGATGCAATGGTGATATGCTCAGCCAAAGATACTTCAGCTTTTGTCGATATCCTGGCAGACATCTTTGGTGGCAAAGAATTTATTCAGACGAATGTAATGACAAGTTATGGTCATTGCCTTGACTATGTCATTTCATTTGATTTAAATGACAATCCAATAGCGATGCCATGTAAAATCAAAAATTATGATTCATTGCCAAAAAGTCAAGTAAACTCTACTGCAATTTTCTTCAATGGAAGGAAGCGATTTCCTTTAAATTATCCCGGAAAGTTTCGTGGAAATTTTGACTTAAAACAAAGAACATTGCAAAGGCTCAACATTAATGTTGTCAACATAACACTTCAGACATTGAATAGTTTAGAGGAATCTGAGATCCATGATTACATTGAACGAGAAATAAGACAATGCTTAAAACAGGAAACAAATGTAAGTTAAATTTCCTTAGACTAGATGATGACATTAAACCAAGTTAAGTAAAATAAAATAAATTTGAAATCGAAAATTTAATGCATTTCTTCTGTGATCTTTAGTATTGCAATATATTGGTTCAATAGGATTTTTTTTTCCATTTATTTCCTCGTTATTATGTCAACAAAATGTTGAAATAAAGCTTTTCTTTTCAGTTTTCGTCAGGGGCTGGAGTTAAAATTGAAATTCGTTTCATTCAGTTTACTCGTCATGAAAACCAAATAAAAAATCTTTGCTTAGAAATGAGAATTGGCTTCAATCTCTAGCTCTGATTTTTCCCACTTCAATTTATTTCTAACAAAAATGCATTTTGATATCTCAGTTCAATTTGCTTTATTATTTATTCAGTTTTCAGTGCAGTGACAAACAGAGCTTGACAAGTTTTTTTCTTCAAATAAAATTTCTAGAATTCGTTTTGAAATCGTGAAATAAATTTATGTTTGCAATCATATTTACATTTATAAGGATGAGTGATTTCTGTTATCAAATGTAGTACATATCTGCACAACAATTCCACCGTTGAGAGCTTCATGTTTAAAAATTATTTCTGCATTTGCTTTTCTGTCATGGCTACTCAAAATTATATTTTCATCAACATATTTATTTAACAGAAATGACATTTTCTTCTTGGATATCTTGTGTTATCCTATCATAAAAAAATGTATAACTTTTATAAAAGATAATTCAGGAATCATCCCTATGGACTTCCTTCCCTTCTCAAAAGAATGATGTCAGGTAAATAATCCACATGGAAAATGAAAAATGAAAATGACGAACGGTTTCTACACAAATTTTTTATGATCTGATGTCAAGTTGAAAGTTATGATACATGTCATTTCCCTGTCATGTCATGAAGGAAAAATAAAATAAAAATATTATGCAAAAGGTCTTGATGAGACTAATTGAAAAGCTTAGAAGTGGGCTTAAAATAATTTTTGTTAATGAGCTGGAAAATTTATGTCGCATCATAACTTTTATGCTGAAATGGACATGACTTGACGTTAAATGTATTCAAACTCTGTTAATATCATGAGCTTCTGTTTCTGAGTAAATTTTTTTGATGATTTGTAAAAGCTTTAAAGCCATGTTTTAATGGGGTTTGGCTTGTTTGACAAAGAATCAGATAATGGAAGGTTCGTTGTATTTCTAGAGTAATTTAACCGTGATATCATTGAGAAAAGTCTCGCATTTCATTTAAGCTTTTTAAATGTCTCGCTTCTACATCGATTTGCTTTCAATTATTTTGTAAACGATCGATTACATGACTTCCCATTCGACTTTGTCTGAAGTTCTGTACATTTTATTTTTTTATTTCACCATAAAATCTTATAAAAAGAATACTTCAAAGGTCGATAAGATGTTATTATCTGTATATAACCATTTTTCTAAAAATATCTTTCGAAGATGGAATCAAAGGAAATTGGTAAAATTAAAAAAATAAAAGAAATTTAGATGAAAATTCTCTTCATCGAAATCAATGGCCTGCAACAATGAAAACGATGGTTATCTTTCGCCAACTTAATAAAGATTCAATAAGAAGTTTTCACGTTTCAAGAGATGAAGACAAATCTGATAAAAAATAATTCATTATAATGGAAAATGTCAATGGGAGGGAGAAATTCAGAAATCTCATAAGAAGCAAAGATTTCAAGATGAGTAAATATTTTTTTTCTCCATCTTTAAGTGTTTTCAATCTCTCCGCAATGGTGATAATGGCGTGCGGTTGTACCATTATGACGGTTATGGATATTTAGTGGGTGATTAATAATAATCGAGATTCTCTAACACCGTAAAGCAGAGTGAGAGTGGAAAAAATAGGTCAGAAGTCATGGAAGAGGCTGCGTAGACAGAAGGGCAGGGGAGAAGGAACAAAAGGTGATGTTATATTAATATTAATGAGGCATAATGATTGAGGGTGTTCGAAAATAAGGAGCTTGTATCGATTATTCATGAATCACTTTTCTATAAATTAATCAATTAAGAAAATAGAAACAATCTCATCTTGACTCTTGATTACACTGACTTTATCTTGACGTGAAGCTTTTCCTGAACTTTCACTAACAAATGAATTTGCTTGAGATGAGTCTGCTTAAGTTGATTCTTTGCGAGTAGCACGATTGACGTGATTGATTGAAGGAATAAGGAAATGAAGAAGATCATTATTGTTTTCGTGAGCTTTACGAAAAATTATCGCTGATTGAATGTTTTTTCTTCATTGTCTATTTTAAGAAAGCTTTCACTCACGATTAAAGCGATTAATAATTTTTTTTAATAAAATTTAGTACATTGAAGTGATTAATGACAGTTTTAAGGGAACAAATATTTGAGAAAGATAATTATAAAAGATTATTTATCAAGGTTTACCAATCTTAAATAAACTTTCTCGTTATGATAAAAGAAAAGGGAAAACTCTTCCAACGCATCATGATGATCCACAAATATTCAGAAATTCCAGCTTTAATTCATTAAAATGTTGCTAACCAGCCTACTTTGCTTTGGAGGATTGAAAACACTACAGAAATAAAGAAGCGAAAGTCTACCAATTTCTGCACATTTAAATAAATCATGAAGATTACATTTTCAAGACGCTGTTAATTTCGTTATTTTAAATGGGTATTTGCATTTTTGTGAGAGCAAGATATTTAAAATGTAATAAGAGCGTTGAAAAGTGCTTTAATTCCATTCGAAAACTCTTCTTCTGTTTGTTCACCTTTTCTGGAAAAAGGAGATTCGTTTTTATTTTATTTTTCCATCCTTTTGTTGATTTCAATTTCTCATCTCGAAAATAATTATTTGCTTGCTTCTTGAATCCTTTTTCTTCTTTATTGCTGTTTATTTCCTTATCCAACTCCTTAGAATCCAATTATATTTTAATTAACGACATTTCTATTGTTTGAAATGTCCCTCAGTGCCTAGGCAAGCTAAAATCTCGCCTTCAACATCACAAAGTGTGGGTGAATGAAAGTTCACGGAGACAAAAGGCTGCAAATAAAAGAAATTAAACTTTTGTTTATTTCTCCATCTATCTTTTGTCAACTAACTATCTTGATATCGGCGGGTAAAGAAAGCGGCTTTTGTTTCTTTCATTTTCCATCGTTCACCTCCAGATAATTATAATTGAAATGTATCGATTTTTGCTAGAAATGGAAGCGTCTTAACTGCGTCTTACAAAAGATAATTGACTACAGATTTTGAATAGATGATGATTAAAATGGACTAGGTAGGGACTTGGTCATTTATTTCATTAATAACAATTGAAGAAAACTTTCTACCGAATCTAAGGAACGTAGCCTGAGGGAAGAACAACAGAAAAAGAAGAAGGAAAAAGGCTTCCTTGCTTTTAATAGGCATGTCAATTAAGACAATATCGGGAATCTCAAATACCCTCGTATTGACAAAAGTGAAAAACATTTCGAATTTTTCCTTTCCTATGTTCGAAATCTTTCTTAAAAGTTTAACGAGGGAAAAAGAAAATTCGAAGAAACTTTGTCATTTGTTCACGATCCTTTTCTAGAAAATTGAAATTAGAAGTGTTGATAAAAATTCTTTCTTTTTCAATATTCATTGAAATTGTTTTTCTTTTGAGTTGAATTTTTTGTTTTATTTCTTTCAATATCAAATACATAAGTTATGCAACATCTTAAGAAAACATTTCAGGAAAACAACGTTTCGTGAAAATGATTATTTAAGCTTCTAAATCCTCTTGATTTAAATTCTTATTTTATTATATGAAAGATTCTGTTCGTGAAATTTTCTAATTAGCTATGCGCTTAAAAACTCTTTCTTCTTCAATCGCTTAGTTGACATGAAAATCAAAAAGAATTGCACGTGACAGTAGAAAAGCTAATAAACGAACATTTTGACAGGGAAAAGAACTAATTAAAAGAAAATTTCATTTCATGTTTAAAACTTTTTTCTCCTTTTTTATATTTTATAAGAAGCTTAAGCATCAGTTTCCTTTTACTTTTCCCTTTTTCCAGATATCAAGAACACACGCCAAATGCTAAAAGCTTTTCTTTGTAAAATAAAGATTGAAGTTAAGAGAGCACGATAGAAGCACAACTACCTACCTATATAGAGGCATAAGAGGCTGAGATTTTCAATAAATAAAAATCCGTTAAGATAAACATCTACAAATAGGTATTCAAGTTTAATTAAGTTTTTATTAGACAATAAATTTAAGGAAACATATTCTTTAAATTTAGAGTGAGATGTTTAATAACCGTTGCATTTATTTATAAAGCTTCGTTCTTGTTGTTTAAAGTGACGATAATCCTTCAATCATTTTATTTTCCTCTAAAAGAAAGAAAGAAGAATTTTCTTATGAGTTATGCAATTTTTGGTTGATAAAAGAATATGAAAATGGACCTTCTGTGGCTTTTATCTTTTCTTCAGCCAATTTGGCATCACGAATAACTTTCTGCTTTGCTTCAATTTCTCTGATTCCAACCTCGCGTTTAGCAAGTCGGTTTTGATGATAAGCACCATAAAAGATACCCATAATGAGGAATGACCAGCGTGCAAGCTATACAAGATTATAAAAAACATGATTATTATATTTAAACATAGAAATTTTAAGTTTTTTATGAAAATATTTTGTAAAAAAAAAATAACCCTTTTCCCCTCCCTTTCTTATACCACTTCGAGTTACATAACATTCCTAATATTCAATAAATATAAGCTGTTATTCTTACCTTAATTAAAGGTGACACTCTAACTGGTGTTCCTAATTCAACTGGTGGCGCAGGCATAACTACGATAACCTGTAATTAGTCTTGACTGCTTTTTATATCAGAAAAAAAATTTTTTTTCTTAAGACGTTTAAAAACGAAGCGTTTTACTGAGTTTTGTTCACTGAACGAAGTTTGCTTAGCTAAGGCTGCTATAAAGGGTGGTTCAATTCAAAAGGTGTGGCCGTTAATTTTAATTTAAAACCAGATATGGGCTACACACTAAACGACTGTCATAAATAAAATTGCATTATAATTTTTAATTGCATTTTATTATTTTTTTTACAAATTCATTTTCTTTTTTCAATTTTACTTTTATTGTGATATCTTTCCTTCTTCATGTAATTATATTTAAGAAGCTTAATCATCAGTTTTCTTTTACTTTTCCCTTTTTCCAGATATCGAGAACACACGCCAAATGTTAAAAGCTTTTCTTTGTTGTAAAATAAAGATTGAAGTGAAGAGAGCATGATAGAAGAACAACAATTAGCTGAAACATTAATTTTACCTTTATACCTTCTTTTGATTCAGAAACAAAAACCTTTCACGTTCATTTATTGAACGGGCGTCAATAAGAGTTATTTTCCAATGTGTAATTAGATTTCTTGTTCAAAGCGAGAAATTAAAAGAAGAAAAAGAAATATCTGCAACTTTGAAACATTCTCACGATTGAAAAGTTTTCAATTCAACTTGTAATTAATTTCAGAGTAATTAGCATGATAATGAAAGAAATGGAAAAGAGTTGAAAATGAGAACTCAGTTTTTATAATTCAATACGAATTTAATCAAATTGTTGAGAAAGAGTATTATGCAAGGAAAATGAGATGGAAAATAATTTCCAAGTTGAACATAGCAAAGAATGAATGTTGCTATAGAATTTCCATCTCATGTCAAGTAAATAAAAGTTGAATTTTATTTGCAGTTGATGGTGCATGTAAGCGAAATCGTTTTTTTCGGAATGTTCCACTCGATCCAGTCTAATGTCCATTTCAACGTTTTATAGACCATATCATAAATTAATGTTTAAAATCTTGCCTAAATCGTCATCGATTGTAAAATATTTAGTACCATTCATTTTCTGTTATCTTTTTCTGAAATCTTTTTGAAATTTTCAATAATGCACGCTTCAAAAAGTTGTTAAGAGTTTGTCGACAAGACAATTTGTGAAAAACATTTAAAATATTTTTCCTTTCTTGAGAAAAATTCACAAATTGAATTTGAGACATGATATTTTTACTGCAAATTCAATGACATTCTCTTCCTTATTTGTTTCAATTATTATTAATACTTCGGTCTGTCAATTTACTTGATGGAATATGTGACATCATATAAAAAAGGAAAGATGGAAATTATGAGTTTGTGACAATAATTAAATTATAACTTAGACAATTTTTAAATGTAAAAGTTATATAGACACAGATACCGAAGTTTACATCACTTGAAATGCTTTCCAATAATTTATTTTGGTGTTACTTCTGTTTTGAGCTTCCATCCCCCGTAGCAAGTTTCACTTGAAAAATTCAATTATCGAGTTTTATTGCTTTTAAAAGGTGAAACAATTTTGTCGGAAAAGAACATCGCCTTGTTCAAAAGACAAAGAAGAATGTTTCCCCTTTGTCAGTTTCGGGGCACGAAAATCAATTAATACATAACAGCATTCTGAAATTGCCATTTTATTTTGATGTTAGGGTGGACGAACATTCGTAATGGATTTTTTTATTGAGTAACCTATAGGACGTTGATGTTTCGCTTTGTAAATTCTGAGGGCAATTTTTTTACAGTTTATTTTTTTGGAAAACTCCCACAAAAGTCAAACAAAAGGAAATAAAGTAGTTTAATCGTCATTCTCAAGGAGGGAAGAAAAGTATTCGTGTAAATCCTGTAAAGCAGATTTATTCAACATAAAAATTGAATAAGAAGATGGAGAGTGAGATGATCTATCGAGACGTGAATCTCTAGCTGTTTTATTTATACAAAGCACATTAAAGCGTGAAAATTGTGTCTTTATAAATATTTGTCGTTTCAAGTTTATTATTTTCCTTTCTTTTCTTCTTTCTATCACTGATGTAATGTAAAATAGATTAAGGATTTGTGAGAAGAATGAGGAAAGAAAGGAAAAAGGCGATGAAAGATAAAAATGAAAATCTAGTGGATTGGAAAATGCTGGAAAAATGTTGATGTTCTAAGGTTGTAAATTTGTTTCCCTTTAAATTTTTATGAACCTCAAGTTGATTAAATGACCTAAATATTGATCGTTAGAATAGATGACAATGTTCTAATTCGAAAATTAACGAAGCTTCACCCGATCAAATGAAGCTGTAATCATTAAGGTCCCTTATCTTCTTATTAAAAATCTATTTTATCTATGTTGCTCGACTATGTTCGAAGGCGTGAACGAAATGCAAACATTTTCAAAGATTAAGCGATTAAAGATAAGAAGACGACTTCCATTAACATACATTCTTAAAAAGCCGGAATTTCAATTTACACATTTCTTCTTTCCCTTTTCTCTGCTTTTCCTTTTTTATCTGCTTTCACCATTCAAGCTCTTACATTTTCTCCAATCTTTTATCCATTGTATTCTTTTTCCGGGGATATTCGGAAGTCTTCGGGATTCATTGTGTAAGCCGTTAAGTCCTTTTACACTCTTGTGGATTATGATCAACATTCGGTTCTTGTGATTTACTCGTTTTCTTTATAAATTCTATCAGAACTGTTATAAAAAATAAATGAATCAGTTTTTTAGAAATTTAAAGCTATGAAGAAGTTCATGGAGCGGAAAAACATGATCATTGCATTCCATATTAAAACTATTTTCTATATGAAAAATTCTGCAGCATATGAAGTTTGTAAATAACCGCAAGTTTCCAATTTGTTTCTATTCAAATAAAAAACTCATTTGGAAAATGAAATTTCGATTCATAAATATTTTTTCAAAACTTTATTTCCTCAATTAGGTAACAAAATTCATTGGTTTTCCTGCTATAAATGAGATCACATCATTAAATCCTTATCACAATAAATAAACATTCCATCACAAAATTTCAATAGAATCCTTTTTGATTTTTGACTAGAGAAATTTTCATAACAAAATAAATCAGTTTTCCGATGTCAAATTTCATTTAAAACTTTAATTAAAAGCAAATGTTTATTGTATGAAAACGCGATTATGCACGAAATATTCTGCATAATGAATTAATTATAAACATGGTTCATGAATAATCAGCGAAGAATTGTTACAATAGATTATTAAAAAAGTTATCATTCATTTTCGCCTACATTTGAAATCGTATGCAAATTTCCACTCTCACATTTCAAACATACATTTGCTGATTGTTTTGTATTTCAGTTTTCCATAAAGCTTATCAAAAAGCATCACTGAAGCTTTCCGCTACAAAAATCAGATTAAGTAATCCTTCTATATGCTTGATTTATATTTAATTCACTTCACTTTTATCATATGTACATACGTAGGTAGAGATTTCAGTATTAACTCGCATAAAATGATCTTCATAAATGGAAATGGGTTTTCAATATTTTTCTATCTCCTTCTCTCTCCCTCTTCCCATTTGAGTTGGTAGAATTGCATTTTCGAAAGTCGCATGGATAGAATGAAATTAAGTGGGTGGAAGCGGAAAGCTTATCGCTTTTTGAAATACTTGCTTTCGATGATTTATTTTCAGTTCAATTCATAAATTAAAATTTTATCCAGTTGAACTTTTATTTTCTAGTTTGTAGTGAAGCTAGAAAGATAAATATTTAGAACTACCTAATATATGAATAGTGTAATAAACGGTGAAATATAATCGTAAAGCTGCTCATTGTGGGTTTAGTTTTCCTTCAATTATTAAGAATTTTCATACGTACATAAAGTTGAGTTTCGAGACCATGTGGTAATTTTGAAACGAAAATAAATTTATTAATTTTCATTTACATATATGTAGAGTAACTAGGTACATAGGTTTTCCTATATTTATGTTGACAAAAAAGATAAAAAAAGAAATTTTAAGTGTTAACGATGCAGTTGCATCATACAGCACAGCTTTTCAGATGTAAACCGGTTAAATAAAACAAACAACTATTAGTATTTATGGTTCAGGAAATTTGAATCGTGGAATATTTAAAGTTTTATTTTTATTTCGTGAAACATAATGAAAGTTTATGATAGCTTGTAGAAGATTAAGCAACGATGCTTTAAAATTTAAGAATGCTTGCATTTGCTTTTTGGTGGAATTTTTTTTTATTGCAAACGAGAGTTTTTCTCAAAAAAAGAAACTTTTATCTTTTGAAAGTTTTAAATATTTCAAAGCTGATGCTTTTTCCGAGAGTAAATAAAAAAGTTTATGAAAGATAGAACAGCGTGGGAAAAGTTTATATTTTTTTTAAGTTTTGTTTTCATTGCTGAATTCAATGCAATTCTGTTATCGAGGATTTAGCTAAAATTTGAATTTTTTTGAATTTGAACAATTTTATTTCATTTGAGTACATGTGCTGTGTAAAATGTAAAATGTGCTGTGTTCACTGCTTAAATTTGCAAATGTTGCAGAAACATTATTTTAAACAAATTTGTTTTAATTTTTAAAACTACAGTTCATAAAATTCTTCTTTAATATTCCTCAAATGTTTGTGATAAAAGTTCAAAGAGAATGTTTGAATTACAGGAATCTGGGGAGTCCAATCATTAAGATTGTATTTTTAGAAATCAGTTTATGGTAACAGTAGGTGCCGTGTTGGTTTTTCTTATGGCTGGCATCATAAAGTTCCAACGAATGACTCAAAATTTACAGCTGCTAAACTCCAAAACAGAAATGTAATCAGTTCAATGATTTTGTTGATATGTTTTGTTGTTCCCAAGTGTCATCTTGACGTTGCAAGGAAACTTTTATCCTTTTAACATTTTTCGATTTTCCAAGGATGATGCAGCATTAAATAAAAGCATCTTCATCGACATTATTCTTTTATGATACGATCATGAAAAAATGAAAATCATATTCTAACGCAAAGCCTTTTCACCTTCCGTTTTATGTCAAAATCATAATGATTTTATTGCTATAAACCAATTTCATGGGATTACCCTAAATAATCCCTCAACCATCACTTCAAAATATTATCTACCTTCATTTAATCATGACTATGCTTTTTCTTTATTCATTTCGTAACATAAGAAATTACGTTTAAATTTATAGATAGATAAATGTAATTTGGAGTAATATCCTTTTTCAAAGATTCTTTGAAATAAAAGCTTTTCATGCTTCTCATGCAATATCCACGGAAAGCTTCCTTTTATTTTTCTAGCTGTTAACTTTACTTAGTAAAATGATTGTTTAATTTTAGAAGGAGAATGTTCTCTTTCGTGCATTACAATAATTAATTTTAGCTCAATGGATGTCAAAAACGTTATCCATTTTTCAATGTAGATATGTGGAGATGAAATTTATTGCATGAGATATTTCAAGGAATGTAGAATGTGTACATAAAATCGAAGAGGCTGCAGTATGGATGAAAATGAAAAGCTAACAGATCGCGTGCCTTTCGTAAAGTTATTTTCACATTAAAATCACGTAACTGCAATAAATTTATCAGCTTTGCATAGTAAATATTGAAATCATCTATACAGGAATAAGAAAAAGATCATAAAAATGTCAAATTTCAAGCACAAACATTTTATGATTTAAACAGTAATAAAAGTTAATGTCGTCGTTTGTTCAGATATTCATGAAATTATATTTTGTCTTTGATTGTTCATAAATATGGAAGCTTTTGAAGCTATGATTGTTATCTGTAATAGAAATTCACTTCAATTTCTTTTACTTTTTCGGGGGCTTGAAAAATAAATTGAAAAACAAAAATTCAACCTTCACACTTTATTCATTTGATCATAGCTTTAAAAAGTCTTCATAACATCTTAAGTTAATTAATGAACATTAATAAACATGGTTTTCCTTTGATTAAAATCAAATGAAAAACTTTCATCTTGATGAAGAAAATCTTTTCCATTCTAATGCTTTTTAATCATTGTAAGATGGGAAAGATTGCAGGAATAAAATGTAAACAAAAGTTTGTTGAAACTTCCGACAACTTGAGTTGGTGGCATTAAGAACTTATAATCTCTTTAACAAACGTCGTATGTTGTCATACATGTAAAAAGAAGGTTTAATTTAACGTAAATTATGATGATAAGACTCAAGAGTTATGACACATCGCTGTCGCGAGTAAATGTGAATAATTCTTAATTCATAAACATCTGCTAAAAGATATTTGGTTTTATAAAGTTTTCAGGAAGCATCTTGGTTAACATAAAGAGAGAAAGACAGACTCTACGATGATAATTTATTGAAGTAAAAGTATATCATTAAATCTGATGGCTCAAAGTTTTAAAGCAAGCATGAACAGCGACTGAAGAAGAACGTCAGTGAAATAAAAAAGAACTTTTGTTAATTAAAGCGACAAATGCAGTGAAATATACAACACACATAAAGCTCTGCTATAAATTAGCAACATTTTTATAGCTTAACGATTTGTAAAATCAAAGTTTACATTTGGTTTAACGACTGATGAAGTTTCGAGGAAAGCTTAGAAGCGTTCAACCACACCATAAATCTGAAAATGTGGGTCAGTTTTTTGGGTTGGGTGGAGAGCATTCATCTGAAAGTTTAAAACATAATAGAACAACTCTCGTTAAGACAACATATTGAAAGCTTCTTTTCACATATTTATTTATTTAATGTTACGATTTTCTGTAGTAAAGTTTGGCTAAGTTGATCCAACAAAGTTCGAAGTTTGAAACACCTCGATAGGTAGTAATGATTGTTGTTTCAATCAAGATTAAGTAAATTTAAATACTTTCCGTCCGAATAAATTTCAATTCAATACCTGGTAAAGGGAAAACATAAATCACAGAAATCCCTTCCATGAAATCAAATTCTAAAAGCTTCTTTTTGAAGCACAAGAAGTTAATTCAATTACTTCACGGCAAATAAGGAATAACTACAGCTTTTTATTAAATTATTGAGGGTTTGAAGTTCTTCTTATCGTTCTCTTAAGCTCATATTGTTCGTTAAATAAAAGTCATGCGATGTTTCTATAAGGCAATTTCTTCGAGGCTTTCGTGAAGGGATCGAATAAATAAGAGGATAATCTTCTCCAATTATACATAGGTTAAAGTAAGCACAATCAATGAATTTGTAAGAACACACCCACTCAAAGCTCGTCTTAGAGAAAGAAGTAATGCTCTTTTATTTCTGTTCAATAAATTATGGTATTTGAGGGAATCGCATGACTGATTATAGCTTCCGCTTCAAGCACTTCTTTGTGTACTTTTACCCCATACTTTACTTCTCCCAGTTTTTTTTCTCTCGTTTCTAATCACGGAAACATCAGATACAGTTACATATGAAGAAATCGTTTTCAATATTTTAGCAGATTGAACGCAAAGTTACAACAGTTAAGAAATGGGGCTGTCACGGAAGCATTAGGCAGAAGAGTTTCAAAAACTTTTTCCAGCTTTTCTTCGAACTTTTAGAAGCTCAGTAATTATTTTGCAGATCAATTCTGCCTCAGTATTCACAACTTAACATGAAAATGGGTCGTTAAATAGTGAAAGGAAGCCTTGTCAATGTGCTTGAGTTCTTTTGAATTTAGAGGAAATTGCTTTCTTTGTGTTCGACAAAAAAATAGAAAAAAAATATGAAAAAGAAAGAGTAAATGTTGCCCGACCAAGAAATTATTTATTTCTCGATAAGAAAATATTTTCCTTGTCAACCTTTTCTTTTCTAGGGAAAAGGATGAAGTTCACATATTTTTTTATTCGTAAATCTCGACAATAGACATTGATAATTGAAATATTTTAGGGTATGATAAAAGGAAAGAAAATTTTATAACATGCATCTGCTTATTTTAAAACCAGTGATTTGATTTTCTTTGGCAACAAGGCAACGTGATTTGGGTTCGCAGCTGCTTTGCTTGGGGTCAATTATTCGTATAAGAAACAAGTCGACTTCAAGGGTACTAAAAGAAAAGTCAACCACCAAGAGTGAACATCTTAACAGTGGATGGAAAACGACAAAAAGGTGATTTTCGTTTTGTACATTCAAGACTTGACATGATTGACTAAAAGTCATTCAATAAGTCAGAACATTCCTTCCGTTTACCATACTTCTAAAATCACTTTCAACTTCCGTTTACATGTCACAAAAATTTTTTTCATTGACTTTCAATTCCAATTTGAAAGCTTTCACTTTCTCCAACTGATATTCTTTGAATGAAATCAATTACACGTGACTTGTTAGTTTACAAGTGATTGAATTGCTGTTGTTGTGTTGACCATCATTTTACTCTCAGAAGCATTCACATCGAAAATTTATTTGCTCCTGAAACAATGACAGTCGACGTTGCAGACCACCAGTCACTATTCATGTCGTTGTCAGATCATCACGTACATATTTAATCTCACGTTTAAGCAGTCATGTATTTTCGATTGTCTTTTTCATATAAATAAACTCCATGTAGCATTTCTTTTGTTATTATTTTTTCAAAAGCTTATATTTTCTTCGTCCATGTCAAACATTCCAGAAATTCTTTGTTCGTTTATGTTCTAAGCATAAATACATAAATATCTACGTCTCAACGCATCAAGCGATAATTGAATCATCATCATCATCATCATCTGAAACCACTCAATGCGTGTTTATTATTTCTTTGCATGAGTGGAATAGAAGATTTTTCACTCAGTCGTGCAACTATGTGAGGCCAGTGAACATGCGTCCACACAAGAGAAAATTCAATTATGGAATTTAATCCCTGTGTCTGTAGCTTCATGGTGGTTGCTTGTGGATAGCAAGAAGTTTTGGAGTATTTATCGTATGAAGTAAATTATAAGTGACTGATTGATGTTCAAAATTAAAAATATAAACAATAACTAATCAATAGACAACCCATTCCAATATTTATAATCTCAAAATTCATTAAAATGATTCCACTCTCAAACTTAACTTCCTTCATTGAATAGATAAATATTTATGTAAACATAAGGAAGGCTGTCTAAATATTAGAACAAAAGAGACATCCATGGCAATGAAAATTGTAGTCGAAAATTCTCGTCCAACTTGCTAACCTCATCAATTTCAATTTCCATTTTATAAATAATTGATTCGTGTTCTTTCTAAGACAGCAGCAATTTGAAAAATTATGCTTTTCTCATTCAGCATCATGCATAATTAATGTAAGTGTGCTATCATTGTTGGCATCCAATTTTCACGATTGGATTTTTTTCCCTACTCTCTTAAGTTAAATGCTTTACAAACTTTCAAAGTAGGGAAAACGACTTCCTTCGGAGAATCTAAAGAGAAAAATCATTTCCATAAATTAATTCATTCTGGAAAAATCTCTTTTCTCCATTCACGGTGATAATGTGAATTTAAATTTTTAAATATCCACTTTTTTATTTCTTTTATCCCTCTTCTAAACACTTCTAGCGATTGTGTGACTTCGCTTTCTGTTCCAAACTACCTTGGCCCTTCCATGAAACTTTTATACTTGTCTGAATTATCACACTTTTGTTTTAAACGATAATGCTCGCCTCTGATGATAGTGTTGCTTTTAACGCTTGACATGAAGCGATGTTGAACGGTGAATGGAGAAAAATCCATGGGAAAATGTGACAACATAAAATGTGTTGAAGAATAATAGAAAAGGACGAAAATTTCCAACAACATTTTATAAAGCATGAAATTTTAAATGTGATGTCTTCAACCCGTTTCAATTAATATGTTTAACGCAGATGGAAATCATTTCTTCACAAGCCCCAATCTAAATCGCATTATAAGTTAATAAACATAGAAGACAGAAGCAAAAGAAAGTTACCAACTTCTTTGCATGTTTTTGAAGCAATCCCTCAGGGAAAAAGGAAGAAACTTTTCCGTTCAACAATCGGACGGACATCCCATTATTCAAATTTGAAAAGGAAAATATTTCAAATTCGTTGAAATGAAATCTCGAAATACGATTTCGTTTGTCTTATTCTTCTTCTCTTTCTTAAATCCCGACAAAGATTTTATGCTGAAGATTCTTCATGGAAGAATGATTGTTAAATAAAGCAAAAGGAATAATTTTAAAATCTTCCTATCAAGATCAATTATAATGTTAGAGGGTTGAATTGCTATCAGAATTTATTAAAATTTTTATTATCCAGCTAAGTAACAACCACAAACTGCATTTTTAATGTAAAAGGAAAGGAAATGTTGTGGAAGTAAAAGTTTTAGACGAATATTTAGGAATTTAAATAGTTTTCGAATATATTTAAATTTAATCCTTTCAAGTTTCATCCTTTATGCAAATGCTACACTTAAGCCTAATGTAAAGTGACTAGGATTGTAAACATTTCTGTCTGATGTCTCTCAACAAATATTTGAGAAGAATAATATCAAAGGCAAGTGAAATATCTTTGAACTCAACATGTTCTCAATCGATCAGCATTTACCGTAAAAATTAGTAAGGCAATTGAATTCCATTCATGAAACCTTCGAGTGTAGCTCTCATATATGTAAAGAATGATTGCAAGTTTGAAGAAAATTTCATTTCCCTCAATCATTAGATTTATAACGTCAATAAATTCATCCAAAGAACATCCAAAGTTGAAAAGCACAATTAATGATAAAAAGGCTCGAAGCCATATTTTCGAGATAAGCGTTTATAATGATGCTCGTAAAATGCTCGAATCCTTTTAAAATGATATTAACCCGACTTCACCAAGGAAGCGATATTCATAAGCAGTGAAGGCAGAATCGTAATAAAACTTTTTCCTTTTTCTTTCGACAAAGTAAGCATATGTTACATTCCTTTCTCCGTATACGAAAAAAGCAGCGAGCGAACTTCTTTTTCTTATGCACGACGCGGCTCCCTTAATGTTTGTGTAAAATCTACCAGAATATTTATGAGCGCCGAGGCATTAAGCAATGAGAAAATTTTCTTCATAAAAATCTGATTTTCTTCTTCCTCCTTTTCATATTTTTTCTTCTTCTCGTTCTTTGTCTTTCTCTCTCTCGTGTTTTCGATGAAAATCTGATTTCAATGGTAACACATGGAAAATTTAATTTTGGTGAAATGAGTTTGAATGGCAGAATAAGTCTCAAGACCTCAGAGTTTACGGTTTCAAGTTTTTAATTTTTTTTATTTCGCGGAAACCGAGCTTCCAAAAAAATGATTACGAATTTATTAGCTTGGTAACATTCATAAATAAATTTTTCATATTTTTCGCTAAACAAGATATTTTTTTATCAGAATCTGCTGATGTTGTTCAGGTATGAATATCTGATAAGAATTTTTATTTCTGACTTCGTAACACTAACCTTGGTCACTTTAATTTTTAAAGTCATTTAGATATCAAATTCATAGAGAAACCATACGAGTTAACGACCTTCATCAGCTTCAGAATGTTCAAGTATTGATTCAGAATTTTCATTTTTCTAATTAAGTTCACGTTTATTTCCACCTACACTTTAAACTTTATTTAATATGCAACTTATACTAATATTTTCATAAGTATCATTCCACTCGATCTGAAACAGTGTGTGATGAAAGGAATTTTAAAATCATAAAATTCAAATTTTCCAATATTAAAACTTTTAACCCCAAAGCATCTTTTGAAAAAGTTTTATGCTATTAAAACGATGCGGTTTTCGTTCCTCTCTGCTAATTACTAAGTTTTCCCATCAAAAAATATTCTCTCGGATTCTCTTCTGTTTCGTCATTTAGAAACCACAAACAACTTCGCGACTAAACGAGCTAAAAGTTTGATAATTTCATTTCACTTAAGCGCACTTTGAGTCTAATCAAGAATTCTTCTTTTATGTATTGTTCGCTCCATAAACACAAAATCGAACCATGAAGAGAGAATTAAAGCTTCTATTATCGAATCCTTGGATAACTACGAATTGATGCACAAAATATGTTTTTAATTAAGCTTCGAACGTGTATTGAATAGCTTAGGCTCGGACATTATACGCAAACATCATACTTTTCTCTCTCAGACCGGAAGCAAAATGTTCTGGAAATAGCAGATCAATATTTAGCAAACGTGCATGGTGGGAAACTTGAAACTACTCTTAATATAATGAATTAGAAGGCGATCGTTAATTCTGCTAAAACAATCATTACTTTTTATCATTTCCATTTGGGAAAACGAGAACTTTTCCCTCCCTTTCTCGCTTCCTTTCTGAGGGCGGAAGTTTGAAAAGGTTTTTCTTTTTTGATGCGTGATTATATGTTATGGAAACGGGAAGTTCCATGAGATAAAAGTTCATAAAGCGGATTGTAGTAACATCATTTACAGAATCGATTTTGATCACTGATTTTCTTTACTTACCGAAGGGAGACGACCATCAACCGCATGTGTTTGCAGTTAAAGCTTGAACTTTATTAAACTTTGATATTTCCCAATCCAGGGGTCGAGAACATTTTCAATAGATTACAATTGATGGTCAATGGTTTTCATGTTCTATTTCAATTCTAACAAGCATGAAGCCTCTCATAAATTTTGTGGATACAACATTTCTTAATATAACAATACACTGCAGTCCCAACGTGGTTTGACTCTGACTCTATTTATTTAATTAAATAATGAAACTTCAAAGTTTGAGCAGTTCTCTTGAGACAATAAGTTCAAGATTATACTCTCTTCACTTTCTTCTTCTAGTGGAGTTTGGAAATTGTTTTATTTTGAAGATTTTTTAAAAAAGTTTTTTTGTGCTATTTTTCTTTTATCTCCATCTGGTTCAATGCAAGGCGATATCTGCAATGGCAAAAAAAAAAGAAATAAAAGATTTCTTAAGACTTTCGCAACTGTTGTCTTATTCTGAACACAAAAGCAACAAAGCATGGAGACAGTTGAGAAGGAAAAGCATTATGGAAAAGAAAATGTTAATTACTTCAGAGATTCTTCTTCTTTCTTCCATCGAGAAGTAGGAAACTTTTATAATTTAATGCAGACAAATTATTCTTTCCTTTTCCGGCATTTGCGAGACAAAAATGCAGAAGTTTTTGTTTTATTTTATTCATCTTCTTAGTTCGCAATTGTGCTTGACCCTTACTGTAAACAAAAATCTTTAATGCGCTTCTGAAGAAGTTTAGAAGAATAAGTTTTAATTGAAAGCTGTTACACTTTATTACCATAGTGGCTGACAATCTCCAACACTTTTTATTCATCGTAATGAAGTTTCAAATCAGAGTTGAAATTAAATTGAGTAATTGTCTTCCTGTGTTTACTGTCTACTGATTTCAACAATGAAGTAAACAACTTCAAATGAAGATATATAAATAAACAGACAAATCAATGAAACAACAAACGATTTATCTTCGAACAAATATCTAACATCATTAAACAGATCGAAAATCAATAAAATTTCGGATTCAGAATTCAGACGCTTGCAGCAAATCAACATAAATGAATAAAAATCTTTATGTTAATATTCTTCGATGCTGATTTAGTAGTGTTGGATAGCAAATCGACTTCATCATTATTATTCATTAGCATTTCCTAATATGAAAATGTCGTGACGGAGCTTGATGGTGCAATCAATCATTTCAAATGATGGAGTGCTCCATCAATTTGGCATTTTAATTATTTTCTCTCTTCTTTTTAATTTTAATTCGATGGAAAAGCGCACATTTGAGAAATGTTCGATCAATGATGTTGCACGCAATTTAATTTATTTCTTTTCTCGCACACGTATAATTTCTCAGTTGTTTCCATAAATCTCAAGGAATGAAAGAATCATAAACTCCACAGAATGGGAGAAAACGTACAAAAAGGATTTGGAGTAAGAACGCAACCTCAGTACTTCAATTTTATGATGTCGAGCAGGTTTCTTCCATCTGCAATCTCCTTCAGCCCCACCGAAGGATGTCTAAACCTGACTATACGACTATCTCTACTCATCCATGTTATGATATATGATCTAATGCCCCATCACAAAGATTATCTCTCAGCGTTGAGCAAAAAGGGAAAGGAAAACTTTCCTTGAATCTTAATAATGCGTCCATAGATCAAAAAAAATTGAAATGTGTAAGATGGTCCCTCGCCTGTGGTTTCCTTCCATGTTTCTTTCTCATGCTTCGAGATTATAATCGTGAATATATCAAGCATTCTGAATGCTGCATCTTATAATAATAATAAGTATATTTTCCGCATGATTTTCCTTATAATATATTTTCATACAGTTTTCATGGATTTTTTGTTTTCCATTCAGGGATGAAATTTCTTCTTCTGCCTTTGGGAAATATATGTCAATGCTGTAATGTTTTCCAATGATTTTGATTAATTGAGCTAGGGAAATAATGTAAATGATAAAATCAAGGTGATTATGATTAGATATCTTGATCTATTACATATTTTGAAGGTCGTGTTTGGGATGGAAGATTGATGGATAGAGATTTAACTTAATGATGGAAACATTGAGTGTTTGGTGAAAATTCTGCAGATTTTCCTTTCTAAACTGAAATTTTTGGTTGAGTTGACAGAACAGCTGGATAAACTTTATTGAACTTTCACTTCTGTCTCGTTATGTCTCGTTCATCTTCAGATATGTAGCCAAACTTCAGTTTAGCACTATAACTTTTCCTTGTCATTCTACTTAGTTACTTCATCTCTTGACTTCAACATTTCCTCCTGAACTTGATATTGAGAAATTTCAAGAAGTTGAGGGGGCGTATTCGGAATATAAAAACTAATGTTGTAAACTGTCATTCCGATGGAAATTTCATGCTTTTTTTCCTTCTTAATATATTCTGTGGAAAAAAGAAAGTAAAAGATGTTTTACTTATGTTCATATATCGTCTGAAATGAGAAGGAAAAACTTTATTGCATAAGTTTACGTTCTAAGGCCTTACAAGTAGCATTCATTGCTCACGTTGTCATGAAGGGAGAAACTAAAAGTGTAATTTGATATTGCGTTTAAATTGAAGTAGGGAAGATAAATTCTTTTCATTCACTTCATGTCAGAAGTTGTTATGACTTAATTGGTATCTAACATTTCATTCTTCCTTGAATCTAATTTTATGAAAATGCCTTTTGAATATTTTTAATAATAATTTAATGTTGATGGGAAAGGAACGGATAACTTCACTTACTTCACCTTCAATGGTAAAATTTCCATCCGCTTGTTCATTTCTAATTTCATTTCAATTCCCTGGAGCATCTCAAAGCAAATTACAAATCTCCCTTCGCTGTAATCTGGTTCGTTCCTTTCGTGCTCATCTTCATAAATATTATTAGTTTATATTATGCGATAGGGATCGAATACAGTTTTTGCACATTACCCATAGAAAAAAAATAGAAAAAAGTAATTTTAGTTCGGTATGTTTGGTTGAGACAAAAAAAAATGTGCACATGTATCGAAAACTGAGTGAGGGTTGCTGTAGAATGTGAATGGAATTTTTATGTTGTGATCCGACCGAAGGGTGAACAGAACGTGTAATAATTGCAAATAATTCAAGGTTGACAGGTTCATGGTTCATATCAAGAATTCTTCATCAGATACAATACAAAGACATGCAACTTTGTCATGCATTGAACCACTTTGTTGGTCATTGTTGCTTCTTATCTCGTATAAATATAGTTTTTTGTTAATTTTTCACACCATTAACTTCTGATTCTGAGTCAGTTTTTATTCGGGGTCTTAGAGATGAACTCACCTCTGGTGGTCTTCTTACTGTTTTCGCCCTTTCGAAAACAGAAATTAACTTTTTTTTCTAGGGTGTGATAACAAATGGCTAAAATAAGCAGAAAACTAATTTTGGGATTATGATCTAATTGTCTCTTTTCTGTGTTTGTGTGTAGATGAGTGAATGTGAATGAATGATAGATGAAATATGAGAGTTAGTCAAAGTACTTGAGCTAGAAAATCGCTCATAATGTGTCTAATGGTTCACTAAGCAAAGCAAAGGAACACGAAAAAGCGTGAAAGAAACTTTGTTCCATCGTCATTTCCATTATCAAATTATCACTCATCTAAAGTTTTATACTCCTCGAGCAAGCAATTAAGTCCTTGAGTGTGCTTAGCTCAACGCTTTTTCCCAAACTGATCCTAAAATGCTTTTTGTTAGCTCTTAAAGAAAACTTTTCATTTTTTTCTGCATTACAAAGCAGTTTAGCTTTGAAATCATTTTTCATGAATGCCAAAAATTGCGTTTATTGTTCTTGGGTCGATTCTCGAACTCTTTACGATTAAAGATGCTTACGCTAAAGTTCCTTTATGAATAATAAAATAATAACACTCATGATATTTTATTATGTTGGTACTTAATATTATTATTACTCGTTGTCACGGGGACCCATGAAGGAGAAAGAAAAGGAAAGAAAGAACTTCTCTCATGTTTAATTCAAAGATATTTTTGTTCTGGGGTTTAGAGATCATGTAGTCTGTGTCACTCAACATGGCAGGGGTTTTACGTTGAGTAAGAAGTTTGTGTATGAAGGATTTACTGTCTTAAACATAAGCAAAATGCTTATCAAATATATTTTACTTTCATCTTTTCATTCTTTCTTTTTGGGGAGAAAGACAATAATTCCACTTCGCATTTAATTTTCCGGGGAAGAAATGAAGAATCAAGATAAATGTTTGAAAAAAGGGGAGAAAATTTCCATTTTCTTATGAATTCTATTTCATGTTCTAATGCTTTTATTCTTTATGCAAGGATTCACTTCTATGAATGAAGCATTTACCTTTACATTTTCATCATTGACTGAAGATTCACAATGAAAGCATTTCACCTGCTTCGCATACGTATCTATGTTCAGAAGAAAGACTTTAGACAGCAACTTCACTCGAAGGAAAATGATATGAAGCATAAGCGTGTTTATGTGTGCTTGAAATAATACAATTCTCCCCAGAAAATTTATGTTCAGACTTACATGCGTACACATTACATTATTTATGCTTTGTTTTGATTTTCGAGAACGACAAACATTTAGACGCGAAACAAGGAACTTGATTTTGCACAATCACTTAAAATGATTTTATTCTGCTTTTGTCGGTGGGGGGAAACAATAAGTGTCGTTATTTTTATTTTATCTACTGTCGAGTCTTTTGTTTATTTCTAATCTCTTCAAACTTTAGTACTTTATTTTATGATCGTATAGGAATCACGTCACTGACAAACAATCGCTCAACTTGACAAACGAAAAGTTTTTTGATTTCCAGAGAATATACGTAAACAGATTAGAAAACATTGAAAATTCATTAGAAGAGGATTGTTTGCTGTCAATCATTGTTTTTGCACTTCCAAACTGAGATTTCCCTTTGGTTTTGTAAAATGAATTGAAAATTTTCATTTTCCTATCCACAGGGAGAAGTTTTTTCGAACAATGTAAGTACAACAGCGTTTCGCAAATTCAATTTTACTGATTTTTGAAATGTTTTGCGTGTGTGTAACAATCGCTTCGTTAAAGTTTCCTATTCTATGATTTTTTTGGTATTTTCAGAACAAAATGAAATACTCGACAGACATCACCATCAGTTGTAAGAGGAAAAATAGCTTCAGGCAGTGCAAACACCCAAATTAGAGACAATTGATTGCTTCATATCAAAAATGATGAAATTTTTCTCTCCAATTCCAAAACGTTTTCATTTTTCCATTGATTTTCTTTCATTTCATTTCAGTTGCCTTAATGCACTGCTTTTGCTTCTTAAATTTTCATGAAATTGATTATCTCGTGATAGGGAAGAAAACTTTTCCCAACTTTTCCATTTAATGTGAGGCAAAAGAAATCCAGATTTAATATAAAAATTTATCCAACTCAACCTTTCATAATTCTCCATCGTTCTTTTTCTCCCCTTTTTGATTGTTTAAACGTCGTCATTTTGCGGGGGAGAAAGAGAAATAAAGCCTTAGAATCCCTTTCGAGTGCAACTGAACATGTCGATGTAGAAAACAATTTCAAATTTGTTTCTTTTTTAATATCAGAGCTAGAGAGAAAAAGTTAAATTGTTGGGACGTGATAGGTAAATCCTCGAGGGGCTTACAGATCCTTGTCAAAGAATGAATTGCAGTTCAACTTCGTTTATATCATGTCTGATAATGGCAAACACTTTTAAGCAATTGCAACCTGATTGTTGTTTGTGTACAATAAAAATGTGAATTGCTTTAGGGATTTCGAGGGATGAAACAATTTTGACTATCTACCTAAATACATTTTCTCCTTTCTTTCAACTTCTCCAAGTTAAAAGCTTTCAATCATTGTTAAACACATTAGTGGAAAATCTCTAAGTTTTCAACTCCAATGATTTTCCCATGAATTGAAAATCAATGGACTTAGAAAGCTGTCAAAAGACTTCAAAAGATTTTAGATTTCTCGTTAAATGATTGGCCGTGATTGTTGCTCAATGAGCGCATCATTTGTGCTTTATCGATTGAAATTGAAAATGTTTTCATGTTTACCCGCAAGCTGAGCGATACGAAAAATTAAAAAAGAAAAAAAAATCCCCAAACCGAAGCGGAAACGTTATTAATTTAGCTTCATTAGCTTCAATAGCTTCCATCCGAGCAATGTTCATGGACTCATAAAATTTGCATTTTCAAATTACGACATATTTATGCTCAGCTTTATTAAAAAATATTTTACGAGTCCCAGCGAGAAAAAAAATTGTGGTTTATAAAAAAGCGAAGGGCGAAGGCATTTACCATTGAATTTATTTTAATAAATTTTAAGTTTTTTTTATCCTGTTTAATGTGAAATAATTTCCCGTAATGGCATCATCTTCATAAATAGTAGACTTCTCCCATGGATCATTGTGTCTTTGAAAGTGATAATCCGAAAGCCATTGTAAATACTTATAAAGAAAATTTTATGACTTCATTTCCATCCGATGGCGTAGAAAGCTTCTCTCTGTCACGATGATGTGATTTTAATTCATGATCGTAAAATGAAAACTTCACAGCTATATTTATGAAACTTTAATGGCGGAGTTGATGTGGAAGGCGATATTAACTAAACATTTCGAAATGGCTTAGGAAACAGGAATCTCCGCTTCTTTAACAACAACTGATAATAAAAATTTTATCACGTATCAACTGCTGAGAGAGAGGAAGTGAAATGGCTCTAAAGCTTGATATTTCTTTTGGTAGCTTAGCCGATCATGAAACTTGTTTCGAAACTAGAGAAAGCATGATGCTGGGAATATTTTTACCATATCCATTACGGGTTTTTATGGTCATTCTCTTACATTCATGTGATAGAGCTGTATAACAAGAAAATGGTATAAATCATAAAATAGATCATGGAATTACGGAATTACGGCGGCAATGAGGGCAACCGATGGTGGGGGAATAGAGGGTAATAAAATACTTGATTAGATGGAGTTAATGTGTGCAGTGAAGCTTAAGAACTTCTGTGAAATCTTCCTAAAAGCCATTTCTTGTTTTCATCGATAAATCTCTGTCGGAACAAAAGTTTTAAATTGAGTTTCACCAGTTTTTGTTAATCAACATTTTCGTTGTGAGATTAGGATTTATGCTTTTCTATGTCCGAGAAATTAGCAACAATTCTTGTGTCGAGATTAATTTGGAAATAAATATTTTAAATTTATATCCTGGCTCGGTTGTGAAAATGTTATAAATTGTAAATGTTGTTTTGAACATTAATTTGTATACTCAAATGCTTAGACATAATTGTTTGCTTAGCTTTGGTTTTCAGAATGTTTTCAGCCTGCATGTAAAATTAGAAAATTTTCTGAAGGGGAGAAAACTAATTTTCAATCTTTTTTCTCTCGACTTTTACGGCCTTTGTCTAGAGGGCACAAAACTTTCTATAATTTAATATGCAACAATAATAAATAAAGCATGAAAGAAAACGAAATTGTTCGACTCTCCACTCTTCATTCAACTCGATAAACTCATCCCAACGCACCATTTTCCGTTCGTTTGTGAGAAATGAAAATGTGTGAAATTTATTGAGATCATATTGGAATCTCTCGTGGGTCGTTTTAGCATATAAAATATTCATCATAAATTGAGTGTTGCCTATACAAACGACTGAGATGAGAGTGAATACGAGTAAACATTTCAAGCAACATTAAATATTTATAAACATCAACTTTTTGTTTCTAATGAAATTCAAATTCTTTTTTCTTTATTTTTGAGATTAAGAAATTTTCCAACTTCTTAAAGTGGATGTCAATAATGAAAGTATGAACAGTGGGATGATCATATGAAAAAGAAAAGCAAATATCTGTTTTCCCAAGAACCAAGGGAAAGCTTCTTCAACATCTGTAGAACGCCATTAAAATTTTACCCACATTTTGAATAAAATCGCAGTAAAATCGTATAAATTCCACATGCTTCAATAAGAACATTCCGAAATTGAAACTTTCAGCCATCTCAAGTAAAAATTGAAATTAAAACCATTTTATCATACATTTGCAGCTTTGAAAAGCAAACACGTTTTGAAAGGGCACAGAGCAAAGCTAGCAAAACAATCACGTTCCACACATTTCCGCTTAAAATGAAAGCACAACTCAGTGAGAGATGCTTTGTACTTCTTTCTAATCTAAGCGACTACATTGCACATGAAGCGATTGCGGCCATGTAAATTCATTTCATAGTATTGTCATAATTGAAAATTTCATCGAAGCAAAGTCGTGCATGCGAGGAGGAATAGAATGGAACAGAATGTTACCGAGTGGAAAATCTGAAATTTTTTAAGATAATTACATAAAATGTAAGCAAAAGGTTCAGATTTCTGCCAGTTTTGTGATGAAAAACCTCATACGAATGTAATCGAAACCGCTTCACAGCACAACAAGCTATTCATTCATACAATTGAACATAAAGTATATGTTGGTGGTTTCAACAATCGAAAGTTTTGCAACTCTCGTCCGTTCAGTCAAACTATCCTTCAATATAAAATAAATCAAAAATAGCTTTGTGTGCAGCCATAATTGATCGGTTTTTAGTCAACGATATTTTGAGATTTTCCATTGGAGTTCGAATGAAATGTAATCAAGGTTTTGCTTAGAGGTACAGCTAAATGTAATTTAAATTGTTTCACTGATTAAATTCCATTTTTGTGTATCGTCCATAAACCATTTATTTATGTTAACTTGGTTCAAAAGCTCCGTTTACGGACGATTTTTCACCGCCTATTTCAAGGAAGATTTGTCGTTTGTTGCTTTTCTATTCTTGCTTGAATTACCATTTGAATTATTGGCTTTTGTGTGGGATGTTCAGGACATTTCTAATGGTTTGGAACTATGAAGCAAATTAACATGCAAACATTTATTTCCGATTTTCCATAGTCGCACAGTTTTTCTGTCATTCTATAAATGACTCGATGTTTCTTTTCCATTTTTTATTTGTTGTTTTTTTTTGTAAGCAGAATTGAAATGATTTATTTACGAAAACGAAATTGGACTTGTAACGGAAGAAGAACGTGGAAGTCCTGGAAAATTAATTTAATGTGCTTTTTATTGACATTCGCATTAAAGACATCTAATTATACGCCTTTGAAAGCTTTTTGTGTAATTAGTAAAATTTAATTTATGCTCCCAGACGAATGCGGAGGACTATGGCAGCTTTTGCGATTTTAATTAAATAGGCATTTAATGTGTTTTTAACTGCCAAAGCGATGGAAGACAATAAAATGATTTTTCGCTTAGCGTCGACAACGAAAACGTTGGCAATATGTTGATTTCCATTAGCGGCCTCGCGAAGGCTCTAATGTTTAGAAACACCTTAAATGCTTTTTGCATAATTTACAATCGCATGAGAAAACGAAGAAAAATGAAAATTTTACTTTGCTTGAAAATTTAATTAATCTTTGAGTCTCGAGTTTATGCAAATTTCGGGAAACTTTTTTTTCCTATCTTTACGGACTTTTGAATAATTTTCTCGCTTCGCTTTCCTTTTCGTTTCTTGTTTGGTATCATTGAAAATTCGTCTCGGCCAGATAGCATTGAAGATGGGCCACAGTGAATTTTAATTTATGTCGGCGGGCTTTCGTGGCTATGACAATTAAGTATACACCTCACATTTCAGCGCTTTTTTTGCACAGCTTTCATCTGACATCATTCGAGTTCGGGATAAGCTACAAGCGGCTGTTCACAAAGGCGTACACGAAATAAAAATGAAAAAAGTGAGCGAGAAATTTCCTTTACTCGATCATAAAAACGTGAAACCCATAAAAATATTCGCGCTTAATTTCCTTTCTTTTCGCTTTTATTTAAAACATCAGGTTGAGATGATTTGCGTGATACACGAGACATTTAAAAAAAGAGTAAAAGTAGAAAATATGTGCACGTTGGAGTGATAAATAAATTAACTTATGTCCCTCATATCTAAATGGTTTTTTTCACCTTCCTTAACGTTGCTTAAATGTCTTTCTACAACCTTTCTTCGTCTCAATGTTAAAGAACTTTTGTCTAAATTTTTGTTGATAAAATAAACAATAATAAAGATTCAAATCATGATGCCTGATAAAACAACGTTGGATTGTTTGATAACAAAACAAAAGTGATTTTCCAGACATAAATATAAAGCCTTGAAATTAGTCGACGAATTTAATTATAATAATCATGCTGATTTAGATTTCTGGGTAATCTATTTTCAGATAAATTTAAATCAGTGTGTTTGCAAAATGTCGAGAGATTAAAAGAAATCAAATGATGATGGTTTTAGTAATCTCGATGTTATAAACAATCAAAATTAATTTAAGATAAACTTTAAGAATAAATTGAACAAATGTCATTGACTTCATCTCACAATAACTGAAAGTCTTTAAAAAACAAAAAACTTTTCTTTAAGGAACTGAACACCTGTTAAATTGCCAGACAGAATTATACATAAAGCACACTTTAATGTGTTTTTAAGCTTAGCTATAAAAAGCAGCAAGGGTGATGTTAGTAGCCAAGCAATGACGAATGAAATATAATTATGAATACATTTTGACAGATTATCGTGATGATGTCTGTGGTAGATGTTGTTGAGCTTCATTTAATGAAAATGAGTGTCGTTATGAGTGAAGTGAGTGTCTGGGTGTTTGGAGTAGAGACGAGATCGGTATTGTTGAGGGAGATTTGTGTCAGATTTAGCATCAGTCGATTATTCATCATGACGAGGCCGACAGAGCTTTTCTTTCGCTTTTCTAGAGCGTTGCTTGTTTGGATGCCATTTGAATATTAATGTCCTTTCTTCATTATGAGATACTTTCCATTATTCTATTTTTTATTTTCTTTCTCTCCTTCACGTTTCTGAGTCTGTCAGAAAATCTAAGCGCAATTTAAAAACCTAATTTAATTCATCTTCACGAAAATCAAACAATGCTCGTGATTACGCTCAAACAAAATTTGAAAATCACGTAAACTCATCTTATATTAGATGCTAGATTGTGTGGTAAGATTGAAGTCGAAGCAAAGCTTTCGATAAATAATGTTTCGCGACAAATTTCAATTTAAAATGTTGAACTGAATTGAAATTTTTTATCATTAAAAATTTTCTAAATTTCTAAAACATCGGATAATTAAACGAAGGCATTATTATTAATAAAACCTTCACCACTTTACTGCAGCAGTAGCAATTGACATAGGATCTTTGTTTGTTCATGATATTCCCAAACAAATCTATTAGGCAATATAATCCCTTCTGTCTGATCTCTTGAGGGCACTTTATAATTTGATTTGTGTCACGAATTGAAATGCTGACAAGGATTATTATCGCAATTTATGTTTGTTTGTTTGTCGCGTTTGCAAATCGTTTTCACATTGGGGACAAATTGACGTTGCTTAATTCAATTATTTATCATAAAATATTTATAGCTTTACACATGATAAGTGATGGTGATATTCCGACGTAATTATAATAATTTTGGATAAGTGTTAAGTAAAAAATTGTAATTTAAATTCCATGATAATTGTCTGGTGATGTTAAAAAGTCGCATTTCGCGGTTTTACTTTGTCAATTTACATCACCACTTCAATGTGAGAGAAAATATTAAAAATTCAACATTATTTTATAACTAAATCAGACGATGGTGTCAACATGCGGTGGACTGACAGCAGTCAGAGTGAGAATTAACGAAGATCCAATTAATTTCATTTCTTCCTCTAACATCCGGGTTGTGTTTTTTTATCAAACTGCACAAGCATCGTCGAGCTTCATTCTAAATTGAGTGAGCGTCTATAATAAACGACTTTAGATAAAATGCACATTAATTCTTCTTTTTTCTTGCTTTTGTCGTCTGCGGAGAATAAATTTAAAATTCTTTCCCTTTTGAACATGTTACAAGCAAGCGGTGTGAAGGAATGAGAAGGCAAGGAAATGATATCGAAGAGAGTCAACTGCATTGAGGCAGGAAAATTGTTTTGCTGATATCATTGTGGCAAATTTGTAAAATGATGAATGGAACCTGAATTGACAATGAAATGTAAAAATTTACATTTAATTCTTTCTTTAACATCTCAGCAGTCAGAAATTTTATTGGCGTTTGCTTTCATTAAAATTTCTTCTCGACAAATTAAACTTCTCTGTATAAAATTTAAATTTTTTAGACAATTTAACATTTTCCTTCACAAAGTGAGCGGCTGAATGTAATAAAATTATGAAAAGCGAGAAAAATTTCTCTGATAGTTCTAAGAAAAAGTGTCCGAAATCTGTGCCAGTCTTTTTTCCCCCAAATTTTTGTCTTTTTCCACCATCATCAGTGAATTGTCTCAACCCAGGCTCTTTTGCAGCAATACACAAAAAAACTCGAGATATTTCCCCCGAATGGTTCGAGGGACTTCGTTTGCGATGTGCCAAGAATCTTGATGTCAATAAAGGATTTTATTTCGACTGGATGGTGGGGAACAATACACCAGCCGGTTGTCGTTTTGGTGGCATGTTGTGTCGAAAGGATTACAATATCACGGTGAGTAATTCGTCCTAATTGCCTTTTCGTTCCGGTCCTTTTAATTTCATCTTTTCATGCTAGAAAACGCCCTTGATTATCGTCGATACTAATCCCAGCACGTTGGCAACAAACCTTCACTTTTTGCATCATCCCTTGCCTGAAATTAGACTCGAGAGCAAAATACAAACAGGCGTTGTGCCTTCTCGATCTCAAAAATTCATCGGTTCACTCGAATACTTGGGCGAAAGCTCGACAATTTCGTTAGCATTCTACAATCCGAAATGTGATGCGGGTCGCATGACAATTGGCTTTTTGCACAGCCTCAACAACAAATTTTGTGCCGGTTTCGAATTGCTGACATCGTGGAGAGGTAGAAAGGAGAGGCGTGAGTTTGAAGCCAGTCTGGCTTTAGCTGCAAGGTATGAGATTTCAATTGTTACGCTTCATGTTTTTGTAAGAATTCTTTGTTTGCTACACACGATTTGAATTTTCTTGTTTGGGATATCAATTGCACTGAAAACAGCTTCACTCAACGATCTCACATTTATGCGTATAGAATAAATAAGATTTTTATGCGCATCTGATTTGTATGTATCAGTTAACGACACATTTCGCTATTTTCACAGGCAGTCATTCGATAAAAGCTCAGCAGCTATATCAGTGTCAAAAAACGCATTAAATATTAGTGGATGGCATCAAGCGAACGATTCATTGCAGCTCGGTGCTTCAATGATTTTCAATTGGCAAACATCAAAAGCTCTCGGATCGCTTTATTATCAACTTGAGACGAAAAATGCTATTATAAAGGGAATGTTTGATTCAGATTGGTCGATTGGATGTACATACAACAGGTAATTGAATCGATACAGCGATAGTGGAATACAAAAGTGAAAGAGAAAAACTTTACTGATTTTAATTAGTTTAATGTCCCAAGCCATATCAAAGAGTTTTTAATTAAATCTCTTTTTTCTTCCACTCCCGCATTTACTTCCAATTGAGTTCACTTTTTCACGATTTTCTATCGTATCGTTCGACTTTCCAGACAATTGAAAAATTTGGCGTCGCTAATTGGTCTCAGTGTTCTATTTAGCATCCCGACGAACAAATTATATTGTGGATTTAAATATGAGCTGAATTCTAATTTAAAATAAATATCGATTAAGAAACCTTTGTTCAAAGAATTTTCCTTTTAATTATTTATTTCATTATGATTTATTTATGCACTTCCGTAAAGATAAAGAGATGATTGATGTGATTTTCAACTATTCAGACTTCTAGTGATACAGGAATCTCATAAATGCAATGAAATGCTTCGCAGATTCCGTTTCCTATTCAAAGATTGTCGAGATATTGCTTTGTTTACCATTTCAATGTAGATAGTTTAAAGCGTGTCGTGTTGTTAATTTAATATTAAATATTTTAAATACGTGAATATTGATGAATAATTTAAAATGTTATTTCTTAATTAACCTTTTCAATGCTTTGATGTTTTAAATGAGCAAAACTCTTTCGATAAATCATTAGAATTTTATTACAAAACCACTAAAATTACCTTTTTTTCTTATTTTTTCTATTCAATGACTCCGGTATCTCAATAAATGTTAATTAAATTGATTCCTTTTTATCACTCTTATCTGCCCACGTTTTCATTCCATTTCAATTGATAATTAAATAAATTTTTATCGTCTACAACAATCTCTCATTCTCTTTCACATAATTGAAAATTCTAACATCAGCATTTTGTGACTTCTGTACGCAGCGAATTAATTTCACGTTCGGTCGAAAAAATATGAATAAAAATCTAATTTACAATAAATATAAATGATGTATTGTGCAATGTCCGGGTGTGAGTTATTTATATCTATTTTCGCTCCCTCTCGCACGCTTTCCAAATTCGTTCTTTCCCCTCCCATCCTTGCAGCTAATTCATTTGAAGCACAAAATTCCCAACCAACTGACTTGATTCGTATCGTATCGTATGAAAATTTTATAAATTTTATTCTCAAACGAAAAGCAAAAAAATCAAGCAGATGAAAATGAAAAACGTGAGGAAAATTTTTGATTTAGGTTTGTGGCTGAAGAATTCGAGCTTTTTTTCTTTTATTTGTTTCAATTCGCTCCTTTGGGCTTCACTTTCAATTTCTCTTTCACTTTCCATTGATACTTCTAAAGTGCGAGTTTTTGAAGCTCTTAAGTTAGTGGCAGACTCATGAGACTTCGAATCAGTAGATAAATTGATGGGAAGTTCAAATAGCATTAAATTGACCTTCCTTCTTCTGTTCGTTTGTTATTTCTCCTTTCGGGAGTTTGTACTTTATATTACTAACTTCTCTATTCGAATGCAATGATCACATGGTAAGATAAGCAGTCAGACTTTCTTCAAATTGAAATGCTTGGGGTGGCTTGGGGTTCAGGAAGCTTACGGTAATTTATCGATAAACATTTTCATTCCTTATTTTTCTTCGTATGCAACTCACTTCAGAAATGAAGAGAACGAATGTTAAGAACATCAACTTATTTCAAGTTTCTCACTTGGGACGAGTGTGATGAACAAAATCCTTTTCTTCGGTCAACAGTAATTTATCGGGGTAAAGTATCTGTTGACATGTTTGAGAAAGTGTTGATTGATTCTTTCACCCACACACATATTTATCTTTCGATCGATCCAGGGCATAGGATGACTGTAGAAGTTTAGTTTTATGAAACACTAATAGAAGTTTCGTGAGAACTTTTGTTAAAAGGTTTTTCGAGAGTTAAAGAAGCGAACATAATTTATTAATGGACAAGTAAAGAAGCTTTTGCAGAGAAAACTTTCAAAAGTTGTGCGAGTTAAGGATTTTCAGAGTGATTAAAGCTTTTAATAGGATTCAAAAGGAAAAACGAAAAGTTTAAGGCTTCTCACTGATGTGTGTGTATGTTTACAAGATCTTGTACTTAAGAAAGCCCTCGTGGGGAAATGAAAAGCTTTTGAAGGTTTCAAGACTTCGATTGACAGGTTGTGAGTGTCTTGAAGTGTAACTGAAGTAAGAGCTTACAAAACGGAAGCTTAGACAAACACTTGAGCCTTGTCTCAACCATATCAATACAAAAGTATCGAAAAATCATTTCTATGAGCGATACCACACTCAAGATGTTTGTGTTTCAAATTGAATTCTTTATTTTTTTGAGCTCACAAAATGTTGAGATATCTTATAATCGAATTTCAGTATTTCTTGCCTTTTCAATTTAAAAGAAAAAAAAAAGAAGAAGTTCAGGAAAGCCAGAAAAGTATGTTGGAAGATCCGCTTGGGTTTTTATAACTTTCTCTTTCCATTCACATTAAATGTTTTTCCCACCCACTACTTTTTACTCGTTCTAACTTTTTCTTTCCTTCAACCATTTCAATTCATGTTTTATCTAATCAAATAATTGTGTATAAGTAACTGAGTACCAAGACAGAGTGAGAGAGTACATTGAGAGTATTACGGAAGCAAAGCGACTTGAGAGTGGCTGCTTATCGTTTTATCGAATTGTGGAAAATCTTGCTACTAAAGGGAAATTGAAAATGCGGGAATATAGTCACTGCTCTTTATTCAATACATTAAATAACTAGATTCACAATAGAAAACAGACACATAAAGAATCTCATCTCGAGTCGTTTCTTTTTCTTCGTTCTTAGATCCCTCCCCAGATCCTCTTAGCAATAACATAACGATTGCAGATGAATAATCAATTTTTATCCATTGAATGCCTTCCACACCCACACAATACACATTTCCTATATACTCTCGATACACAAAAAAGTGTCTGTTTTTCATTGGAGTGCAACACTTCACGTTTACATTCGAAGGGTGAAAGTGATGGGAATTCTGTTTGGTGAGGGATTTTTCTATTCGGAAAATTCAATTGCGAGAATTTTCATTCCATAGAGAAATGCATCAGATTTGAATTCAACTCGGTAAACATAATAAAAAAATCAAACTCTTTGAAGAAATATTCTGTAAATGGAAACAGAATCCTACATAGGATATTTATGTAACTTTTATTTATTTACTCTTTGTTGGAGAAAAATGTGAAAAATTTCGCTTTTATTACTACACCAAATGCCTGTATGCATTGTCATTGCCATTGAATGGGAAATTGTGGATAAAAGTAAAGAAAATAAAAATATTGGACCCACGTTTATAAATAAAAATTACACTTTGCGTTCTTTCTATGTTTACCTGGTGGAACGTGAAAATTTATTGCTTTTATTTATTCATTCTGATTGTTATTCAAAATTGCGTTCCACTGCCGTGTTATTCTGTTGAATTCCTCAAAAGCGAAGGAGAATCTGAAAAGTGCCATTGTTTATAATTTCACGATTGCAATTCTAATTTTATGGAGCGTATCATTATTAGATGAGCTGTGTTCAGAGAAAATCTGAATTTACAATTCGAACTCAGCGTGTCATAAAAACGAGGGGAAGTTTTGAACTTAAAATGAACAATGTAATGTGAAAACTTTGGCGGCTTTTCTGCAAAAGTCAAACAGCGTAGTTTTGGTTGTCAAGTCTCGAATTAAAAAGCTTTTATGTTACTAGGTAATGTGAAATTTAAATAGAGAATGGAAATTTCCTGCAAATCAAATGCAACGACGACCAACTTTTCGTCAAAATGTGATCCAAACTAATCATAGTGGAAATTTAACGCCCTAAATAAATTCCACAATTTACACTCGAATGAACTTTTAGCAATGTTTGAACTTTTCTAACTGCGAAACAGTCTCGATGAGTAAATATCTAAAGCACCACATCATGTCGTCAACCGAAATTGAGCTAATATTGGACGTTATCGGCCACTTATCTATCGATCAATCGTCTCTGAAAGCTTTTAAAAGCATTTTAATAGCAAGTTTTGTTTGGTAATTTTCTTTTTATTTACTAGCATTGAGTTACATTCACCAAGTAAAGATTTTTTTATTTGAACTTCAGAGTTCATTCCCCAATCAGCTCGAGCGAGTATGCTGGCAAATACAAAACAAGTCCACATAAGCACGCAGAAGAGCTTTTTGTTCTTCAAAGTGCAACTTTATTCTATGCTTTTAGAAGGAAAAATGATAAAACCTTTTTTTAATATTGAGTGGAAGTGAAAAATGGGAAAAACTGAATTCGATATCTAAAACCTTAAATGTTTTTTTTACTTGATTCCATCGATCGAGAATTTTTCATGGTTATCGTCAAACATTTTATCTACGAAAAAAGCTCAAATTACGAACAAAAGCTTTCAACTATAAATATAAAAAATATAACAAAACAATAACTTTGTGCTTGCTAATCAACGTCATTGAAATGTTCAATAAAAACTTTCAAACGCTCAGCTTTTGTAAACAAGCAAAAAAGTTTTCACTTCATGTTTTGTTTCATCATCAAGTCTCAGATGAAGCTTCCATTTGAGCGCTTTTATAATAAACTGTTTGGGAATAGACTGAGTTGGCGTCTATGAAGATGACATCAGGTAAACGACAAGATAACTAAAATGAAAAATTAAAATCTTGTTGGTGGTTCATTGAGAATAAGTTGGAATTAAATTTCATTTGTAACAGATAAACAAAATTTTCTGTGGTTCATAAATAAAGAAAATGCTTGGGCAGCAGAAATAATATTTCAATGAAAGCGAAAGCAAAAGCAGCAAATAAAAACACATTTTGTGAGAAAACTAACAGCTATGGTCGTCTACTTCATGGTCACTTTTGTTGAAATCTTTATGCGGAAAACGCTCTCAACTTTAAAGTGTTTCGAAAAGCTTTTTAAAAAGAAAAGTAATTGGCATAATATCCAACAGACTCATGTGAAATTTCTCAAGTGTTGTGCCTTCAAACATAAATAAAATGTGAAGAGAAAAATTGTCACGTCATTAATTTTGCACTTTCAAGTTTTCAACAAATGTTGTGCAGATTGAAGTTTTTAATTGAAGCATGGATCACGTTGTTGGTTTTAATTAAAGCAAATCACACTCTTCTGACGTGTCGAAACCTCTGTAAAGTTAACATGGAAAAAGTTTTTCAGCTTTATTTTTCATGTCACAAAATCTCCCATCGCGCTGCGCTCTCAACTCTTTGAAACTTTCAATACCGAGGCGATGCTGTGAATATTTGTGTAATTTCTGTAAACAGAAAAAGGATTATTTAATTGCTAAACGGTCTTAATTCCAATAAAAACTTCCCTGTTGAAATTACGTGTAGAAAATTCAGAATTCGTGTTTTCTTGTTGTAAGACTAACGCGGCATCTTTTGTTGTGATTACGGTTTGCCCCAATAATGAAGGAAACGGATGGAAAAGTTTTTGTTTTCGAAGCAGAAAGTTTAAAAGTTTATCAAAAAAAGAAAAAGAAAAAAAATGAAAGACAATTTTAAGAGAGAAATGCTGGAAGTTTAATGGAAGGGGGAAAAGGTTTTTATGAATTTAAATGACAACAACGAGAATGTTCTCTTTGAAAACAATTTGTTACAAGAAAACATTAGTGCGAGTAGGGAACAGGAAAGGGTTGAAAAAAGCTTTGAAATTTTGTCACAAGAAATTAAAGGATAGAAGCGTAAACATTTACCTGACTTAAGCAAATTAGTGCTATTAAAAGCAAATTTTGGCTCAATGCTTGATGATAAATAACAGAAAGGGGAAATGATGATGATTAGATAGCAAATCTAGATTTAGTTTGCAATTCATTATCTATTTCGCTTTTGACATAAATTCTTGTCTCATTTAAAATATTATTAATCATGACGGGGCTCTCGCTTTTCATTATAAACCTTCATAGTCATTTCATTTCACAATTTTACATTTTCATTTTCCCTTTTGGATTTCTATTCAAGTTTTCTCGCTTCTACTGACACAATTGTGACGTGCTCGAGATCTCCAGACATGAAATTCCAATCTTCTGAATAAGATGGAAAAACTTACATTACACAATCTTGATTTCCCTTGAAACGAATTTCATTAATCAAATGTGAAATTATGAATATCTACTCATACTTGTACATTTATCTCTAGGCGCAATCTTTTCCTTCGCTTCCTCCTTCATTTATGTTTCTTTTTGTCGTCTAAGACATAAATCATTTGAAAAAGTTTGATAGTTTACGGAGAGAAACTTTCATAATGTTATTTAGTTCAATGTGGTTCATGACAAAGGCACGAACTGGAAATTAATCATCTCAACAACATAAAAAGCTTTAATGTAAAACTTAATTTTTAAAATTAAAATTCACACGATGGCGGTTTGTTTCTATTCTTCCTTTTGCAATCAACAACATATCCCGAGGCTACCCAAGTGAATTTTCCACACTTTTGGATAAAGCACTTTGGTGTGTTGTTCAAAATTTAGAAATAAAACAAAAAAGTTGCAGATTTTTGTTTTTACCATTCACACACCTCAACCAAATCATTTCTGAATTATTTTGAAGTTCTTCCTTTAAGTTTGTTTGAAATAAAACTGAAATTAGTTATCGATCGAGGTAGAATTTCTTTGATTAGATTTGTTGACAGTTTTATTAAAAGCTATTTTCGTGTGTTAATCGTCAAGACGCTGCTTCATTGAAATGTTATTTTCATCAACGGAAACCAATGCCAGAGTACTTATTGGCAATAAATCATAAGCTGCTCAGTTATCTTCAACAAATGATTTTTTTACAAGTAATCCTCAGGAAATTGATTAAAATTTATCAAGCCAACTGTTGTGGTCAAAGACGTAATGGATTTTTTATTGTTCTTCTTTTTTCAATAAGAAGTTTATGAATCCTGTGTAGATAAGATAATGATGTTCATTCATAAATGTATGTTGCTAAAAAGGCTGCTTAAAAAGGGTTTAAAGAAACTTTTAAGGAACTTTTCGTGTAATAATTATTCAAGATTGTTTCCATTAGTATTTTGATTTACATCTTAATATCCATTTACGCATGTAAGTTGATCGAATGAAAAATAAATTCACTTTTCCTGCCCTGTTTTTAACAAATAAGTTTAATCTTATCAACGGATAACAAATACTCAAGGTTGAAGACACAAAAATTGATTTACACGTGAATTAAAAATTCGATCGACTATAAAAAGACGAAACCAGCGAGAAGAACTTCAGTTTTCATTCTGGTTTGCTACTGAAAGTTTGGAATAAAATAAAAATGAAGTATCTCATTCTCTTCGCTTTATTTGCATTTGCTTGTGCACAAGAATGGCCTGAATACGACAGACCATGCTCGGAACGAAGTGCAATAATTCGCCCTCAAGTCAAGACAGCATTCAATGTTGCCGCTGTAAGTTATTAAAAACGTGAATTAATTTTTCTAGTGTCAAGTGATCATTAAAATAATTTTCATAGTATTCTGGAACATGGTTCGAAATTGGACGTTATCAACAACAAGATGAACCTTTAGCTGATTGTATGTCAAGCAGTTATAGCTGGGGATTTATTACTAACAGTTTCACTATTGGACGTGTAGGAACTGTTTTGGAAAACGACACACCATGGAGCCGTTCAGCAACTGCCCTCTTAGCTTTCCCAGATGTGGAAAGAGATGATAGACTTGGATTATTGAATGTTACTTACTACGCTGACAGAGGTAATTTCATAAAAAAATCGTTTTCGTAATTATCTTAATTAAACACTTTTTCTTTTCACAGAGGCTGATCAGACTAATTACTACGTATTAGGCACAGATTACTTCCAATATGCCGTTGGCTGGGGATGTGAAGATCTTGATGATAACCGATCAAGAGAATTCGCATGGCTTCTGTCACGTACACCTGAATTGCCAGAAGCATATCAAGAGCGTGTTGATTTCTACGTTGACCAATTCGTCGATCGTGCTCTCCTTCGTAACACAGAACAAAGTCTTGAAGCTTGCTTCAGTAGCGCAGCTCACCAAGAATTTAGATTGAAAAATGCAGTTAAAAGTAACTAATGGATTGAAAATTCATTTACATAATTTTTGAATAAAAAAGATAAAGTTTATATAATTTAATTTCTGGGTTTTTCCATTTTTCGTTATCATTTCAAGCGGAAAACAAATTTTATTTCCCTTGATATATTTATTTTTATCTAATCCTACTTCATAGCTCTATTTAATTAAATATGTTGATAACACTGTGATGGTTAAATCTTTTTAATAATGAAGAAATATTTAAAATCTTCGCAATCAACACTGAGACGTCTGAAAATTTTGCGTTGTCAACTTGTTAATTTCTTTTACTTTCATAATTTAAATAAAATTTCTTTGATCTTCGCCAATCATGAATGCTTCTTATATTTCTTATCTTATCAATAGAATTAGGTGAACATTGAAAATAAACACTTCAAACAATTACTAGACGAAAATTGATTTTCAGTTTATTTTTTTCTAAAGCATGGGCAATTTGAAAAAACAAAATAAGTTTCGCATATATTATTTACATCTTCACATTTAATAAGAATCAAGATGAGAAATTGAGTTTATCATTGAGTTTCGTGAAGGAAAATTGATTTTTGCTACTTTAATGAACTCAATCGAAATTCGACTTTCATTTGACATTTTTATTTTCAACTTGAAAATTTCTGAGTCAAGTCGTTTCAACAAGTCAAGTCTTCTGAATAGAGTCAAGTCGGAAAATCAAGTCAAACTAGGCAAGCATCTAAATCTCGATTCACGGTTGAAATAACGAAAATATTTCCATTTCTTTTAGTTCATTTATTTATTTTTTCAATGTTTTGAAATATGTGAGTGTGAATGAACCAAGAAAAAATTTGATCTTCGTAGTTGAATCAAACTGAGACAAAACAATCAAAGATGAATTCATCCCCACACGTAGCAACACATTTTGTCTTGTCACTCTTTTCACTGATAACAAATTCTAATAAATAAGAGAAATTCAAAATATTTATGTCAGTCTCGATCGTACTTTGTGCAGTCAATCTCAAGCTTTATAAAATGTGGAAGCAATTTTTAATTTGTGTTTTAGTTGTTCACATCAAAGCTCAACATATTTCAGATAAGTCATGCCCGGAACGTCCAATTCAACAAAATTTTGATATTGAAAAGGTAAAAAATTATTTAAAATTGTTACATAACTNATTTCCATTTCTTTTAGTTCATTTATTTATTTTTTCAATGTATTGAAATATGTGAGTGTGAATGAACCAAGAAAAATTTTGATTTTCGTAGTTGAATCAAACTGAAACAAAATAATCAAAGATGAATTCATCACCACACGTAGCAACACATTTTGTCTTGTCACTCTTTTCACTGATAACAACTTCTTATAAACAAGAGAAATTCAAAACATTTATGTCAGTCTCGATCGTACTTTGTGAAGAGAATCTCAAGCTTTATAAAATGTGGAAGCAATTTTTAATTGGTTTTTTAGTTATTCACATCAAAGCTCAACATATCTCAGATAAGCCATGTCCGGAACGTCCAATTCAACAAAACTTTGATATTGAAAAAGTAAAAAATTATTTAAAATTGTTACATAACTTTTTGTGATAATATAAAATGTAATTAAACAATTGAAAGTATACAAGTGGAGGTTCCTGGTATGACATTTTACATTACGAAGCGAGATTCTCGAAAGGTTGCAACTGTGGACTTGCTAATTACACCTTGAATGAAGATAAAACTGTTGAAGTGCTGAATTGTTGCAAATATTTAGCAAATACAACTTTACATTGCACCAATGGTGCTGCCAAAGCAAGTGAACCTGATCATGTACCATTAGAAGGAAAACTTAATGTCGCCTTTTTCAATCGACGTGAGTATGAAAAAATATTCTAGAAACTTCACATATGAAGATTTGTTAAATATTTTCAGCTGCTAACGTGTCAAATTATTGGGTTCTTTCAACTGATTACGATAACTATTCGATCGTTTATTACTGCAAGAATATTGATGATAACAAATCAAGAGAACTTGCATGGTTACTTTCAAGAAAGCCATTATTAGACCAATTAGATGAAACTGTTAAAACTACTGCTTTAGGCTTGATTGAAACTCACTTCGATAGAAGCAAAATGTATGAGTCTGACCAAAGTGCTGAACGTTGTGAACCTCGAGATAAAAGAGATTAATGATGTGCTTTATCTGTCAACGAAAATGTTTGAATTGGAACAATTTTACTAATTCTTTGAAATATAAAAATAAATTGCTTGAATCATGCAAAGCAATAAGTCATGATAGCTAAAAAAAATTTTTATTGGTACCTGTTTATTATTAGTCATTCACAATCTTATCGATTAGGCTGATAAGTTTGATTAGTTTTTATAGCTATTTATTCATTTTAGTATAAAAATGATGGACGAGAAGATTTTACCAACATTTCTATCGAGAGTAGAGAAAATCAAGAAGCAAGAAAATGTTTTCAAAATTAATTTTTTTAGTGATTTTTTCGGTTATTGAAGTTAACTGCCAAGCAGCTATTACTTACCAACAAAAAACGTATCAACTTGAAACATACCAAAGTGGATCATGTGCGGGTATATTTTATGGTATGTCGAATTTTGACATGAATCGCTTCTTAGGGGAGTGGGTGGAATATTTTCGTTTCGTTTACCCTGACACTGGAGGTGATTGTGTTAGAAATTATTACTCGCTAAATGCTGGAACTACTTACAACCTCACTGAAACGAAAAAGTATTTAGAAACTGGCACGAATGTTACCGAAGAATTTATTGTGCAACTGGCGGATCCTTCGTCAAACCGTGGGAAATTATTAGTCACCAATAAATTTAATTACTTATATGTCGAAGCGACCGATTATGATAGGATAGCAGTTATTCAAGTTTGTGAGGAAATCACTGCATCTACATATAATACTTATTTGTGGATACTTGCCCGCCCGGGATACCCACTAACTCGTGATGATATTACAATCACTGGCAATGTTGGTGTGAGAGATACCATTCAGGATTCAAGGTGAGATTCAAAATTCTGTTGTCATAAATATATCATAAATATATTCTTAATTTCAGATGCGGTTCTTCAGCGGTTGTTCCAAGTGTGTTGGCACTTCTTGTAGCGTTTGTAGTCCAAAAATATTTTCATTTCATTTTCTAAATTCTGATTGAGCGATGGATTCAATTAAAATTGAATTATTATAATTATGAATTGTGTTTTAAGTCTATAGCAAAGACATAAATAAAATGTTGAACATTTAAATAACCAATGGCTGGTTGTGGCACAGGGAAATGATTTTTTATCAACAAGTTATGAAATACTTACTTAAAGCGTTATCTAATCTTTTTTTCAGAATTTAGCGTAATAAATCCAGATTGTGCTAATTAAAAATAAAAATGAGAAAATACAGGAATAAAATTCATTTCGGATTGCAAGAATTCAAATAATTCATGAGCGGTGCGATAAATATTTTTTCATCTAAAATGAATCTTAATCACAGAATACTTCACTAAGAAAATGTTTGAAACCTTCCTCAAGAAAAAGTTTAATGATTAACAAATAGAAAAGCAAAACTTTTCTTTGCTGAAAATGAAGAAACGAATCATTAAGATCGTGCTTAATACAAAAAAAGTTTTTGTTTAAGAATTTACAAAATGAAGATTGAAAAGTTTCTCTTGAATGGTTGAAGTTTCTTTACCATCACTCATGTGACTTGTTTTGTCTTATGAAAACGAAATAAAAAACTTTAATTTTAAAGCGAATTTCTGATATCGAAGGTAATTAAAAGATACTTCAGAACACGTCATCGTCATATAAGAAGGGAAAATTTAATGATTTAATGTTTAACGTCTGTTTAATAGGTAATATATTGAAGAACTTTTTACGTGGCTTTATCAGACTAATAAATGAAAAACAAAGCGATTTTTTGCTGTTTCTTCCGACCGGTTTCGAATTTGTTTTAATTCATCCTCAGGGTTTCTAAAATGTATTACAACTTAATCAGCAAAATACTTATATACTAACATTTTAAAATCAACAAACAATTGTGCATTAAAAACTTACAAGAAATAAAAATTTTGTCAAATTCATAAAATTTAGTCAATTAAAAATATTCAAACACATGACTTATCACATCTAAAAACATTTGACTAATGACGTTTGTTTTCTGTCGCACGCATACACATTCGCGAATCCTCAATTCTTCCTTTTTCTTCTCCAATCTTCTCTCAGGTGCAAGATTCCGTTGTATATGTGACACAGGTTGATTGTATCAGTCCTTCGGTTAACGGTTTTATTGTTTATGATGTGCAACATTTCTAAAACATTCAACTGTGACGTGTTGCTTGTCTGATCAAGAATTTTAACATTTTTGAAGTCGAAAACATGATCAAATTCTGCAGCGTGTTCAAGTAATGCGGTTTTGCTAATTATTTCTCTGAAATCCGTTTCATTAATGATGTCAGCATTGATAATTCGATTCAGTTTTCTGCAACCACCTTCATGTTCTGAGATTCTTTGTTTTAACTGTCGAGAAGTTTGGCCAATGTAGCATCTTTCGCACTCGCAATCAATTTTGTAAATTAAATTCTTCTTCTCGCCGTCAGGAATTTTATCTTTCAACTTTGAAAAGAATTGCTTGACTTTGTTGTGAGGTTTGAAACCAAAGCTAATGTTGGGAATCTTCTTCTTAATGATTTTCGCGATTCTAATCGACAATTCCTCACAATAAATCATAGGACGAAAGATTTTTTCAGACGTTGTCGCATTCGATGTTGCAATTTGTGACTTGTTGTTGTTGTTGTTGTTAATGATGCGATTCGTGAGTTTATTGGGAAAATTGTTTTCACGCATTAACTTTTTAAACAAATCCTGAAAATCTTTGTTGTTCGTTGTTAAAGATTTCATTCTTCTCATTAAATTCAACGCAACATTCATCTTCATTTTCAAAGGATGACAGGAATAGAAATTCAACAATCTCCCACTCGCAATTGATTTCATGTAAAATGAAGTCAATATTTCATTGTTCTGTCGAATGATCAGCATATGGAAGAAACAGCAAAAAATCGCTTTGTTTTTCATTTATTAGTCTGATAAAGCCACGTAAAAAGGGAAAATTTAAGCTTAATCCCTATAGAATCCTTCATTTATATCAGAAGAACTCTTTGCAACTTCTCTAATGACAAAATGATTTAAGTTTCTCTTTTTTCAACTTGTCAGTCTTTAAATATGTTCATTTCTCTACTAACGATGATGTGGTTTTACGCTAACTAAACTTCAAAATTATTTAAGTTTATAAGCGAAAACAAAGTAATATTTTCACCGTAATTAAATGTTGATGAGTTTGCATAATACTTTCATCAGAGCCATAACAATATGCTACACTTAAGCATAGTACCTTTCATTTTAATTGAAATTTGATTGGAGAAGGTAACATGTTTCTATATGTGAATGTGCTGGTTAAGGATGTACGATAAAGCTCTTCTATAAGTATGAAATGATATAATTAAAGTTTCCCAAAGTGAAGGAGAGGTAAATGAGAGGGCACAACATAATAGCAAACAATTTTAATGGAATCAAAATGAATGAAAGTTTTCTGGGTGAGCCAAAGAAAAAGGGTTCAAATAGCATGGAATTTACGTGATGTTTGTGTAACACTAGAAAAAGAATGAATAAAAAGAGATTTTAATTAATATTGAAACTAACAAAGCTTAAACTAGGATATTATTTAACTTTATTTTGTGAAAACATCTCATTTAAAATAGAAAATGTGCTGTTAATATGAATAATAATAACTAACTAACGATGTTTATGTTTGATCTTCATAAAATTTTATTGAAAATTTTAATTCATTGTATCTTCATAAATTATATAAATCTGGTTGCTGAATCATGTATGTTCACATTCAAATATAATGTCATAAAGGCACACAACGGTAAATAATACTTTGTTTGCATTTCAGTATTTCCAAAATTACAAATTTTCCTCTTGCATTGTCAACCGACGTTGATTGTTTGAGAAGAGAAAATTCATTTTTGGTTTTACCAGAAATTCATTTGAGTCTGCATTGATATCATCCGGCCATGTAGAATGAAAATCAAATTTGAGGTCATTACAGAATTACAATTTTAGTTGATGTTGGTTTTTGGGGTCGATTTTAATCTGATATAAGAGCAAATATGGGAAAAGTTTATTTTTGACAAGACGATATGTGAAAGTTAGGTAAAGTCAAAGTTTTTTAGTTCAAAAATATGTTTTAAAAGATTTTACTATGAATGAAGATTACGGATAATAATTTTCTTGTTACACTTTCTTTGTATAAAGCCAAATCAAAGTTTGCGTTTGCACAATGCTATTGAAAATTCAATAAATCACCAAATGTTCGCTCGCCTTAAATTTATGTTCGAGAAGATTTGCGTTTAGCATAAGTTGAAGGCGTCAATGTAAACAAAATCGTCTTTTTGAGTGTCTGGTGATGTCTTTTGAAATGAGATTCTCTCAGAAAAGAAACGAAAAGAAAAAGGGTTCAAAAAGTTTAAGCAAAATCAAATTAAACTTTTCTTCTTTCGCAAGTTTCTATTTCCCAAACTCAAGTCGCTTTGCAAATTGTCAATTGAATGATGTAATTATCATCGAGATTGTTGTTCTTAAAACTTTATGTTACTCGAATTTTCGTCGCGCGAATCTTTAATGAGGGCCATTGTCAAGTGTCTTGTAAATTTTCCCTTTTCACCATGTCTATGGAAGACATCTAACGAGATTCATAATGTATGAATTGAGTTTTATATTAAATTTTCTTTGATTCTCTATTCACAGCATCTTTTCAACCGACAAACATAAATTTCCGTCTTTTGTGACTTAACCCATGCTTAAAATACAAAACATGCAGGGATAAAACACATGTGAATATATGAATAAAAGCAAAACGGCTTGAAAGCTACAAAAAGGAGTGAAACCGCATTATATTCTGTGTGTGCGGTGCAAAGTCATCTGAAAACCGCTTCTCACTACAATGTGTGGCACTCACACGTCTTGCCTTCATTTTTACTTAAAAAAATGTTTTATTTTTGTGATTCTAATGACAATTTCTTTTATTACACTTCTATTTATCATGCAAGTGAAAGCAGCAGCAATGGTTGCGGCAAACAAGGAAAAGCAAAAGAAAAAAAATTATAAATAAAGGGAAAGAGGCACTTTTCGAGAGTTTTCTCCTTCATCTCAACTTCCGACTACACATACTTTGTACTTGCTTGGAATTTATAATGTGATAAAAATACTGTAAAAATTTCATCATGTTTTTCCTCTTCTTTCAGCAGAAGCATTTAGACGGGGGTGAAAGGGATGTGTACAAGATGAAAAATCTACCAACATCTACGTTCAGTACATTATTCAAGCCTTCTGAAAGAAAGGAAAGGCAAAATAAAAACCCTTTTTGCTTTCCCTTTGCTTTTCTTTCTCTTCGAAATTGCCGGCGTAATCTTCACGCTTGTAATTGTGTAATTTACCAAACAGCAGTGGTTTTTTATATCACAAGTCTGCTGTTTCATTTAATAGAATGCCTCTACGCTTTGCCATCGGTGATTGCTCCTCATTTTTATTCCCCTCCTTTCTATTCTATTTTCCTCACTCTGGTTTGAAATTCTCTTCGGCATTCTTTATTTTATAAAAAATTGAGAGCATCGTCAACTAACTGTCGAGGAAATGAAAAATGCCGAAACATTAAAACGTCGTGTTTGGAAATTATAATATGGTTGATGTGCGAGATGTTCTCGGATGTGATGAGGGGCAATTTCCGGTTCATTGTTTCTTTCATGGAAAGTCATTGCTTGCTAAATGAAGTGAATTTATTTTCTTAGAAAAAATAAGAAAACATTACGAAGATTTTTCCCTTAGAGGGGTTGTTGAAGTTTGAGTTCATTAATTCCTTTAAAAAGAATAATTTTAAGATCGTTTCAACTTCTCATCTCAGCACTGGCGGAAAATTTCCCACTGGAAAGAAAGAAAATAATTGCAAAACATGAAATATAACCAAGGAAAAATATCACTTAAAAACCCACAAGCAAAGCGTGGAAGCGCATAAAAACAATTAATCATTTTTTCAAAGTTTTCATCTTGATTAAGGCGCGTAATTATTTCTCCTTCTTCACACTTTATTTGACTCAGTTTTTCTTTCTTGTGCAACTTTCATCAAATTAACGAAGTAAAAAAAGCTTTTTGTTGGAATGACTTCGAAGTTTTCTTTAGTTCTCCTTTTTTCTCTCTTTTTTATCATCATAGAAAATCTGATTAAACATACAATGTGCTTTTTTTTTGAGAAATCAAAGTTGAGATTGTGAGTCACAAAAAGATTTTTCCTTTATCCATTGCGTGGGAGTATTCCCATCAACATGAAAAAAAAAGGGGAAATGATTAATCGAATTTATCACAGACGACTTATCGGCGTGTTAGGACGTAAAAGCTTAATGGATTTATTTTTCCATACGATATCGGCGTAACAACTCGATAATTATCGTTTCCCATTCATTGGTAATTAATGAAAATTCAATGAATTTTCCATAGCCACTCGTAGTCCGTTTAGCGGCAACAAGTTAAATATGTCTTAAGATCCTGGAATAATAAAAAAAAGCGGAAAAAGAAAACAAGAACCCAGCAAATATTTACCATCGATGAAAAGGAGAGAGAAAAAAAGCGATGAAAACGAGTTCAAAAGCCATCGAACCTTCTGCTTTTTGGGTATGAAAAGGCTGCCATTTGTGGGGGGTTCAAATCAATAAACAACTGAGACTGAAGGGTAAAATAATTAAACACCATGCTATAACATTAAAAATAAACTCTTGAAATTTTCAGTAATTAATTTTGTTCAATTTTTTATTAAAACCTTTTTTTTCGGCTTTCCAGTTTTTCTGTTTTCATGTTTAATTCGGCGGTGCGTCGAACTTTTGTTTTCTCATTGCATTAATACATTAAAATGAGCCCCCGTTAAATGTAATTATACAATTTCCATAAAAACATAATAATTTACAATATGATATAAAATTATACAATTTCAATGATTAATAAATTGAAAAGTGAAACGAGGGAAACTTACTAGAAAGGGTTGTGTACAAAAACATAAATTTTAATTATTTGGATTGTAATTTTTGCTTTTTCATGAGATATCGGATGCTTTCCCGATTAACAAGAGTTCGGAATTATATATAAATTAAGAGATGGAAGAAAACTAGCATCGAGAGCTTTTAAACTTTAAAAACTTTCATTTAAATCCTTTCCATGCTCCAGGTGCTCGATCCTCGATTTAATTTCTTTTACAGCATCGTCTTTCTTTTATTTTTTCTTAAAAAGATCATAAATTATTAAAAACATTGAAAATAATTCGTTTTGCTCAAACCACTTCGCAAGTGCAACTCTTAAAAATATTTTTCCGACTAGCACAATTTACGTTTTTCTTCCCGTTTCGCAATTTGTCTGCCGGGAAAACATGAAATTAACTTTCTCAATCTTTTTTTTATTCCTTTACTTCATCACTAAGTGTTGAAGATGGAAGAGAAACTCGGGGTGGAAATTTATTAATATTTACAGCTTTCTTTCTTACTTTCACATCGTTACGATTTTACAGATCGAGGAAGTTATATCGTGAAAAATGAGATATTTTTAAAGTTTCTTATTTTCGTTTTCCTAATGAAACCTGTATAAAAGAAATTGATATGATTCCATTTTTCATTGCAGAAAATTACTCGAGTATTTATCCGTGGGGATTTGTCACGTCAACATAAAATACTTTAAAATGAAAGTTATTAAAAAAGAAATCTACAAATTGCTTCTTTCATCATCAAAAATATAAATTTTCAGTACAAAACTAATTGAATCACGATTAATGATTGTTCAACTTGTACAAGTTGTGCAATTGTTCGTTAATTATCATCGGCAATTTCTGTTTGAAAACGAACGAAAATTTATTCGTTCGCATTCTTCAATACATTTTAAATCACTTCTGCCCGCTGATAATTAGCGAAACATCATTAATTGGATGCTTAAAGTGATCAAAACAATCTGCCAATTTAACCATCAGACAAGAACATCGAGCAATGATCTGAGCTAAGTCCATTTAAGTACAAGTTTCTTTAATACATTTTTTCTCTTCCTTCTCATTCTTATTTCATTTCATTTCTTCATTTGTGTGATTAAGCAAATTAATCTCTTAGGATTCACAAGATGTGCTCTTTAGATTTCAAATTAAGTGATGTTTTGGCGTTTCCACTTGTCTTCTACCACCGATTATATTACAATTAAAATACTATGCTTCACGGAGTGTCTTAAATTCATCAGATGATTTCTTCTCCTTCTTCAATTTCTCTTCCTTCTTTTTCTTGATTTGTATAAAGTGTTCTGCCTTAAGAATTAATAGAAACAGTCTTTTGTCTTAATCCTAATTGCTTTCCATCGTATCATTAGTTTTTCTCAAACGATCTTAACTTACTCAAAAGTAGAGTGATGAGAAAGGGAGGAAAGTAAATCGCTTACGGGGTTGATTGAAAGTTGTGGGTGGTAAATTTAACATAACAACGATTTAAATAATTCTTATAAAATGAAATCTGTTTTGAATACCGTCATACAATAAGAAAGAAAATTACGAAGGATGTTGGATTGGATTGAATAATTTTCTCATTAAACTTCATCTAAGAAGAAAAGAAATTCTTCAATCCATTCCACCATCGAAAGAACAAAATATAAATAAAGCAAAATCACAATAATTGTATTTAATTTGTAGTTAAATCTCTCGCTCGTTCTCTTCACTTCATGCCATCCATGTACATAGATAAATATTTCGATACTTCTTTTCCTTTTCAGCAATCTTTGACTAACAACATAATAATTGGAGATGATATAATTAGAAGAGTGTTGTTTTTGGTATGATTTCTTTATGATGGCTTCGTTCACATTTCATGAACATGATGGATAGAAATGTTTGGAATCTACCTCAAGAGCCTTCGTATGTGTCTGACGTTTCATTTCTATTTGATGCCGAAGGCGTTGTTAGCGTACTGCTGTTATTATTGTTGTTGTTAGTGTTGTTGACACGTTTTCGATGACCCCACAAGCTTCGACCCGACATTTGGGTGTTCTGACTATAGCCTGAATCGGAGCCCATCGCTGAATTGTACAATGGTTGATGTGGATTGTTGAGATTATTGAAGTTCCTAAAAGTCGTAAATTCGGGCAAGATATAAGGTTGATGATAAATCTGATTCCGTCCACCACCGCCATTGCTGTAGGGATCGTACAACACATCTTCATGATACACCGGCTCATGATACAAATATTCTTGGTTGCTGTTGTTATTATTGATTGTGCTACTGCTATTGCTATTCACATTACAATTTCCATGCTGTTGTTCTCTATTCACATGACGTCTTCGATCAATTCGTGGATTTGTCCTTGATCGACCATTGACATCGATATTATTATTATTACTATGATTAGCTCGATTTGCCAACATCATATGTTGTGGGGGTGCATAATAATTTGCATTAGCTCTTGGAGGATGATAAGGAATGTTGCGATCTCTGAATATCGTCGCTACATTTAATGTCGGATTAGAGAGTTGAGCGTTGATGCGGTTACGACGTTCAACTTCACTCTCAGCTCCGTAATAATTATTTCTACCACAGATATTGCTATTATTATTTGTATCACCCTCAATATGACTGCCATTTACAGCGCTCAAACTAATTGGATCGCTGTTGGTGTTGTTATTGTTACTCGCTGACGACGAGCCCGTGTTATTGTTTCCGCTGGAGTTATTTCCACTACCTGAAACATATGACGGCACTTCATCGGCCGGTGTTGTTTCGGTTGATGAATTTAAATTGTCCATGCTAAAGTTGTTTGATTTTTGACGACTATTTTTAGCTTTACAAGTGTTTGGTCGTGAAGTTCTGAAGCGGAAAAATCCCGTGTTTGTTGCGGGATTAGAATTTGTCACATTATTATTAACACGGTTCAAAGTGCTGTGATGATTTGATTCGGTACTTGAACTAGAATTTCTAACATTTGGTCTCGCCATGTTGTTATCATTTGCTGATGAAGAAGCTGATGATAGCAGAGAATTTCTCTCAACACGATTACGTTCCAAATAAATTGGTGCGTTCTCATTAGTTTTGTTACTTGATGAGCCAACGCCACCACGATCTTGATAGATTGTAGCAACTGTCGTATTCTCTGATGACGATTTATTTAAGGAACGATCACCTGGAAGACTCAGTTCATCTTCAGCAAAGTCTTCATCGGAATGTAGCTGCCGATCACAATCAGAAAAGCGTCCTCGATGTTCCAACTCTTCATAAACGTTGTCATTTGAACGATATGGATCGGGACCAGGGGAAGAACAGATAAAAAGTGGCGGAGAACGAGGCATTGGAAAACCGCTTGGATAATGAAGCGCTTTTGCGTGAAGCATCTGCAAGAATACAAGAAAAAAGAAATTTTTAAGTAAAAAAAGTTGAAGTGATTGTTTAGATTGATGACAACAGTTCTCAAGAGAAATGAAGACAATTTCCAATTTGCTAAAGTAAATTTCTTCTTCGTTCCGCTGTTTATATTTTTTCTGTTTATCATTCAATTTAACGGTCATATAATCCTACAAATTGTCGAAGACATGTCCAAAGATGAACATTTTTTTCCCTTTCTTCATTCAACTCTCATATGTTGTACAAAACCCAACAACATTACGCTTATCTAAGTTTCTTTTTAAGATGATTGCATAAGCACAACGTGAGCTTGATAAAAACCTCATAAGAGGAAAGCTTTCAAGTGAAAACAAGAGAATAATTCCTGTTAACAATTTCATGCTTTATATACGACCGTGAAGTGTTTTTCCTTTCCTTCGTCTTCTACTTGTTCTTCATCTTGTAGTTTGTAACTGGTAATGATGACGATATAAGCACAGAAGAAGAACAAAAAATGCAATCGTGGTAATGCAATTGCGCATTTGTTGTGAATATAATCTCGCAGTTTCCTTTACCAAAAGAAAAAATAAGTAAAGAAGACAAAAGATTCCAAGAAAGCTTCCTTACGGTGTTTACACTCGAAGATTTGTGTTTTAAAACAATATCTTGAACACTCTTTAAACTTCCCTTAAGAGAAACGAGTAACTCACGGAGATACAGAGGAAAACATTTTCCTTCTTCAATTTTCTTACCCCACAAAAGACTGTGAAGTGAAAATCTATTTCAAGAGATTCGGAAGGAAACTCTTACATATAGACTAACACGATCCTTAAAGGCGTTATTGATTTTTCATTTAGCACAGCCACTTTCTGATGGCAGATTCCATCACATCATGCATGTAAAAAGGGATGATGATACTTTAAAAAGATTTCCTTTACTGAAACTTTAAGCAATGTTGAAAACTTTTCATGTTGAACATTCAAAAAAGAAAAAATTCAGAAGTTGCCCTTCTACACTTTCGTATTCCCTGAAGAAAATCCCTTTGCATATTAAAAACAATATTGTTCGTCTACATGAGACAAGACCTTCATCTCTTACCAGACCAAGCATCATCATAAGTAGAGATTGTCGACTATTCTCAATGAAGACAGAATCTGTTAAACTGTTTTAAGCAAAACCTAACAAGTTTTGTTGTCTCATTTTCCTTTTCTGGTGAATAAATTTTCATTGTTATAGTTTTTGGCACTTCATTCTCGCCTTTCTAACAACGTCTGTCGTTTCATATTCGACTCATCCATGTCAGATAAAAGAGCGAAGATAGAGAGTGAGGTATAGAGAAGAATAAAGGAGAAGTTTACGACACATTACATAACACATAATGCATAATGAAAACAAATAAACAAACATTCAAACAACAAAGAAAAGTTTTATAAGACAAAAATTTCCGCAGTTTGGGTTGTGTGACTCTTGAGCTGTTATGAGTGCCACCAGGGAGTTATCTTTGTTCTTTACTTTCTCATTAAGTTCTCTTTTACAACAACGACAAACGCTACAGCTCAAACTTTCTGCGACTTTAAGTGTTGTTCTCTGTCATAATGTTGTTCAAAACTGAGAAGGATTTTCGGGGATGAGTAAAGCATCAACATTCAAAACAAATCTGAGAGTTTTGATAAATGGTTCAAAGTGACAACATGTCTGATAAGCAGAAAAACATTTGCTTATTTGCAGAGTGTCGTGAAAACATTTCATAAACACTCTCTACATACTGCTGTCGATTATCATGTTTAAGTCGTATGTACATTGTAAAAGGAAATAATTATAATAATCTCATTCCTTCCCTTCTCAGTGAATTTAAATTTTAAAAGCATATCACAACAAGAACTTAGTAAGCGTCCTTGACGTTGATGTTATCACATGAATGAGCTAATGCTGGTAATGTTGATTGCAGATTATTCGCTTTAAACTTCAGTTTTATTGCAAGGTAAAATAATTTTCTATTGGAAGTAATTCTTCAATCTAACACATACACCCACACACTCAACGCCGATGAGTTTATGAGGGACGATAAGCCATATGCTTTTGAGATTTATGTTGACGACATTTTCGCATACAACACCAACGGTAGACGAGAAGAGTTAGAATGAAATATTGCGAGTGTGCATTAAGCAAGGGAATTGCTGGCTGCAAACTCGCCTTTGTGTCGTTGAGAATTTTCTTTTAACATTAGGAGAAATGAAGAAAAAAAGCACTTTGCATTCAAGGCACTTGAAAGATTGGAAGAGAAGGAAAAACAGTCATCAACAGCACACGCTCTTCAGAAATTAGTTTTTAAATATTCTCCTTCTGTTTATGATGTGGCCGTTTTGTTGTTATTTTTTAAAAGCACACAATGTTAAACTAAAAGATTAGTTTAGTTAACATAAAGGAAAAATGTTCATGTTAACCGTACTCTGTTGTTGTATTTAAAAATGTTCTTCACTTGAATGTTACCAAAAAATATTTCTCATCTCTTGATAAAAATTCTTTCATGTGTTGAAATTATTTTATGATTTTGCCCACTTTTTTTTCGTGTTTTGCATGTATATTATATACCAGCATCAACGACTGCCATCATGATGAATTATCACGACGAAATGAAAGGAAGCGAGTTGTGGTTGGCACAGGTTGACCTGAAATATTTTTACACACATTCATTCGTTGAAGTTTTACTCAAAACTTTATCACAAAATTTAAATTTACTTTTGATGTTGAAATTCGTTTGCAAATATTTCATTTTTATAACTTTAAAGAAAGAAAATAATAAAGAAATTATTTACAATTTCCAGTCTTTGTAAAGCCGAATGAGGAAAATATTTGACACGGAAAGAAGAACAAAAATTAATGTTGAACATATAAAAGGTGTATGTTGAGCTTTACAAAAAATTGCAGCAAAATTTATGCTGCCGGTTTTCATTTTATCATTTTATGAAGGTAAATCATTGAGGTTCGTTCTCCTTGTGGCGAAACATACAAAATTGCTATAAAAGTCAAATTTTTAAGACAGAGTTTGCACTTGAAAGCATTTTTCATGATATATTCGTTATCCGAGTCTCAAAAGGTTCTTCTAATACCACAACAATGGCAAGAGATGAGAGGTACGTGAAGAACTGGAAACAATTTTCGACACTGCATAAAACTGATGGTTATCAAAGTAAAGAAATCTCAAAATAGTTTTTCATTTATGTTTGTTGATGCTTCTGTTAGGGAAGTGAATGCATGTGATTGTGAAAAACCAAAAATATCTCGTCGACGAGATTAAAATAGTTTCCTTCTTTTATTCTCTTTTTATGTGGTGAAACTGTAAACCTAAAAGTCGGAAATGAAATTCAAACACATCACTCATTGAAAATGTAGAAATTATCGGTTTTGATTTGAAACTTCTCTTGGTTGCTTTGTATTAGATATTAAAATAAAGATTTTGTATTCTATTTTAGCACGAGATTATATAAAAAATTCTACTGCAGCACACAACTGTTGTCTTATATCCATGAAGTGTTCTACTAAACTAACATTTTATGAACCACATTAATATTCGGATTTCGTACTAAACTTGCATTTAGCATTGCTTGCAACAACACACGATTCAGATTCCTTAAAAATTGTAGATTTTGTATCATTTTAGAACTCTTTTGTTTCTTTTCTTTCACTTTGTCTGAATATGTAATCTGAAATGAAATCTCACGTTGAAGATTAAAGGGGGGAGATGACACAAAATGCATTTTAGATTTTGATAGATAAACTTTGTAAGTTGATAGCAATGCTTAAGCAATCATGTTGTAACATATGAGAGATTCATTTAAAGGAAAATAAATTTTCTTGTTCATAAGTTGACATTGTTGGTGGTTGAGATTCAACAAATGCGACATGAATGAATCATATGGTAAATTGAAATCTGAAGATTCTTCATTCTCGTGTGCGACATGCGAAATTAGAAACCCGAGAAGCCATCAAGAAAGTGGGAAGATTACACGATTCAAAAATTTACCCAAAGCACTCTCATCTTTATATCCCATTATGGTACTTTGTGCCTTTATGCTTCTTTCCGTTGCTGGTTCAACTTTGGGTTTTTATGTTTACCAGCGACAAAAATGATTTTGTTTTCTTTCCTCTCAACATGATATGAGTGAGTGAAGAAGAAAAAAACTTTTTCAATTTAATTTCCGGTTTCATTGATCGAAAGTCAGCGATGCTTGCGCGAGAAAAATTAAATTATACGGTGTGTAAATGACACAATGGAGAATTCTATTACACATTCAGCCACATGCATGCTCATCAAATTGCTCGCTATTTTCGTAAGCCTCGAGGGCAAATTCTCTGTCATTTCAACCTTTTAGGTTTATCGAAGGAGGGGATCATGGGGAGGGTTCAATGCTTTTATTGTGTTATGTGTGAAAGAAGAGGAACTAGAATTTTATATCATCGTCGTTTAGTTCTCTTCGTCATGACAAATATCATCTCTTACTATTGTTTCCGATGCAGCACGGAAAGCAGGAAAACCTGACATAATATTTGGACTGAATATGTCACAACATGTCATAATACGAGACGACATCATTGTTAGTTTAAATGGTTTTACTTTTTTTTGTCATGTCTTGCTCTCAATTCTATTGGGAATCAAGTTTCGTTAAACTTATAATGCAAACTGTTCTTGTTCTTGTTTTTTGCGTCGTTAAATAATCTTCATATGCGAACGAAGAAGAATTCATTCAAATTCATCATCTTTTATAAACATTTTAATTTTTCTACTCGAGTGGAAGTTGATGAATGTTTTCAGTTGTCGGAGTTTATCAAATGTGAACATATTTCGTGCACGATTGAAACTGGTAGTTTATTGAAAGAAAGAGTAAGCGAGCAAACGAACGGTTTATTTCCAATAACATAACGAACTCTTTTATGAGTCATTTGAGTCATCAATAATAATAAAATGGATCGAGTGAAATTTGATGATGAGAAACTGGCAAATCACCATATCTTGACACCGAAAATATAAAACAAAACAACATGAAAAACGGCTTCGAATAATTTTTGTTCCTCTCATCTTTTGCTAACATTTTTCTCTTTCACATTTTGAAACATATCAAATTTCAATACTTATTAGTGTTTTTATTATTAATAATGGAAAATATTATTTACTCATGCAAGAGACAAAAATATCTTCACGTGTAATGATCAAAAATAAAGGAATGAAGCCAAATGATATTTCGTTGTTTCGCCTTGGGATGTGTTTGTAAGGAATGTGTAGCTATGAAGATTTATTACAAGGCAAAGATCTTTCAGAATTTCTTACTTAACATCAATACAAAGCCAACAAAGAAACAGCAATGCATGGTTGAAATTCTGTTTCCCCTTTCAACAATCTAGAAGCAAAAATTCCTGTGTGAATGCGAAATAATGAAATGATCTTAACGAGTTCTTTGTACGCGGCAAAAAAAGGAAAAGAAATGGAGAAGGGAAAAAGAGGTAGAAATGTAATGTGATATTGAACTTATATACATTTTGCCCTCTCTTATCACTTTTTTTTACTTTATTTAAAAAAAAAGAAAGAAGGAATGCGTGAATCGAAGCTCTTAACATTTTTTTTTTGCTTTATTCGCATCGTCTTATTATTGCTCAATTCATAAAACGAGCAGCTATGTATGAGAAAAGACCGTCTCGGCCTCAATTTGTCTTCATCACAAACAAACATATTATCTAATTAATTAAGTTTAATTGATTCAAAGAACTGCCTCGTTGTTGATTTCATTCTTTTTTTTGTGCTGAAACATTCTCCGGGATTTAATGTCTTTATTATAAAAGCATTTGATTGTTGAGTGCCATGTTGTGGGTCTGATATTAATTTTTTATACTTCGTAGTCGCCTTTTTCGATTCTCTTAAGAACCAGCTTTGTGTCAAGTTGTTGTCGAGCAAGAGGAAGAAGTAAAAATTATTTTTTAAGAAAAAGAAAACAACCGGGTGCTTCTCCATTCATTAAAAAAGACGACAATGACTTCATACATAACTTGTTCATTCTTATGAGAACGAACAAAAATCGACACCGACTGGTTTTTATTAATTAAAATCAAGAAAATTATAAATTATTGGAGACCATATCTGAGTGGTTAAGTATCTCTTAAAAAATCAACTTCCAATTGTTTAACAGTGTTTATGATCAACTCAATGTTTCCCGTAACCATAAAAAGATTCTAATGCCATTTAACTTTTCATTTAGCGCAGGCATAATTTTATTTATTGTGCAACCGCCAACAACGAAACAATTTTCAATAATTTTAATCGGCTTTCGTTAATGTTCGAAAGACCCAACAAGAGATATAAACATTGAGTAGCACAAGCACTTTATTTTATTATTTTATGTAGTGTTGAGGCGCGTTCCCATGTTTAATGGGCTTTCATTTTGAGTTCTTTCTCATTTTTTCCGCTTGTCTTGCAATAAACTTAAGAAGGCGATCCCGAAGCCTTGTAAAGCAATGAATCGATTGCTTTCATTGAGTGCTCAAAGACATGAAACGACAATGAGCTTATGAAGTTGTTAAGAAGACTCTCATAAGAGGCATTTATGAGTTTTCCTCTTCTTCTTCGATAAGTTATTTTAAAGTAGAATTTTTGCTTCGCTCGTGCGATGCTTTATTAAATTATTAACTTATGTAAATGACTTTTAATCGCATTAACTTTTCAGTCAAACCAACAGTTTCCTTTCTCCAAAAAAAAACTCATCGAGATCAACATGTCAGCTGGTTCTTGAGAACAAAACACTTCAACAAATAAAAAACCTTTCAACGCTTGTAGCATTTCTCACCTCAACATTGAGCGGGTGCTGTCTCATCACCAAAGGCCTGTGGTGTCCCATGTGGATGTCGGGATCCTCGTATGTCACCGAGTGCCCAACAGGCAACACGCTTGGATCCAAGGGACCCCTTGTCGGCGTCTTGCATGGCAGAAAGTTTTGAACTTTTCTTTTGTGTCTAAAAAATGGATGAGAAAAAAGGATACGAAAGGTTAATTTAATATTTATTGTGAACATGACGTTGCAAGCAACAGGATATTTCATAATCCATCATACTCTTATCTTTCTCTCGTTGTAGTTTGGCATTCGATACAATTTTTTTGTGTTCGACGTAAAATGAATAATTTGTAACATGTGCGTTGTTCTCTTTTTTGTTATCTGCTGAAAAAAGTTGAAATTCGATATGATTCAACTGTCAGGCTTAAAAGGATTTCTTGTTCATATATATTTGATGGATTCGCAATCAAATGAGCTGATTCAATTGAATTGGGAAAATAATTTTTTCTTTTGCTTGTTATAAATTTTTCTTTAATCAGGTTTAAGAGGGTGGAAAGTTGATGAGGTTTTGATGTCAAAAGAAAAGAAATAGAAAAAACTTCCTGACGTCACTTCATGTTTATTCCCAATAGAATTCTTATTAATTTTAATAAGAATAATTTAAATCAGATTTGAATCAAAGAAGAATCAACTCGACATTTTCTTTGAGTCAGCATTTAATAAAGTTGTAAATTTCAATCCATTGTTGTTGCTATTACGGAAGCTTAAATTTTACAGAAAAAGAAAACTTCCATAAGAGAAAATAAATAAATTAAATTCAATTATTTATTATTTGCACACAGAGTGCAATTTACATTATGCTTCTTAGAGGTATGTAAAAGAAGGCTGAGAAACAACTGAATCGAGATCATAAAAATTGAATCGTAAAGACGTTTTCCATATTTTTCCCTTGATCCTTTTACGTTTTCGAATTCTTACGCTCTTCATTCATTTTTTATATCATAAATAATTTATTTTTCACCGTATTTTACAAAGTTAAAAAGAGAAAAAGAAGCTCCGAGCTACTGCGAGTGAAGCGGTCAGAATTTCAGATAATTTTATAAACCTTGGCCTTGAGAGTTTATTTAGTAAAAGATAATTAAAGAAAAATTCTGCATCCGAAAATGGAAAAAGAATTTTATCGCTTTTTAAAAAAGAAATTCGATTACTGGACCAACAATTTTTATCATCAACACAAGTAGCTTTATATCCTTGTTGAATACATTACAATGGCACAATTTTATTGTGAACGATGCTCTTCGACTACATATAGATGTATGAAATCAGGCTGGTATTGTTTTGTTTCCCAGCTCGTTAGCATATTTTATGGAAAATTGATCGAACGAATCGAACGAGAACTGAGTGCTTTCTGTGTATGGCAATGAAATGTACAAACTTCCAAGGTTTGAACAGAATATATGGATATGTAACAAAGCTTTTAAAGGGAGGAGAGAGTGAGATAGAAAGAGAAAGGGTTGAGAAATTTTGAGAGGATAACAAAATGGTCCATTTGATTGCAAATAAGGTTGCAATCAAGATCCATTTCTGGTTCGAGTTCTCGTTATGTTCTTCGATTTTAATATCGTTATTCTTCTACCTTGGAATTCTACCCACTCGTACAAACGTAGCTGATTATATCTCATTATATTTGCTATACAATTGAATCGAATAAAAACGCTCTTGATATAACTTTATTATTATTATTGTATTCATTCTATTTCTGTCGGTGCTTTGCTTTCGTGGCTTTTTCAAATAGGCTTATACACCCACGCACGTTCTTGTATGATTGTTGTGAGATGAGGAGAAGAAAATATTCTGCATAGAAGTTAAAGCAATAATCATTTTTTAATAACGCATATCGGATGTCATAAAAAATTGAGTCTCGATTTTATGAGACATCGAATGATAATATTTCTGTATTCATTTCTTTATATTAAAAAAGAAACTTTATATTGACGATGTATGAGAAAAAATATTTAATGTTAACAAATGTTATCTTGGTAGCAAAGCATTTTGTTTTCGTTATAAGAAAATTCATAATTTAATTCAAACAGTGTATTCAAAAACGATTACATATTTACATAAAATGTAACTTCAATCAAATTTCTAGATTTATAAAAGGCAACAGAAGTCCATCCGCCTTAAAATTCGTTTCTTATGACTTGGAATATCTCGTAAAAAGTATTTTGTAACGACTTATTTGGTTTTATGAGATCGTTGGAAGAGATTTGATCTATTTATTGATGAAAGAATGTATTTCCTTTCTTCTCATAAAAATCAAGAAATTGCGACTTTCATTTGATTTATATTCAACTTTCGATTTATTGCTTTCTCATGGATGATTTGACAATTTCATGTTCTTTTTTTAACAACATAGAACCTTCATGAAAGTATCGTATTGTCATCAATGGATTGATGCATCTGGCGAAGTCGTTATTCTGCATATAAAAGGGTTTTAAATTTTAATACTCTCTTCGAACATAGAAATATTTCAATTTAATGTCATTCATTTTAAGATAACTGTGAAACTTGAAAATTCTTTATTAATTTGAGACATTAATGGGTCTTCAAAGCAACAATTTTAATTAAATTAGTCTCGATGAGAAAGCAACTTTGCTTATGTACATTTTAGTTAATGAAATTACGCTGTTGCCAGATTTTTCGCATATTTCTTATGTCAAGATTGCCGCAATCTCAAACCATTTATGTTGAATTCTTTATTACCTTCACGAAGACATGTCAGACATGAAACCGCTTATGTGCCTTTACTTGTCAATAATTTTCCGTTTATAAGAAAAAAAGTGATATCGTTTTGCAGTTTGATAATCGTCGTCATTTATAAATAAAAATGTCATCGTCATGTTACGTTCTATACGATGCCAAGCGCGTATTATCTTTCGAACACACAACGACTGACAACTAACATTCCCAAGAACGATTTATGCGATGAACTGATTTAATACTTCATTGACACAATCGGTATATAATCGTTTCTGTCACATATTCAGCTTTCAACATGCTAAGTTTTCATCTCTCTTTCTCTCTTCCCTTCAATGTTTATCGAAACAATTTCCACAATTAATTTGTTGAATTTATGTTTATTCATCTTGATGATCAAAACATTTTTTTCATTTCTTCTTGTTCTTTTCCAAACTCGATTTGATGAAATATCAACACAAAAAAAAAGATTTTTCTCTGCTTTTTTTCCCAGCTCGTTTTACATACGCATTTTAATATCCACCAGACAAACCATTACGAGCTTATTTTATGGTATCTCCACTGTGGAAAAACATGTGTTACAAATGTAATAAATTTCATATAAACGATTTTCTTCTATCTTCTTATGGGAGAACACAAGACATTGCAATGTACGCCACAACATAGGAGAACATCGAAACTCATTTCAAAAATATCGCATGAAAGTGTCAGCAATGAACTCTGCGTGTGAGTAGAACTTTGCCAATGATAACAATGAAATGAAAACCTTTCATAACAAACATCTTTTAATGTTCTTTCGAAATTTTATTTATGATCGCGAGAGTTTGTAAACGTTGAATCGATGCTAGACGACTATGAACGTTTATTTAGCCGCGGATAAGAGAACAGAAAAAGAACATTTAAATTGGACTTTGTTTTCAAAATGGACATGTTTTAATGTTAAGACCGTTTGCGGCTTGTTAGGTGTGGCCTTAAAACCCATTCAAGAATGAGAGATAGAGAAACAAACTTCCAAGCATCGAAATGGGTGAGAAAAAGAAGTCAAAACTGAAAGTCAGTCTCAGACCAAGACAAAAAAAAAAGCTAAATAAATGTAAGAGAACATAAACAGCACAGCATTAGAATCAATAAATCTCAACAGGAAAATGAAATTGAAACAAACCTTCAAACATTAATTTTATTGCGCTATTGACGGTAACACTAACCAGTTGAAGTCAACTAATGAAATTATTTTATTGATCGCCATCAAAAGTCATGTCGTCGAAGTAGTTTATCGTTATAGTGACTTACACACTGATGGCGCAGATCAGTTTGTGGCGCTGGTGGATAAATACGAATGATTAGAAGACCGAAACGACGAGAAGAGAAAAACGTGGTAATAATAATTTATATGCTTGTGGCAGGCACAATCAATGTCGTTCTTTATAAAATTTATGTGATTACTTTGGTGAATGGATTGTAAGATAAAAAAAAAAGCAAAGAAACGAATCAATAGTGAAATATCATCAATCTCGTTCTTGCTAAAAGATTATTTAACAATGATTCTTAGTCATCAGTTGAACGAGACTTGAATTGTGCACATTTTTTACTTTCTTTTCTTTCTTTATTTAACTTCAACTTCTTCTGTCTCATTTCTTTCATTCATTCGACTTTGCAACTGGTTAAATAATCCTTAAAATAAATAAATCTTCATCATCAAATATTAATATTTTTCTATTGTACTTCAATGTTCACTATAATGTATGTCGTTTGCTAGATGCTTCTGCTGCTTCTGATGCTGCTTGAGAAAGAAGAAAAAGAAGAATTTTATTGAGTGGTTTCCAGACATATGTCACTGCTACATCTTCTTCGGTTGACATTTATTGTTAAAGAACAAAAATGTAATTTCCGAAAGGAGAAAACCATCTGAAGGAGAAAATCATCATCTTAAGAATGTTTGTTTAGATTAAAACGAGAAGTTCTCTGTATTTTGTTTCTCCAACGAGCACCAAACAACCTCGAAAATCTTATTTATTTTAACTACTTTACTTTAATTCTTCTTTCTCAACTTTTCTCTTCTTTTCTTCCTTTACAATCATTTTTTGCTCGGCTTCCTGTTTACTAAAGGTTGTGGAGAACCTCAGAAGAACCCTTAAGGGGATTTCATTTTTATTGCCAACAAATGATACAATTTTTTTTCTTGCTGCCGCGTTCTCCCGTTCAAATTCTTTTCCATCTTTGATGATTTTCTTTTTTAATTTATTTACTCTCTCTCTCTGCTGCTTCCTCCCGCTAACAGCGATTGCCAATGGAAATGATTTTTCTTTGTGCAGTTTTATGGCTCGTTCAAAAGACTCTTTTTTTCTAAACAGTTTCGTGTAGTTTGCTATAAGAAGTGTCAGAACAAAACTTTCTTCGTTAACTTTTGAAGCTGTTGGCTGAATTGTCGGCAAAAAAGGAAAAGAAATTTTTCCAATATTGTGGAGTTTTTTTTCCCTTTCGTTGTGTCATTTTTTCATTTTTGTTCTTGTCTTGAACAGTGAAACGGTGAACACCACAAGAAGGCCAAAAATGGCAGAAGAAGAGAAATTATAAAATATGTATCAGCAACAAAAAGGTCGTAAAAAGTCGGTGATCTCATGCAAGTCGAAAGTGAAAAGTTTAATTTTCTATTTAACTTTTTATCATCCCAGAAGTATTAACCAAGCAACACTTTTAATGTCTTAAAAACCGAAGTGAATCAGGAGGATGCTGAAAGGAAAAGTTCATGCAACCAAAATCTCTCAGATACTTACTTATTCGTAACATATCTTCAAGATTTCTCAATAAGAAGAAAAGATCAAGAAGAATTCTTGAAGAAATTAATTTCACTTAGTTGTGAGATGTGTCAAGATATAAAAGAAGAAATTGAGTCGTCTAACTCAATGTTTTATGACGCAATGTTTATTTTTTCTCTCATCTAATTTATGTCTCAGCCGCATATATTTATTTTATACACAAACATGTCAGACATTTTTACAGTCATCTACGGTGCGATGTTGCTTCACCGGCAACCATAAAGGATATATTAATTAAGCAATTAACTCTTCCTCCTTTAACTTCTTATGAGAAATGAAATATTATACGACATCTTCACTTAATTTCTAACTCTTAAAGAGCGACCATAAAAGCCTGGTTTAATAATGATTACCTCGACATGAAAAGTATCAAATTAAGAGTTGATGTTCTAATTTTGGAATTGATTATTTGCCAGCCCTTTCCGACTTGGAAGAAAAACTTAACAAGGAAGAAGATTAAATACACAGTAAACCTCAACAAAGCAGTCGACTTCTCATTAAATTTAATCGTAAACAGAGTTTTCCTTCCCTTTTTTCCCAATGGATCAAAATTGAAAATTCAAGTGGCAGAAGTTTGTTTAAACATAATCCACTGATGCTGATCAGAACAGACAAACTAACTAAAGAGACGTGTGCCTTCAGGAGAAAGATAAAGCAGTTCAAGTATTTGATAATGACAAGCACATAGAACCCAGAGAAGACAGATTATGTTTAATGATTTTTAAAGTTTCTCTTTGTAAACATCTCAAGGATTTGATTTAATCAGGAATCGGTGTCGTTTTAATTAAAACCGTTGTCAATGGAAAGAATTGAGGGTAGGGGCGGTTTATTTTGACAGGAAATGCTTTGCAACCAATAACTGAGTTTCACGTTGCGTAATCGCGTTTCCCTACTTAATTCATTCATTCCACCCCTTTAACTTCTTTTTTTTTTCATTCACTTGCATTATAACAACATTTCTCCCCTCATTGTTAAATTTGCATATCAATCTTAATCAAAAGAACTTCGGAAGTTTTTTCAGGAGTAATAATTAGCGTTATGCGACATACGATATTCCCTTTTTCGCCTTCATTGTTTGCATCTCCCTTCAAATCTTTTATAAATAATTTCATTGTTAGGTATTCACAGTTACCCGTCAAAATATTCTCTTGCACACCAATATGGAAGACTCTTAAAGGCGACTACTTGTCATGATTTATGCTTCTCTCAACATTTATTTCATGCTGTCGTAAAAAATTTTTTGAGAAAATTGTTTTTCTTTTCGTTTTATGTCATGGAAACATGTTTAAAGTTAGAGTTTTTCTTTCAAAGGTAGTGAGGGAGAAAAGGCAGAGAACAGCATAAACGCATTTTTCATAACATCCGCACTATGGTATTTCGGAAAAATTGCTATTCTATCACAAAAATGTCGTAACACCGACGAGTTCGGAGTTCAGCAATCTCCAGCCGTTTTGTATTGTTGTTTTCTGTATTTTATAGCGCTTTTTGCTTTATTATTATTTTTCTACTTCGTCTTATTTTTTCTCCTATATCGTATCATCTCACCAGTAGTGCAAAGCATGTTGTTTCACAATATTGTAGAAGCAGCTCGAGAAACACCATCAAAGCTGGCAAATATTTTTATGATTATCGTTTGTCGTAGATATAATAAATATAGCATGTAGATGTATAGATAGGGGTTGTCAAACATCGAAAGAATAGTAAGAACGAAAATTATTATCATCATAATCTCTGCAGTATTTTCTGTTAAAACAACACCGAAGGATTCCATCGAAAGGAGAAAATGAAAAAGAAAAGGCATGACGTAAACAATTTTTCACAGCTTCAGCATGATGTGCATTCATTAATGATATTTCTTTTCTTTACATACTCTCTGAACACACACACACAAACACTTGGAATGATTCTGTAGAGCACAGATGACGTTCTGGATGTTTTATTGCGCTAGATCGTGTGATGAGTCCACGAAAAATCTTCAGTGGATATTTTGAGTGTGTACATAAAAGAAATGAAATATTTCAATTTGATACGCTTAGGATTTTTCATTAAAGAATCTCATTTCTTTCTTCTTGTGTTAAATAAGGAATTATTCTTGTAATCCGACACGTTAATTATTACCAAATAAATTATGTATCTTTCATAGTTTGTTTATTCAGAAAATATTTCATAAATATTTAACATTCAACAAATAATTAGTGAGGCTAGGTAAAGATCAAAAGCATAGAAGTGTTGTGACATAACATAAGCACAAGCATAATGCATAATGAATTTTTAAATTATATTTATAAAACATTAAAAAAATGTTACACAACAGATAAGGGTTGGAATGTTCAGACGCATGATTTTAATAGCAAGCAACATTAAACACATTCTTCATGTTTATGAGCGGTTCTATTCATTCACCGTTCCTATGCTTTTAACAGCATCATTTCATAACAATATATCAATATCAGAAAAACATTAATTTCAAGACGATTTAAAAATCATTAAAAATATGAGATTTAAAAAAGATTTTTTCCCTTCGTATCTCATTCATTCCAGGCAATTTTTTTCTTTATTTTCAAATGCTTGTCAGCCCCAATTTAGTTGAGGATATCATCTGAACAAAAAAGATTCTTGCAAAGCTATGGCAAAAGTGAAGAAGATGAAATCCCAGTCTAAGCTTCATCTTGAGTAAGTGAGTTAGTTGAAGATTGGAGAAATTGGTAAATTTATAATTCAGATTTCTGTAAGGAAGATAAATTGGTATGTGAAGTAGTTGGTAGAGTAGAAACAGAAGACACAGCAAGCAGACAAACTTAAGTAATGAAATTTCTTTCCATTTAAATTTCAGTCTCATGGTTCATTTACGAATAAACTCGAAGAATGAAATAAGTTCGCGTATCCACGAATACAAAACAGAAGCGTAAAGATACAGTTAAGCTCAATTAACATGGTAATCAAATGAAGTTTTTTGCTGAAAACTTAAGAGACTTTTTTGGAGTTTCGAGTGGGGGGAGTGAGAAGATTATTCAAATTTAAATAACATCGAAAAGAAGCGTCGACATCTAAGAGAATTAATGGAGAAAGGAATTCTTCACTATGTACTCTATCAACAACACTTTCAAGCTTCTTACTTAAGAAAATGTTCAAGCAAACGAAAATCCTTCAACAATCTTTATTTGAGTGTCAAAAAATTGCACTGCTGCTTCTTAAAATGCATGAAATTTCTGTTTGTCAGTGTTTAAGTGACAGGAAAATTACGGGATCGTGAAGATTAATCATCATTTCTTTCACTTGCTTTCACATCCAAAAAAAAAATAAAATACTTGGAATGTTCTCAAGCGTCTTTGTGTGTGTTCACTCTAGGGGAAGTCACATATTGACAAGAGAATGATGGAGCACAAAATGCAACATAATCTGTCAATTAGACCCTTTATCTTCGTTTCGATGAGAACCAGGAAAAAAATGAAATAAAAATCTCTACCAATGACGAGTCAAAAACGAGAAGTGAAGAATGAAAAAGAATTATTAAATACAATAAATAATTCTCGTTTTTTGTAATGCTGTCATAAAGGCAATGGAATGAGATGAGATTTCAGATAAGAACATATTGTTCACTTCACATCCTTAACTAAACGACTTACATGATAAACTCTTTAGTTAAACACCCAACATCAACAGAAAGGATTTTCATCGTTTTAAAAGTGAATAAAACTTTTCTTTTTTCTTCTTCATCTTCTTTCATTTAATTCGGTCATCACATAAGAGGATAATCTCATCCCATTCATCTTTTGGGAACGGTTAAATGAAAATCGTTAAGGGTTATCGATATAACTAGTTTCCTTGTCAGCCCAACCATCGACGAAAGGAATCAAAAGGAAAAGTTTCACTATGGTCGGTTGCCTTTGCTTTCATTTTTCGAATGCTGCATTCAAAAAAGGGGAAATTAAGCGAGATAAAAGAAGAAAGATATGAAAGCGAAGCTGCTTTAATGCATGTCATTATTAAAAGCGCACAATTATGTAAAAGTGTCTGACCATAGAAACGACGATGGCAAGAAGAAAGAAAAAAGATCTCATTAAAGTATTTAATTGCTTTGAAGATAATGTTATTAATGAATATTAAATTCTACAAAGATAACGCTTAATGGTCGTTTGAGTTTCTGCTGCTATTTTTATTTTTCATCTTAAGCATGAAATGTTATAAGAAATAATTCCTTAATTTTTATGAAACACATTTGGACACGATGTTGACGAAGGAATTGGAATGGGATTATCATTTTCTGTATGTGTTTATTGCGTACTTTCATGTAATGTTCACAGTTTTAATGCTTTACGACTTAACGGGTGTATAAGGAGAGAAAAGTAATTTGAGGAATGAAACGACTTCCAATTAATAGCGAAAAGTTATCTCAACTTCCAACGATGAAATTAAAGTTGCAAGTTTTTTTACAACCCGGTAAAAAAGTCATAAAAAGTGAATACTAGACACATACGTTATCTCGAACCATGCAAATATCACGCTACAAAAATCACCCTTAATTTTACTCTCTTTTTTTCGCTCATCGCTCACTACATACTACAGCATTAAAAAATTTTCCATCCCGAATGTTCTTTTATGTATCGAAATCAAAAATAAAATGAATTGAAGAGAGTTGCACACGTTCATGTTTAATTAAAAGCAGTTTAACAA